CAACGTGAGGTAGCTCTGTTGCCTCATCCTTCCCAGTAGCGGCAGTCTCATCAAACGCGGTAATGCTGGGTCAAGGTACCCCGGCAGTCCCAGAGTGAAGCAGGGGTAGGCGTGTTAGGGTGACTTGAAGGAGGAGAACAGTCAAAACAAAGAAGTTGACGAGAATGGAAAAAGGAAAGAAAACAGGTGGTCAGCTCTCACGAGGCAACCCTTTTTGTTTTAGTCTGTTTTACTCCTTTTCTGTTCCACACGTCTCATTGAAACTAACAATTCACTCCGTCCAGGTATTCGCAGAAAAGCGGCAAAACGGCGAACATATCTTCTCGAAGCCTCTCAATTCGGAATTTCAATTACCTCTCACAATAATTTGCTTTGAGAAACCCTGCGGCACGTCACCGATCAGGGGCCTTTTGTTTGCTTGTTATCCCGCCCCTACCCATTTCTTATTTTTTGTGCAGTTCCCTTACCGCTCCCCCCCTTCGCTAACTGACTGATCCAGCAACCGTCCGGTCGGGTTGTTGGCAAGCATAGTGTGGAGCCTCTATCCCAGCACATCATCCCAGCAATGGGAAGCAGGGAGTGGTGGACTCGCAGAACTGGAGAAACGCGGCATGAGACGCAGTATAAAATAGAAAGAAGAGCAATTAATGTACCGCGAGTAAGATACATCTCGCTGATGGTTCTTTGAATTAACAGGACCCATCACGAACCGGAAAACGAGACAAAACGAAACCAGGTGGGCCGATCTCCTCTCGGTCTCTTCGGGACCTCCGCTCACTGTCCTCCGCAAACGCGCCGTTTTGCCTCTACTGAAGCCCGGAAGGGCAAAGAGCATCGGAAAAAGAAATAAAAAGAAGCAATACAAGAAAGAAAACGAAGGAGAATAGAACAGCTTCTGCAGAAACTGCAGGAAACCGCCCATCGTCATCCCTTTCCGCGCCGTTCGTCAGGAACAGTGGTCCCTGGCGTGGGTCGACACCTTCCGGCCTGGCCTCTTTAATTTTCACCTATGATTAATGACCCCCTTTGTTATTTCGACGTTCTGTCGTTTTGTCACTCGTCGCCTCGTTTCTTTTCTGCAAACGCCCCGTCGTCTTCGTGGTAAGGAATCCTTCTGCCAACGGCTGTTTCGGACGACTTACGCTTAGAAGCCGGTTCAAAATCCAATGAAAAGAAGCAAAGGCATAATACTTGATGTTCTCATTTCATGGAGCATACGGAGTACATATTCGTTGAACTAAGCACGCAGCATTCGCATTCACACCTGTTTGTCACGATTCCGCCATTCATATTGCATCGACCCGCCGTGGCCAGGCTGGTCTCGTCGATCCCGTGGAACTGGCGCAATGGGCAAACACTCAAGTCAACACTGAGCTATGGACAAGTGTGACAGTCTCGAATTTGCAAATACGTTCTCCCTCCTTTTCCCGGTTATCTCGCCGTCACCACTAGCTCTTGGCCTCTTATTGCTGCCCCTCTCTTCTCTGGGCTGACGTTTTGCATCACCGTCTCCACCTTGCACCTTTCACTAATTTTGTGCGGCGGGCCTGTCGATCTTTCGCTCCCTGGTGACCCTCTCTCTTCGTCTCCTTGCGTCCTGGAGGAGAGGCGCACAAAGCGTTTGTTTGGCCGATTCCGCCTACGAAGTACAATCACGGTATACCGCATTGCCCACTAGTGTTCCCTCAGGAAGCAGTTTCCCCCCACTAGCCCCCATTCTCTCTTCACATCTTGCTCTAGCCTCTCGGATACCGTCCCCTTCAGACCCGAGCTTTATTCATCCTCGCCATGCTCGTCGCTCGTTTTGTCTTCATGAGCCCCGTGTGCTGGAGAGACTGGGCCCGAACGAAACACTGGCCACAAAATAAGACGGCAAGGAGAAACGACCTGAGAAAGAGGCAATACCGAAGTTGAAATAGCGTGCGGCTAAGACAGCTCCCGCAAGGCGAACCTAGGCCAAACTCCCAGCAAATCCTATTCCAATTCCCCCGGCCGAAACAAATGGTCAGCGACGTAATGTCGCGCCGCTACAACACCCCAACGTCCCAGCGCAGAGGTTACCCACCCTTGACGTTGTATTTTCCCGCCCTCCAAGAGAGAAGTTACTCAAGGCTTCTTTTTTTTCGTGGGGCAATTTTTCAAAGTGCAGAAGATATAGTTTCTCGTGCTTTTCTTACCTAGAAGCCAGAGAAAAGAAGGGGAAAGCGGCGACAAGAGCACGTCGCGGAGTACATTCGTACTCTTCCTCTTCCAACACGGACCAGTCGACTTACAGGGAACCCCTGTTCAAACGAGTCCGGTAATACTGCGGCACTCTAGCACCACACAGTTGGGTAAAGTTTTGCTCTGGCGATATTGAAATACAAGAACCAGGCTCGTCAGGCCATGCGGGAGTGGCTGCAGCCGGCTACGGCCAATAGACCATTAAGTTTGCTCCCATGACTGCCCTTGCTAGTGCCGTTGGTGGTGTTCAACTAGACGGGACGGCTGAAAATGAGGAAGTGAGGGAGAGGCGAGAGACGAAAAGAACAGCGCTCGAAATGGACATAACATAACTACGAGAGGGGGAGAGAGTCACTGTCGTTCTAAGAGAAGCACGAAACGAAAACGCACAGAAAAACATAAGGTGGCATTGGGATGTTTCGTCACTTTCTTTTTTTCTTTTTTTCTTAATTTCTTTTTCTTCCTTTTTGTTTCGTTTCTTTTCCCGCTACCACGTTCCCTGTTAGCACACCACGTAAAGTGACTTATCCTCTTCGCCTCCGACACCACGGCAGCTTTCCTCCTAGGGTTGACTTGCGCGTCCGGGACTGGACGCCTTCTTTAGCTTCAAAGCGCCTCTTGGGGTTTAGTGCTGGCCAGGAATGAAGTTGGTGTTAGAGGTTTGTTGCACTAACACCACTGTACGTGTTGAACAAGAACACAGGACACGAACATGCCCTTTTCATGTTTTCCTCCAAAAGGAAAGGGAGAAGAAAACGAATAAGGAAAGACCCTTGCACTACTTACCGAGTCTCCTCAGAAAAAGAAAAAGAAAACAAGACGAAACCGGCCACCAAAACGACAGCAAACCCTGTCCAAGATACCACAGCAAACGAACGAAAGCAAGAAAGAAAAAGAAAAGAAAAGAAAAAGGGTGTGGAACCTGCACCTGGAGTGTTTGGCCTCGTCGTTTTGTCGTCGTCTATGCCCACTTTCTTTATCGTCTTTCAACCTCGTCTCTCTCTGAGCCATACTAGTCTGGCTTTCCTTTCTTTTTCTGATTCTTTTTCGTCTCCCCCTTTCTTTCGTTCTCTATTTCTATTTCTATTCTCCCTTCCCCATTCCTTGCTCTCGTCCATTCCTCTCGTCATCTCCGCTCTCAAACCCCACCCACCGTTTTGATTTTCTTTTTATATCTTCTGTTGCCTTTGTATCACCATACAAATAAACACCCACACACACACACACACTCACATCCAGATCCTGACAAACCAAAGGCTACACACAACAAAACGAACGACGACCAACGCACAAACCACACATCACAAACGCTCCGGGCCTTCCACTGCCGCCTCCACCTCCGGACGCCACTTTTTGTTGTTTTCGTTTGGATTGGGCCCAATCGACTCGGTTCAAAGTCCGCACCTCTGCCTACAGAATATCACCAACGGCAAACTTCTTGGCGACCAATTCCTGTCCCATCCTCATATTTTATTTTCTTGTGGCCTCTTTGTACGCATTTGCTCTTGTATTGTCCATTTTCATATTGTTTTCCCCTTTCGTTCTGTCATATTTCAGTCCACTTCTCTCACGTCTTTCGTTACCCTTCCTCATTACCTTTTCGTCCCGCTCCGTTTGGTCTCGTGTGACGGCCGTGAACTTTTTTTTGTTATTATTCGTGCTCTTACGATACCTGCGTCTCCGCTCGGCCAGGCACGTCCGCCTTTCGCCTCGCCTCTGCGTCCCGTCTGTTCTTGTCTGGTTCCGGTTGTCTTATTCTGACTGCCCGCGCCCCCTTCTTTTCCGCTTTGATAACCTGATATTTCGTCCATCTGGCCCTCAACGGCATCGATGGTTTGGAAGTTTGACAGTTTGACAACTCTATCTTCGTTCCCGTGAATTTCTGTCACATTTTTGTTGTTTTCTTTGTTCGCTGTCATACTTTCGTATCGATTTACCTTTTTTTTTCCTCGGATCCGTTTGATTTGTGCCATCGTTTGTTTGGTTCATCTTCTTTCCGTGCCGGGCCCGTTCACCCACAGAAACGAGAAAAACGTGTCGAACTGAATTGACCGCACACATAGTGACAGCACTGTGCTCCGTCTCTCGGTTCCTTATATTTCGTTTCTCGTCTGTTCTTGCTTCATCATTTTTTTTTTTTTTGCTGCTCTGCTTGGGCTTTGCCATTCCCTTCCCTTCCCTTCCTTCCTTCCACCGGCCGTCCTACCACGAGCAACACACGCCCCCCTCCCCCCAAAAAGGAACCGATCAAAATACGGCAGAAACGAACCGATTCGCAAACCACTGGAAGCAAACTCCGTCAATGCACAACTGCTCTTCCGTGTCTCTGTTCGCTCTTGTGTATTCACTTCATTATTTTTATCCGTGTTCTCATTCTTTCTTGTGCACTTCGCCATCTCTCTCGTGTGGCCATGGACGTCCAGCCTTGGAGTATAAAGACACAAGGAGTCGCCCTTCTTCCTCCTCCCAACTTTCGTCATCATCACTATCATCATCACACATCTCGTCGTCTCTCACAGCATCACCAAGGCATTTCAGCACAACTGGAGCATCCCACACAAACCACACAACCCACACAACCCATACAACCGCAACACCGCAAAGAGCTTCAACAGCAACAGACACGCCGGCCATTCTCGCCATACTCATTATCATCTTCTACGACGGCCTGCTCTCAGTCAAGCAACGCGCATCCTCTACCTCCGCTAACGTCAACATCGACAAGAAGACCATTCGCAACACCGTGGGCAGATCTACACACACATACAAACCTCACAATGCCCTTCACACGTAATTTCTTGCAGTCGATTCAAGACGACGAGACCGTCATGCCATCCCCTCCGTCTTCGCCCTCGCTCATGGCATGTGACCCATTTGCCGTCATGCCCATGCAAGACGATGGCTTCCCCCTACCAAGCAGTCCCGCCTCGCCGAACGTGCCACACCCGCGGTTCATTATCCCGTCCGGCGGCAGTGAAGGCATCCGCAGCGTTCCGGTAGGTCCACTTTCTTCTCTTTTGTTTTGTCTACTTGTTAATTTTCGTTTCCTTATATTTCATGGCTTTCATTTTCTTCGTCTGACATTGCAGCTACCCGGTGTTCGTTGCCCAAAGTGCGCCAAGGATGGTAAGGAGGTCTGGGTGATTCCCGGCCGGGCTTGCGGTTACTGTGGCACGGCGTGTGGTTAGGCTCGCAATGCTCGCTGCATTTGCTTAGTACACTTACCATACCTTGCTTGCCCTGCTTTTTTTTATATGCTTCTTGTTCTGCTATATCACTCTCGCCTCATTTTCTGTTTTGTCATCCTCAACATGTTCGTTCCATTGCCTTCATACCCTTTGAGATGTGTTGGTTGTGCAATGGCACTGGACAAGACGCAAGTCTTTGGAACGGGAGGGCCAGATTGGTTTGTTCTTTGTTATTGTTCTCTAGTCTGCGTGCTTGTCAGAGATGATGGAGGTCCTGGGAGGACAAAAAAAAGACGATAAACCGACACACAGCGGCAAAAACGACATTCGGACGCATGTGAATACGGAGAAAGAGGAAGCACCTAAGCACTTGGGGAGTTACACTGTTGTCTCTTAAATTTGTTTTCTATTGTTACACGCCACGTCAAAAGGGAGGGACGGCGCTTCGGAAGCGGGAATAATTCTTAATTTTGATATTGCTTTATATGGCTTACTGCATCTAAATTTATTTATTTTATATACTCCTTTTTTCTCATCGGTTTATCCTCCTCATTTTCTTCATTCACCCCACGCAAATCGTTTACTCTTGTTGTCGTCACCACCCTGCTGCGGCAGCCCATCATATACATATAAATGAAAAACTACTTGGACCAAGTGGAAAAGACGTAGGGACAGAATCCAGATTATACAAAATTGGCATTGTGGAAATAATGATGTCTCACAGAATGGCGATGTCGAGAGATTGCCTTCTCGCCACAGCCTACTTGCAACCGATGAGGAACATCGTCTCCTGTATGACCTGTGGCTTGTTTATCCCCTTTCTGTCGCTTCTCTCTTTTTGCCCGGATTGCTGTCAGATTGCACTGCATTTACTTGCCTTATCAGACATTTGCTGTTGGGCCCAAAGAGGGGCAACTCGATGCACAATATACAAAATATATAACCGCACGAAACATGGATCCATACAACGACACGAGATACACCGCCACAAACACACAAGAACACGGCGTATCACTACACCAGTCCAAGGGATACTACCCCTCTCCCCTCAGCAACACCTGGTCGAGTCTGTGTCTGCATCTCTTTTGTACGTTGCTGCTTCGCCTGCTGTTTGGGATCACTTTCACTTTTTAGTCTGTTTTATTTCGTCTTTCTTCTCAGCGGCATTGTTACATGACATATACGCTGGATAGTGACAGCATGCTTTACTCCATCCTCTTATTTTGCGTCTTGTGGCCTTGTGTTCCCAAAAGGCAGTAGTTTGAGCAGTTCCTGCGGGCAAAAAAGACAAACGGCAGAGAGCAGAGAGCAGAGAGTACTTTTAAATCCTTCTTAAGCGATTCCTCCCCTCCGATTTGATTCTGCTCCCTTTCCGTCTCCATCTCTAGCATCTCCACTCGTTCGTACGACGGTACACAGCCATATGGTACACAAACCCTATCCACCTATGTGTGGCAAGCTCTGAGCACGAACGGTTCCCGAACGGTGACTTTGTGTATCTTTGCTTCTGTCCTTCTATGTTGGCCCGTGTCTGTTGGAGAACGAAGACACAACCAGATACAAAAAAAAATAGAAATAAACCAAAAAGACGTGTTACGTGTTCCGCTGTTACTCCAACTCAAGCATAGGTCGACCGACGGCACCGGATGTACGACAATTAGTGACCCGGCGCGTACGAAAGGACCGCACCTGCTCGGTCTTCCTGTTTTTCAGCGTTTACGTTTCCCATCTGTGGACGGTCTGTCGCCTTGCTTCGACCCAACTGCTGCATTTGTTTATCTGACAGGTTGTCTGGTGCTGCAGTTGTGTCACCCGCCGTGGTGAGAACATCGGGCCACCTTCCACCCGACGCACGCACAGCCGATTCTGCAGGACGCTCTGCTGCGAGTTGCAGGAGTATGCTGTATCTGACATGGGAAGACGGGGGTGGAGACGATGCTGGGAACAAGAGCATTGTTTGCACAGTGTCTCTTATTGGCCCACCTCTGACTCTTGCAGAATGCGGTCTGCCAAGAGACCGCCTTTGTTTACGTCTACCCGTCGGGCTGTTCTACGATGGCCATTCATCATTTAGAGTTGTGTTCCCTATTATTTTGCTTTGCTCTTTTATACTTTTTCTCTTTATTTTATTTCTTTCATTTTTGGACATTCCCTACCCGCTCCGATGGCGGCCGGATGGCTTTACGCACCGGCCCATTCTCGTTTGATGAGGCTCCAGCTTTGAGTATGTGAAGAATCAAAATTAGAATCAAAATTAGAATCACAAGCAGACTTAGAATCAGAATCAGAGTGGCGGTCTGCACATGCACGTAGCCTTTTCGTTCGTCTCCGCCATCCTCTTCCGGCCAGTTCCTTCCCCTTTTATTTCAGATGTATTTTATTATAATCCAGTTTCATTTATCGTAGTCAATTTGATTTGATAATGAAATCTTTGTGGATATGTCACCCCGTGACCATCTGCTATACACGTCTTCGTTCACTAGATTCTCCTCGCACGACAAAATGAAAAAAAAAAGTCTTTCTGTTTTGACTGTTCTGTGGTCGTTCGTTTCTTGTGCCTTCTTGCACAAAAGTAGGGCATGTTTGACGTGCTCTTGTTGTCCTCGGAGAATTTACGCCTATTGTTTCTTGAAAAGAAAATTGGGCACGATTGCGTTCTCAGTCAACGGGCTTCACCTGTGGGGCATTCTGTCGCGTTCTCCTTCTACACACTCATACCACACACACACTCAAAATAGATTGACTTGTATCACCGTTTCCAGGCTTCGTGCAGAGCTTGACACGGGCGTTTTGATAGTTCTACGTGATCGTGCTACAGAGTTTAACTTGTACACATGCCCTCTTTCGCATCTGCAATGCAAGCCAAGAAATAAGACACTTGTTGGCAGCTGTCATTAATTTTCTCCTTCAGCCGTGTATGTAGTACGGTCTTTGTTTTCTGGTCGCACTACTGCTTCACACCTGACATACACGTGGTTTTCTTGGCTAGGTTGCCCTGCTGTGGGACGTACCAGGGATGGCGTCTGTGTTGACGTCTGTCTCGTGAGAGACAGAAATGCATGGACGGTGATGTGTGAGCTGTAACGTGGCGTGGTGGACAGTTTTGCATATAAAATGATCATGAGACTGGCATCGGCGGGAGTGCAGAGAGATATCGGATCTCGGTTACTCACTTTATTTTGTACTTATTTCCTTTTTATGTCTATTTCCTTTTATCTCTTTCATTAGTTCCCACTCTTTCACGTCTTGACTGTAGTACTGTAGTTATTGTTTGTTTATAACTTTGACCCATTTTCCCACTCAATGCTCTTAGAACTGAATGTGATTACTAATCTCACGCAAGACGATCGGTCAGCTACAATATGAGAATAAGTGAATAAACCATGAGTGAGGGGAGTGCTGAGAATAAGAGCGAAATTGCAGCGCGAGCTAAACAGTTGTGTAGGACTCTCTCAGAGATGCTCATCCCAGCCGAAATCTTGGGTTTTGCATCCAGGACAGGATGAACCGCCAGTCCATCATCTATCTTGGCATCCACTTATCCACTTCATGCTGGGGTCTGCGCTGTCTTGGCGAAGATCTTGCGGTGGGAGTTTATTACCAGGGAGGTTCGAATGTTGAGATCCTTGTTGAGCATACGAAGTCATAAATGTAAGAGTGCACTTGGAATAGGGAAACGTTTTGGTGTGATAGTACGCAATGTTCCCATTGCGAATCAATTGTGAACTCCGATTTCGTCGAGTCTTGACGATTTCGTTGGTTGTCGTCGCTCCCTATCACCTGCAGCACTTTGTAGACTGAAGCATGGGTCACTAATATCCAATGATAACAAAAGGCAGGTTTTTGCTCTTTCCATTGTTTTTCGTTTTTATTTTTTCTTCTTTTTTTTCTCTCATTTTTAAAGCCCCAAAATCCACCATTGCCCACTCCTGTCGCACCTTGCACGGATAATTGGCGGTGCCTGGTCCTTGTCGCACCTGCCGCGCACCCTGTTTCAGACTGGCAAACTTGTGCTCTCCGCGACACTTTCTGTGCCAAGACGACACATCCCCGACGACAATCCGTGCGTGTAAGTCGCACTCCTAAGTGGGCAAAGTCGGTAACCTCTCTGTTCGTCTATCCCGTTTCATTTGTATGGTTCCGACAGTCGATCACGCCAAGACTGAGCCCGCATCTGGGGAAGAAGACAAATGAGAAGAAAGACGAGAGAGAAGACAGGAAAGAACAAATCCTTCATGACGGACAAACATCACAAATCAAACCCAACGCTGTATCTGAACAAACCAAGTCCAGAAACGACCTAAAGGCCCAAACGATAAAAGAGAAAGAAAGACGGAGATGGTCGATCCCCCAACAAAGCTGGGGGTTGGCAACCATTCTTTGTCGGCTTCTTTTCTTCTTCGTTTTCATCATGTCCGCCGGACTGGATGTGATTTGATTTGATTTGTTTTTGGTGTTCTCGGCTCCAACAGCCAGACTCGCTCCTCGCTGTTCATTCCGTCCGTCTTATTGTGTGTCTGTTCTTCTCGCTTTGTGCCCTTGATTGCCGTGCTTTCGCTTTTCGTGGTGAGTGTCCGTCCATCGTCGCTCTCATTTATCCCCCAAAAGAGCATCTGTACTCGAAGCGTAGTGTCGTTTGTCCATTTTTTTTGTTATCGTTGGTCGTCGCCGTTTGTCGTCTTTGGTCGTTGCGTGGGTGTTTCTGCTGCTTTTAAACAAACCCAGTCCCAATATCCTTGACGTATCGCCCTCTTCCTTTTCTTCCTCCATCTCTTCCCAGTTTCTCATATATTCCGAGCCTGTTTCTCTGCTGTAACCTCCTTGTGACACCTCCCCGTTGGCGAGTCATGGCGCGACAAGGGCGTCTCTGACCATTCTTGTCCTTGCAGCCCTGCCACTACGTCGTCTCTGCACCCATTTCGCTTCGGCTTCTTCTGTTTTCTGGTCCATCCTCCCTCCTCTGCTCAGTTCTTATCCCGTTTGCGATATTTCGTGAGCAAGTTTCTTCCTACTTACCCCCTTCTGTTAATTCTCCTATCGATCTCACACTCCTACCAGTATCCTCCCCACCCCTTCCTGCATCAGAAACTTGCTCATTCAAAGCGAGCCACACTTTGGACAGCCGCCTACTCAGTAACTTGCTCAGTCGCCCGTCTTGGCAAGGTGTAAGGAGCTGGCCCAAATTGACACACCGATACGGAGTACACTGACACACAATGGCGCCATCTCAGTTAAATACGTCATCGCCCCGGCCCCTTGGCTTGATCAATGATGCCATATCCTCTGCTGCCTCGCCTCTGCAGGCCAACTTTCAACTGAGCTGCCGTTCACCGGTCCGGCCCACACACGATGTCGGTACTAGCGCCGGTACTAGCGCATCGGGAGGAGCGGGAGCAGCCGGCTCCCGTCCGCACCGAGGAAGCGCTCGGCATGCACTTTCCTTATCGCCTAACAACGCAGCCGCATCGGCCTTTCTAGTACCACCGCTACGGCACTTTGGACCGCTACCATCGCCGTCAAGACGGACGTGGCCCACATTGCCAGAGGATGGAAGCAGTCAGGACACTGTTGTCGATGATGACGACGAGGCCGATGACTTCGACACTGTGAACGACCGCTCGTGGTTTCTGCCAAGATCACCACCCACGCCCGGAGTCGCGCCTTTCAACCGTTTCTCTCACGCCCACGCCCGCGATGATGACGACACAAAACTGGGCGTCGTATCGGCCGTCAACATCATCGTCGGCAAGACCATTGGCGTCGGCGCCTATTCCGTGCCGTCGGCCATTTTCGAAGGCGTGGGCTCGGTCGGCATGGCCTTGCTCGTCTGGGCTGTCGGCAGCCTGATTTCGTTTTGCGGCCTCGCCGTCTATCTGGACCTGGGCACGGCCCTTCCCCGCAGCGGCGGCGAGCGCGTGTACCTGGAGCGCATCTTCCGCCGGCCACGCATGCTGGCCACGTGCATGTTCATGGCCTATGTCGTGCTGCTCGGCTTCTCCACGCCGAACGCCATTGTGCTCGGCGAGTACGCCCTCTACGCCCTGGGCGTGCCCATGAACCGCTGGAATGTGCGCGCCATTGCCGTCGTGTCGGTGACGGTGCTGTGCTCTGTGCACGCGTGGCAGCCGCGTCTGGGTCTGAAGCTGATCAACGTCCTGGGCGCCGTCAAGATGCTGATGCTCGTGGTCGTTGTCGTATCGGGGGTCGCAGGGGGGATAATGGGTGTGGGCTCGGATCCGGCTCGTACACCAACGACAACGAATTCTACCGCTGCCGCCATAGGCATGGTGACGGGCCGGCAACTTGACGCCGGCATCAGCACGGCCCGTCGTAACTTCCAGGACATCTGGGCCGGCTCGTCGTCGCAGCCCTACGACTATGCAACCGCCCTCCTCAAGGTCATCTACTGTTTCCGCGGCTACAGCACAGCCAACCAGGTGCTGTCCGACGTCCGCGACCCTGTACGCACTCTGCGCGTGGCTGCACCGCTGGCTCTCGTGCTAGTGTCACTGTCGTATCTGGCCGTCAACGTCGCCTTTTTTCTCGTCGTCGACAAGGACGCCTTCCGGTCGGCCGGAGTCGTGGTGGCCGGCGTCTTTTTCCGCAACGTCTTTGGTGACGGCGTTGGCGCACGAGTGCTGCCCATTTTTGTCATCATTTCGGCCGCAGGCAACATTGCCGCGACGTCGTTTGCGCAGGCCCGAGTCAACGAGGAGCTGGCCAAGGATGGCCTGTTGCCGTTTGCTTCGTTTTGGCGGTCGGGCGACAAGAAGGACAAGAAGGTGGTGATGGACACAATGGGGACGATGGAGACACCCACCAATCCAACGCCCTCCCGTGGCTTGTTGCTGCACTGGCTTGTGTCCGTGCTGGTCATCGTCGTACCGCCTCCCGGCAAGATATACAACTTTTTGGTCGACATTGGCGGCTACCCCGTGTCCGTTATCAGCGTGGCCATCGCGGCCGGGTTGCTGTACCTGCACAGCACGCCATCAGAGCGCTGGGCGTCGCCGTGGCCGGCGCCGCGCCTGGCCATTATCGTCTTTGCCACCAGCAATTGCTTGCTGCTCGTCTTGCCGTGGATCCCACCTGTCGGTGGACGCGGCGAGAGTGAACGCTTTGCGTCGTATGCGTATCCGACGACGGCCCTTGCTGTTATTGCCAGTGGTGCGTTGTTCTGGCTGTGGTGGCGGTACCGAGGGCTGGGCCGCATCTCTGCTGAAGCATCGTCGGTCGGTACAAGGAGAAGGCATGACAGCAGAACATCAAGGAACTCACCGCCTGGCTGGGACCGCATGAAGTTTGGCATGTCGAAGGTCGGTGTTCAGAACAGCAGCAGTGAAGGCAGCAGCAGCAGTAGCAGCAGCCCGAAGGCGGAAGAGGACGGTGACGATGACGGAGACCATTCGGTTCATGATCCTCTGCTTGAGGACAACGACACTGGTTCATCCCCGCCAGTCAACACCTCCACCACGGTCCGAAGGAGGGCGCCTTGTGGGTGTCCGTCGCCTGACTAAGTGGCATATGTAGGACTAATGAGACAAGGGACTGACAAGGCACCAAGAAGAGAAACACGCGGCATTCTTGTATATAAACGAAATGACATGATGCGATATAATAGATAGATACCTTGCAACCTCTTGACATTGGAACGCCCGCGTGGCAATGAATTCAAAAAAAAAAAAAAAAAAAAAAAAAGGGTAGGATGCCAAAGAGCATAAATGTACAAAAAAACTAACAGATAACTGAAAGCTCGTGCGCCCAAAATACTCGACGAGTCATTCAGTGCCGTCCTGCTTCGCCGACGGCGCCCGAGATGAAGACGGTGTAGTCTGTTGCCAGAGCTCGGCGCTTCTCGTGCTCCTCAAGGCGAAGATCGGGGTGGGCATCGGCACCCTCGCCGAGCAGGTAGCGGCGGTGCCAAGGACCGACGAACACGCCGTCCGGGTCCGCTGCGTCGCGCACTTTGTTGAACTTGGCCAAGTCGTGTCCGTAGGCCGATACCAGCTCGGCATGGTCCGAGCCAAAGTTCTTGGCCCAGTGCGGCCTGCCGCCCAGGTCGCGCATCAGCCACTCAAAGGCCTCGTAGTAGCGGTCCAAACCAGGCGGGTCCTTGTAGTACGGCCGGTACATGGTGGCGTTAAGGTACAGCGTGGGCGTGTCGGTGGGTGTCGGGTCGAGGAAGGGGCGCGTCGACAGCGAGTCTGGCTTGTCCCGCCTGCGGAGCTGCTGCTTTGCTGCCGTGTCGGCCACGCGCACTTCGACAGGCGCGTGCACATACAGGCCGTCGGCCGAAAAGGGGATGCGGTGGTCGACGTAGCCCTCGTCGCCAGGCTTGAGGCGGTTGATCCACGCGCCCAGCCGCGTCAGCGCCTCGGGCCCGCGCGCAAGCGGAATGGCCCACTCGTTGACGAACTGCGAGTACAGGCAGTTCATCAGCAGGGCTTTGTCGCTGGGCTGCAACCCGGACGTCGTGGAGCCGTTGCGGAAGCCATACTGCATGCCGAAGACAAACCACTCGATCCACGGCAGGATGCGCGGCACGAAGCGGGACAGGTACAGCAGGTTGTGGTACACAAGGTAGCCGAGGGTGCTGTCGTAGTAGGACGTGGGCGGCGTGAAGTCGGGCTGCTCCTCGGGGGTTTTGGCGCAGTCGTCCGCCGCCCACACGACCGCCCGCCGGGTGTAGGGGAACCACCACACGCGCACAAAGTGCGCCTGGGTCCACAGCTCGCTGTGCCGCGCGGTGCCGTCCGTGTCGCCGCGCTTCCAGGCGTCAAAAACAACAGAGTCCTTGTCCACCGTCTGCGACCAGCTGAGCCGGAACGCAGGTACGGCGCGCAGCGTAATTTCCACGACGATGCCCAGCGTGCCTAGGGACAGCAAGGCGGCTCGAAACAGGTCGTTCTCGTCGGCGTCGGCCGTGTCGCGTGTGCATGTCTTGGTGGTGCCGTCGCCCAGCGTGATTCGGAGCGCCACAATGTCGTCCGACAGCAGGCCGTGCCGCAGACTGCTGCCGTGTGTTCCCGTGGCGCATGCGCCTGCAAGCGACTGCTCATTGATGCTGCCCAGGTTCGGTAGGGCTAGGCCGTGCTTGGCAAGCTCGGCGCTTAGGTCAAAGAGCCGAATACCGGCCTCGACGGTTACCTGGCACGAGGTACGGTCGACTGCAATGACGCGGTTGAGGCGGTCCAGGTTGACCAGCCAGCTGCTGGTGCACGTCATGTCTGACGGCGAGTGGCCACAGCCCGTAGTGGCAATGCGCCGGCGGCGGTGGCGCGCGAGCTTGACCACCTGCTCGACCTCGTCCACGGTGGACGGCTGGATGAACAGCTCCGGCCGTGAGGCAAAGGTGCGTGCCCACGTAGCATGCACGTAGCCCCGGCGGGCCAGGAACGGCTGCTTGGCACCGGTCACAGCCAGGTCGACGCCATCGTATGCGGCTGGGTCAAAGTTTGATGCCATGACGGCTAGGAAATGGGGACAAAGGGGCGGTCAAAACAAGGAGAGAAGTAAAGAAGAAAGGAAAACAAAACGAAAGGAAAGAAAACCGTCGTATCAACTGACTAGCCCAGATAAGGAGACATGGCGACGACGGCACGACGATAATTGAAGGACTCGAAAATGCGTATCAACCTTGTAGGAAGAGAATTCCAGCGGCCTGCCAGGTGGTCCCCGCATCGAGGAGAATGAGGCCATTCTCACGACTTTTTGCTCGAAAGTCAACCCCACCCTTTAAGCCCGGCACAAAAATATTGATAGCGGGTTACATAAGCGGACCTGCCCATAAACGGCAGGAACCCCCACCGCATGTTTACGATGTACAGGGAAAGTGCTTCTGCCACGGAAGACAGCTCGCGGACTTGGTCACTGCGCCGCCGTCAGTGTCCATAACGGCCAGCATGGTACAGCGTAGGCCGCAGCCCGCATCTGTCAGGAGCTCGAAAGCGGTGGGACACGAGACGTCCAGCTCTGCATTCAGAGTGTCTCCTTCTGGCCAGCGATGGATGGCGGTTAGATCGGACGTCGTGTCGAGTGCAGAATAAGCCGCCAAGAACGGCAGACAGCATATGTGTTGTTCAATGCACAGTGTCCGCCATTCTGTAAAAGGAGAGCACGTGTGTCGGCAAGCTGTTTTGCTGGTTGACAAACCTGTTATGCAACATTCCCATGGAGGGTGAACCGGAGCAGTTTTGTCGCTTAAAGGTGCATATCACGTGTTTGGACGGCCGGCTTCAAGGGCCCACTTTGGCCAACAACAACGTCATCGGCTGCAGAGCAATTGAGCTCCAACGCTCGTCTCCCCGATTTCATCTTTGTTGCTCGATCTTACCCCTCTGCAACCTCGAATTCGCAACACAAATTTGACGAGCACAAACGATCCAGACGCGTCCCAGCACGGAATCGAACTCGCTTCACACCAATTGACACCCGCACACAACGGCCGCCATCATGTTTGGTTTCGTAAGTTCAAAACAAGCGTCCCGGCGTCGAGTAAACAAGCCCATAAAGCCACCATCTGCTGACACACTTAGCGGAAAACACTCGACATTGTGACGCTGTTCCACAAGGCCAGCTCGCCCGCATCCATGCGCGTCGTCAGCCTTCTCAAGCAGGCGTCGGCGCATGCCTCGGAGACGGCCACCGAGGACCAGGCCAGCGACCACCGTCCGCAGACCGAGCAGGCCGCCGCCTCGCGCCGCGAGCCGTTTGACCTCAACATCACGGAGGACCCGCCGACCACGGACCAGCTGCAGACCATCCTCGAGTACGTCGGCACCGCCGGCATCCCGGCGATTGTCAAGGGCGCCAAGTCGCAGACCGAGGCACTGCGCAAGTTCCGCGAGAGCCACGACAACTTCCAGCGGCCCGTGGTGGTCGACTGGAACAATGGCAAGGCCGTGGCCGGCGACAAGGAGTCGGAGATCCTGAAGCTTCTCAATGCGAGCAAGCAGGAGGAATAACAGGACGAAGCCATGCGTGTAGGTATATAGCGACGACTACCTGCAGGGGCGGAACGACCAAAGCTCGCCAAGCAAACGAAGAATAAAACATACATGCATATAAATATATAACGGAAGGAAAGGGACAAAGGGCCAAAGCCATTGGAGCTGAGTATTTGAACAGATTTGAATGTGGTTTCTCCTTACATTTTGGCCAGCGTGGCTGCGGCTGTCTGACGCCTTACTCTGGAAGACTTAGCAGTAATGGACACATTATGCTTTTGATATGCGAGCGCAGCGAGAATCTCTTTTGTCGCGTCATTATCGCCCGCCGGTTGCACCGTTTGCGCCTTCCTGCCACATGAGTCAGAGATCCTGCCTTCTCTAAAAAATTGTGTCGATGGGTTGGATTAGAAACTGCAAGGGCACACTGTGGCTCTTTCCTCATTTTGAGATTTGTACAGCCACAGCGGCAACACGCTCTGTTTATCCCAGAATCCCCTTCTTGATATATTCGACCTGCCACTACTTGCCCTTTTATAATCCAAGCACACTCAACTTCACCCCTGCCTCGCCCATATATTATTGTTATGTACCAACTCACCAACATTTCCTACTATTGGCCTTATACAAAACCACATTGTCGTCGGCCATGGGCATACGCAAAACTCTGAAGCGCCGGGCGCAGACGGAGAGGAAAGAGTTTGACCTGTCACACCTCGGAAACAAGACGCGGGGCAAACCGGCCGTCGTGGACGAACAGCTGAAGGCGGACTCCGGCGATTCTATCTCGCTAAATGAGCCTGCTAGGTACACCCACTGCCGACATATCTTCTGTCGGCTCTGGGACGCCGTCTTCGCCCTCATCCTCGACCTCAATGGCCATGCCAGAACGCACCGTGATGCTACTAGCAAGGCAAGCCACATGCCACACGGCGCGTACCAAGGCGAGCAGGAAACCTGCCGCAGCCGGGAACTCGACCCCTGCTCCCCAGTCTGGGACTACCGCCTCTTGCCCTGGAAGTTGTGCCATCCCCACTTCAAGACACCACACAAGATCCCTCTCGAGTACGGCCGTGGTGGCACTTTGGCGGTCATGCAGTCGCTGCCGGCCTGTCTTGCCTACCGCATCGTGCACCCAGCCTGGCGTGCCGAGCGTCGGTCGCCGTCTGCTGTCTCCTTACCGCTCGAGGTCATCAGCAACGAGCCGCCGTTCGACAGTGCCGACGAGTATTGGCGCGTCCGATTTACCGGTACGACGCCCGAGCTACACCAACAGGTCTGCCGCCAGAGCCCAAGCGCCGTAAACATGGGCCGATGGTCCATATAGGCAGACGGCAGAAACGCAGTACAAATCGGCATATCAGCATATGCTCATGGCCAACCCATTGGCCGCCACACCAAAAGTTCGGCAGGTCCAGCTTTTTTTTTTTTTTTATTATATTTCGTATTTTTATGCCTTCAGCGAATCGCTTTTTTGTCATTATATACACAGGGAGAAACAGCATGCGCGCCCATTGTCGGCTCTCCTCTTTTCGGCGGTCGGTTCTTCGCCGCTCTATATTCGCCGAATCGTCGCCCGCTTAGGCCTCGCTCTTGACCAGGCTCGAAACCACATCCTCAATCTGCTTGTCCGTCAGGCCTGCACATATAAGCGTTAGCGGAGAACACTACGATGGCGGCATCGATATCGTCATCACCACCACCATCACTGCCACCATCATGGCGTCCAACACGGCAACCTACCTTCCAATGTCTTGCTCGTCTCGCGGCCAAGGTCGTAGCGGGCATAGATCTTGGGCAACGTGCCCTGGGCCTCGCGCAGAAGTATCGGCGTGTTCGGGTTGTTCTTCTTCATCGTCGGGTACGCACGGGTGAGGAATGTACTGGTGGGATGCACGGATTAGCATGGGCCCCAAGCCATTCAAGCTGCAGGATCCTCCACTTATCACGATCATCAACGAATGGACTGGACCTACCGCGTGGCCGCGCTCTGCTCGCCAGTCTGGCAGAAGAGGAAGCGGACCTCCTTGAGGCCCTTTGTGAAGGCGTATTTGCTCGACATTGTGGCAGGTGGTGTGTGGTGGAAGGACAGGAGGGGGGGGGGGCAAAGAGCGAAGACGGAAGAGAGACCACGCCGTATTGCCTCTTCTTTGGACGTTGCGACTTTTGGAACCAAGAAAGCGAAAGCCGATCCAATTGGGGCTGCGACTACAAAAGGGTGGCCCCTGATTGGCTGCAGTATGTACAGAAGTAGCGTCTCACGGAGAGCCCTATATCTACAGCGACTACAGTGAGCGACAGCATACAAGAAGAGCGGATAGCGACCATAATGCAGCGCCATCAGTCCAACGCGACGAAGCAGGCTTGCTCATGATAGATAGAACGAGACATAGATGCTCAAAACAAACTTAAAGCACTTTCAAGCACAATCTATCCTCTCGGAGTCGTCGTTCGTCCCGCCCATCACATCTCGAGATCACGTGCATCTGCTGAACTTTTTTTGCTTATCTCCGGGTCCCCACGACACTGCTCTTGGCCCCTGGCGCCCGCTGTCATCCAGCGGCTAGTCGCCCCCGACAGCGCAAAAGCGAGCCCCGAAACCGTTGAGTCAACGAGTGCCCAGCTGCGTCGGATTTCGCCAATGCGGTCGTCCTGAGTTGGGAAAGTCCCACCAAAATTTTATCCGTCGTGGTGCCTCCCCCCCTTCCTTCCCTATCTCTACGCCATCTTCGTCGGACCGCTGTTCGGCCTTTCCTGCCTTTTCTTCCCAACGACACGACGCTTGCCATCTTGGATCACGACTTTTTGCGATACAACCACAAACGCTCTTTTCTGTCGCCTTTGAGCTTCTCGGCGACTGTCCTCCTCAACCACTCCCCACTCCACTCGCTCTCGACACTCCCCGACCACTTGCACTCGACAACCTCGTCCGAAATCAACCCGAGCCCCCGAAGAGTCCGGAGCCCCGAAAAAGAGTCATCCACTCTTTGTTGACATCACCATATACCCTCTATCTTTTACAGCAACCTCGCACCCCCTTTCATCCCCTCTCACAACCTTTCTCAACCTCTCTCACGCATACGACCGCCATGTCGTCCTCTGCTACGTTTGCCCGCGCCGCCGCGCGGCCCTTCGCCTCGGCCACCTTCTTCTCCGCCAACACCCCGAATGCCTCCTCCATGATTGTCCGCCGCATCGCCACGGGCAGCCGGCCAGCATCAAAAACGATTCCCCGCTTCTCCTCGGCCTCCTTCTTCGCCGCCGCCTTCCGTCGCGGCACCAACAGCACCAAGAGCAGCCATTTCTACGGCCGCCGCTTCCAGAGCGGTGCCGCCGGTGCCGGTGCTGCGGAGGCCAACGTCAGTTGGTTCAAGCGCATGTGGGACAGCCCCATTGGCCTGAAGACGGTGCACTTTTGGTAGGTTTCGTTCTTTCCAGTCCTCGCTCCGCCCGCGCCCGCGCTCGTTTCCGTCTCTTCGTGTCTAACAACCACTCCAGGGCCCCCATCATGAAGTGGGCGCTGGTCATTGCCGGCATCTCCGATCTGGCCCGCCCCGCCGAGAAGCTGTCCGTCACTCAGAACGTCGCCCTGACCGCCACCGGCCTCATCTGGACCCGCTGGTGCCTGATCATCAAGCCCCGCAACATCATGCTGGCCGCTGCAAACTTCTTCCTGGGCGTTGCCGGCATGGTCCAGTGCGCCCGCATCTACCTGGCCCGGACATCTGGTAAGACTGCCGAGCCCCTGGCCGATGCCGTCAAGGACAAGGTCGAGTCCGTCTAGGAGGCCATCAAGGGGGGCGAGCAGTAGGAGAGATTGTGTACGAGAGGGCTTCGGAGCGGACGTATTAAGAGAATGCGTGGGTGGCTACAACTTGGGGGATGCAGAGCTCGTTATAAAGAGCAATAGAGCGATTCCTCTTCTCGGAAACAAAATTGCTCTCTATTCTCTTTGCCATTTGCCTGGAATTGTTTCTCACGCACTTGCGCATCTATGCATGATTTATTGCACGGTTAAAAGAGGGTACCTACACAATGAGATATCACTTCCTAGCAATCAATGACAAACTCGTAACAAGACGTGAACAAGAGGAATACCTTATGTACAGAGGGGATATCGTTGCTGGTTGGGGCGTGATGCTACGAGCGGCATCTTCTGCCCGTGTAGTATGTTTTTATGTACTATGATAACAAGGGAGACTCTGACACCCATCCTGCCTCCATGAACCCGTTCCTGGGCCCAGCTACATCACTAGACACTCACCCTCCTGCTGCCGGCCAATTTTGCTGCGTGATATCCGCTCCCGCTGCCGGGGACCCGTCTTACCGGACCGCTTGAGGTCTTCCAGCCGCTCGCGGGCCTTTGGGAAATCCTGTGCTGTTTTTTCGTTAGTAAGGTGACGCGATAGTTGAACAGAAAGAATGACCGAATCAAAAAGACAACAAGACAAAAAGAAGACTCTTACCAGCCGCTCGCCAATACCACCGCTTAGCATCTTCCAGGTTCGCCGGAATTCCAATGCCCACCTCGGTAAAGTACCCCATAGCATACTCGGCTTTGGCCAGACCCGCCATCGCCGCCTTGCGCGCCCACAAGTATGCCTCCGTATCGCTCTGCTGCAGCACACCGTCCGAGCCCGTCAGGTACCAGCCGCTCAGCGCCAGCTCCGACTGGTGCTCCTCCTGCGTCGCCGACTTGGAGTACCACATAATCGACAGGCGGCCGTCGACGGGACATCCCATCAGGCCATATTCGTACGCGCACCCCATGCGGAACTGGCTGAACTTGTACCCCAGGTCGGCCGCCTGCTTGAACAGCTGGAACGCGTACGCCTCGTCCCGCAGAATCACGTCGTTGGGCTGTGCGCTCTCATAAAGCAGGCCCAGCTCGTGCAGGGCGTGTGGGTTCTCCGGGTCCGCGCGCTCGGCTGCCCTCTTAAGCCAGCCAACGGCTTCGCGCGGGTTCCGCGGTTGACCCAGCAGTCCCTTGAGCAGGATCATGCCAACCTTGTACATTGCAGGCGTGTCACCGAGCGTCGCCGCGCGTTTGTACCACTGGATGGCCTTGAGCGGGTCCTTGCGCGTACCGCCGCCCTCTTCGTTGCCAATCTCGCAGCACACAGCCGTGCGGTAGGCCGCCGCCGCGTGGCCCAGTTTGGCCGCCGACTGGTACAGTGTAAAGGCATCCTTGTTGTCTGGCTCCTGACCAAACGTACCACGGCCCAGGCAATCGGCCATGAAGAACATGGCGTCTGCGTTTTGCTGGCTGGTCAGCTTTTTCAGCAGCTTGTGCGCGTCAAAGGCGTACCGCTCGCGGGCCTTGGTTCGCGTGCGCGGGTCAGGCAGTGTCGGCACAAGCTCGTCGACCGCCTCCACAAGCTTTTTGGCCAGCTTCAGGGAAGCTTCTTGGTTGCTGGGGTCGGCCTTTACCGTATTCCGCAATCGCTCGAGCAGCTCCGGCGTGACAGGCGGTTCCGGCGGTGGTGGCTCATTGGCCAGTGGACCGTTGGATGATGGCGGCATGGCCTGCATAGCCTGCATGGTGGGCGGCGGCGGTTGTGGCATGGGCTGGTTCTGCACGGGTGTCGACGACATCGACCCCATGGGCCCACCCCCTCCTCCGCCGTTGTAATTGCGCACAGGCATTGGTCGGTTGCTGAGTTGCTGGCTCGCAACCGAGTTGGGGATAAGACCAGGGCGGACCGGTGTAGGGTGTGCAGGAAGAGAGTCGCCGTTGGAACCAGATCGAGCTGATGCGCCGCTTCCTCGTCTTACCGGGCCGGGGCCAGACGGCAGCCCCCCTTGCTGTTGGTGGCCGCCGGATCTAGGTGTCGGCATGGGCGGAATGTCACCGACCATTTCAAAAACGGCTTCTTGAGATTGGCGTAGGTCGGGCTGAGACTTTGTTCTATTAATCTCAGGGACCCGGTTTGCTCCTCGCTGCGGACCAGGGCCATCATTCGGATGGGCACCCCGATCAAAAGAGCCTTGTGGTCGGTGCTGCGGTTCGTCGGGACCGTTCGGGCCAATAGCCCCGCCGGCATAGTCACCGCTTTCCCGGGAGTCGTAGTATGTATCGTAGAAATCGTCAAAGGATGACGGCCGTGCGCGCTCCTCCGGTGGCGGCTGATTGTAGCCTTGGTTAGGACCAGGATGGCCATTGGCGAAGCCTGGGTTGCCACCACCATCAGGATACATTCTTTGCAGCGGCGGGCGAGAGTCTTGAGCGGTCGATGGCCGCTGAGGTGGCATCATGCCCGGTCCACCGCCGCTCGGTCCTGGCCCAGGACCATTGAATGGACGGTACGGTCCACCGCCCGGAGGACCGCGCCCGCCCATAGGATCCATGGATGTAGGCATCGTCATTGTACGACTTGGTGGCCCAAAGTCGTCATCGCGGAAGTCTCTCGGGGGCGGCTGGCCGTATCCTGGGTCACCAAATCCCCCACCCTGTTGCGTGTATGATCGTTGAGGTGGTCCCCGAGGAGGACCGTAACCAGGACCGCCGCCGCCGCGCGGGTCACCCATTGGACCGCGCATCGGTGGGGGCCCACGGCCGTTGGGACCACCCGGTGGCGGGCCTTGTCGGTTACCGGAGATATCCATGCCAGCAATGCCGTCCATGATTTGCTGCTCGTCGTAGCGATCCGGCTTTCCTTGCTGGCCTGGGAAAGGCGGGAAGGCATTGCCGCCAAAACCAGCGTCTATTGGGCTCGCTGGCGGGCCATTGCGACCGCGATTCACTGGTCATGTTAGCTGGGAACTCGTATCCACAAAGAGAAGAAGAAGAAGAAAGTACTAGCGAAAATGGAAAGAAAAAAACACGTACTCAGCGGGTCTGACGTGTTTCCACGTTCTGGCGGCCCTGGGCGGAGACGTGGTGGTCCGTTCTGGTAGCCCCCTCTCATGGGGCCAGGTCCACCGCCTCGTGGAGGATACTGGCCCCGACCGCCACCATTGTCCATTGTCATCTGTCTGGGCGGAGGACCGCCCCTCCCTCCGCCCATGGGTGGACGACCGCCACGGCTGGGACCGCCGTAGTCCTGTGGTGCGTCGTAACCGTAGCCCGGATCGTCATAACCGCCGTCATAGTCGCCGCCATAGCCTCCGTCGCCACCGTATCCGCCGTATTGGCCGCCACCAGGGCCGCCAGGTCCCCCAGGTCCCCCAGGTCCATTTGGTGCAGGACCTCCCGGGTATTGTCTTTGTGGCGGCGGTCGTGGAGCTGCCGGTCCGTTGTAGGGGCGCTGCTGTTGTTGCGGCGCATATCCGTCATCGTACGCCATGGTGACGCCGTGGGTGCACAGGCGCAGTCGTGTCGTGTCGTTCGAAATAGGAAGCGGTGGATCAAGTTGTGACCTCGTCGAGTGACCCTTTGACAGTAGTCGGATTAGGTGCAGAGACGAGACCGAAAGAAAGGGAAAAAAAGTATCGAACTGCCGACAAGGCCTCAGGCTTCCATGACGAAGCACAGATTGAGAAGAAAAGCAAGAAATGGCGACCAAAAAGTATTATGAAAGAAAGACGCCGAGGAAGAAGTATGTTGTGTAAAGTAGCTGTCGAGAGCTCGTTAGTGTCGCATGACGACCAGTCGTCGGCGGCTAATAGAAAAAGTTGTGTAGTTGATGGCGGATAAAAACGAGACAGAGTCGAAAAATACAGCAAAGCCGCGTCTGTTTGTGTCTCTTTTTGTCGGTTGTGTTTGTTGTTTGTCCAAGTAGTCTAGAAAAAGGGCAGCGAGGCAACGAAACCACAGCGGTCAACAGCGTTTCGGGCGAATGCTGATCGACAGTTTCGGCGGGCACTTTGCACACGCAAGGGACGAGAAGTGGGAGAGCGGACAGTAGGTGCAAGGGTATGTCGAGAGGTGGAACAGGGTGCGGCGCAATCCTTGGTCGTTGTGAGAATGCAGAGTGAATAGCAAAGGTGAAAAAAGAAACGAAAAGAAAACAAGAAGAGAAGAAAGGAGGCTTCGTCGAGAAGTTGAGAAGAAAGAAAGAACGGTTGGCAGGTGGAGAAGCAGCGTCGACATAGAAAGTGGAACAACGCAGAAAGGGAAGGAGGGACAGACACAAAAGGGCAAAATGGGACAACACCCGACAAGAGAGGGAAAGAGCGAAGGCGAGATGGAGAAAGGGTTCACCCTGGCGTCCCTCGCTGCGAAGGAACGGCCGCCCAAGAGGAAGGCACGATGGGACCTCACCCAAGAATAGTCCAAAAAGGGTGCTGGAAGAGAGGGGAGCGGATAGACGTTAGAGGAGGGAAGGCGCGAGAGGAGGGCCTCCAAAGGCCAATAGCGCCGCACGAAGTGGGCGCGTGAAGGCAGAACGGTTTAGGCCAGGAACGCAGTGCATAAACGTGCCAGGGATACGACGATACTCCGTAGTTCCTGCCTTCCCAGTGGTGGACGACATGTGGCACGCATACCCGGGACTTCTGAGGAAAGAGCGTGGAAAACAAAGTAAGATACCAAGGAAAGAAGGGCGTAGGGAAGGAGGTCAAGCAAAGCCGCATCAGTAAGTCACATCCACATGCTTAATCTTGATCTAGCAACTTGCAAAAAAGAAGCCCATAACAAGACCCTATTATTCTGCCAACTTTAATCCCTGCCGCCACCCCCCAGCAGGCCTCCAATTCGTGTTGATGCAGCCTCGCAAAACCGATACGAAAAATAAAGGGCATCAACGGCCGAACACAGTGAAGCCCAGCAGCTCAGCTACGTCATGCAGATCGCGATAGCCATCGCACGCCGAGGGCATTACCCCGACCGAGGCTCCGTCTCCTCACGATGACGATGGCCGAGTTTTGCAACAACATGTTCACCATGTTAGGATCAACTGTCCCGAAGCGGGTCATGGACGAACAGACGTTAGCGCTTCAAATGGGTCTCGCGCAAAAGGGACCGTTGGTTATGGAGCCAGGGAGACGGCTTGGGGAGAGTATGGCGTTTTACTTCGGAGTCATTGTATGTCGTACAACAATGCGCGCCAGCCCTGGCCGGGTATCTTACTCGCCTCGCCTCCCAACCGCAGGAACAACGTGCAAAGTGGAAACCCGTCGAAATTCACCCTGACATTGATGAGGACTCCGGGCTATTTCGGCAACAAGGGGCACAGCGCAGTTTCTCGGCTCCCTCCCTTGCCATCTGGAGAGCGAGACGAGAGCCAGAGGCAAAGAAAAAAGACTGGGAAAGGGAGCAACCAATGGCAGGCTGACGTGACAATGGGCAAGCAGCAAGCAGCAAGGAAAAGCAACCAAAAACGCCAAGCAAACAACCGCCCTATTCAAACACAGAACGGTCAGAGTCCGGTTGCAGCATGGTCGACCCGATCCGGAACGAGACATCTCACGAGTCCCCAATTCGCTCCATGCAAGGCCCCATCCTCATGCAACAGTTGGTGAGTGGGGGCTCTCGCCTGACTTTTCGAGAACAGTGCAGTGGTGCTCAAGGAAGATCAAATTGTCGCGGTCTGTGTTCAGTTGATCGTCGGTGCTGTAGTACCGTGCTGCATCTTGATATGCATTGCGGTCAGTAACCAAGGAAACGTTGGAGCATGGTGATATGCAAGTACAGCAAGTCCAAGATCGAAAGCTACTGTTGTTGCTCGACTTTCCAAGGGACTGTAGAGAGGGGTTCCTGGATTTGCTGCAGGAGAATCCATGTGGTCGCATTGCAAGCCTTCCAAGTGCGTGTCCATCGAGTCCACCCCTATTCATAATTACAGGCGGTATCTCCCGCCTGATACGAAGACCTCAAGACTGTGTGTACTTAATTTTACAACAAATCACAAACTACGATGCAATCACAAGAGAGAGACGACGCGGAGGAGGTGCAGTAAGGAGAATGCTAGTCATCGACGACAATTACGCGTTTGGGAACGCAAAACTCTGGCCCTCTTCTTGCTCTTTATTTGTGTCTCTGCTCGATACCTTGACTAGTCTGCTGAGAGCGCAGGAGAGACAAGCACCGTCTCTCGTCTCGAACGCTGCTGTTCATGCAAATCACCCGAAGAACACTAAGCGGCGACCGGGAATGCCCTTTGTGCGCCGTGGATCCTCAGGCCCTCGAACGGCCGATGGCTAAAGGGGAGTTGGAACTGTCGAAATCAAGAGAATAAAAACGTAAGGCGAATAGACGACAGCCATAGGCTGCCTTCGTTAAGAGCCTGGATGCGACTCCATCCCGAAGCAATATGCAGTTATTGCTTCTTATTGCGGGCTTCTTCTTATCCCTTTCTGCGATATAATCACGGCAAATGAGTCTCCAAGAACCCTTGACGATACCTTCTGCACTCCTTATTACTCCGTACATTCGCACAAAGTACCCCGTGTTTCCGAGTTAAAAATATACAATGTGCATGCACAAAAACGAAGAAAAGATGAGACGGAACCGGGTTCCGGTGTTGTTGCTGCAATGCCGGTGTTTCTTTCGTCTCCCTGCTTTTTCTCATAGTCTTTCTCCGTTGCACTCTCTCGCTTCGGCCCTGTACCATGACCCTCTCCCCCACGGACCACGAGTAATGCGGCTGGCTGGCCCAGCATGGTGTTGACCACTGGCTAGACCGCCCCTGGGTGCGTGTTTCAGCCCGGTGCGTCGTCCTTTAATCCTGCGACCTCCCGGTGGCCCCTTTTCGTGTTTGTGTGTACCTGCCTTGAAACAAAATGTTTTCGTCTCATGCCTTGGCGTTTTCTGCTGACTTTGGGCCTTTTTTGTCCCGGTGAGCTCTATCGTGCCTTTTTTATTGCAAAGGGGACACAATTGCAGTCGAGAAAATACACATTGTCAAGATTTCACGATCGGGAGCTTGTTCTCGACATTGAGAGAAATCAATCGGTCAATTGAACGTGTTTTGTTCTAAGAACGAAATGGTATTGGTATAAATAGAGGCTTGCTCATGCCAGGAGTGTATCTCCAAATGAATATGAAATACATGACAAAGAAAGATGCTAAGATATGGTATAATACCAAAAATGTGTGAGAAAATAACCCTTGCCTCCTGTACAAGGCTGTGCCCAGTGTTATGATAGGCGCAGCTCCGTTCTTGTAAAATTCTACACTGTACAAATGAACCGCGTCGAAAGGCATCCCCCTCTCAGGAGGATATTCCAACTCCGCGCAGCGTGTTGGCGGCGTTCACCTGGAGCTGGACCAGGTTGACCGAGTTGCTGTTGCCGAGCGTCACGTTTGTCGCCTTATCCACGGTCACACCCTTGCCATTGGTAAGGGAGCTTGCGCTGGCCTGGGTGAAGAACCTCTGCAGAGTGCTCTGGGCCTGTTCGGCATTCGCCAGCGTGTCTTCTTGGAGAATAAAGAGCACAGCGACACGTGCAAAGTCCAGAACGTCCTCAGTCACCTTGAACATAGCCGACGCAGACGCCGACGAACTACTGCTGGTCGCTGTTCCTCCTCCGCCACCCCCTCCGCCCCCGCCTCCTCCTCCGCCACTGTTCGTCGGCGACGGCGTGAATGTCGTGGTCACAGTCGTCGTGGAGGTAGGCGACACAATCGAGGGCGTGATTTTCGTGCTGATTGTCAGAGTTCCGCCCGACTGCGTGGGGAACACCTGGTCCGGGTTCCCAGGAGGTCCCCCGGGTGCTGTCACGATCGTGCCGTCTCTCTTTGCATTCACACCCGTGGCCTCAACTGTAACTGTAACAATGGCCACGCCATTGACAACAGACACGTCGTCAAAGGTGTTGTCTCCGTCTCCAGTCAGGAATGCGTCCACAACGGTCGAGCCACTCGACGACTTCCGTATAGTCTCGCCGTTAAACGTCACCAGTGCATTCTCGGCCCCGCAGCTCAAGTTGCCAGAGTTGAAAACAGCCAGAATCTCCGTTCCAGAAAGCGGAACGGAAAAGTTTTGCTGGGCCTGCTCAATGAGTCGCGGCAGCGCATTACCAAGTGTGGCGTTGGAGAGGCTGCTGGTCGTACCTGTCGACGTTATGGTCGTTGTTGTACAGCCATTGTCTCCAGCAACACTGCAGTCGAAACCAGTAAAGTCGTTGGTACAGATGCACGAACAAACGCCCTGGGTCGATACAACATTCGTACCACCGTTGGCACAACTAATTTGGGTTTGGCATTTTGCCAGTGCGGATGTGCTGCCCGATGCTGAGTTCTGTTTGCGGATGACAAAGAACTCCAGGGGAATCACAACAGCAGCTGCGATGATGATGAGGACAGCAACGACGACCAGCAGAAAACCCCACAAGGGCAAGCCGCAGCACCGGCGGCCCTTGCCGTTGCGCTGGTTCTTGAGGTCGGTCAGGTCTGAAATGCTTTCGGCATCCATAGGACGGCCGCTGAGGCGGCTATTCCGAACATTATTAATATTAAGAGGCAACGGCCACGATCCGACCTGCTCACGCAAGCTCTGTAGGAAACTGCGACGGTTGGCCTGTGCAGGGGGGGGAAATGCCGCGAGCATGTCTGATAGGCCAGACTGGTGCTTTTCACCATCCATCTCTGTGCGACCACGGCCTTCCATACCAGGGGACATGTTGAGGTCATCGAGACGGCTCGCTGGGCGACGGCCCTTGTCAAGACTAGCTGCAAGTCGCGTCGCACGGCGGATAAGATCAGGAAGACTGGTTAAGCTGCCCCGAGCCTCTGCCTTACGAACGGCATCAATGTCAAGGCGTGGTGGCCGGCGAATGGCAGACAAGCGGTTATAAGGCCGGGCAGGGCCACCAAAGTCGAAACCTGGCTGCGGGGAGACAGACAACCGACGACTTGGGTTTGAGGGATCTGTCGACGTTGCTGCATCATAGGCGTCGAGGATGCTGTCCGCCGTCAGCGTTGAGCCAGCGGTAGCCCTGTTCGTTTGTGCGGTGATGGCCGACGATGAGGAAGAAGCATCAACAAAACCAGTTCCGTCGCGGAAAGTATTGGCCCCTGGGTTGCTGTCTCTCTGTCTGGTCGTCACGAGAGCAGCCTTGCCACGCTTGCCGATGCTAGCACTGCGGACGAGATGCTTCTCATCAAGATCGAGCTGCTTCTCGTCGAGATCGCGATCGCCCTCTGCACTGCCCGCACTGCTTCTGCTTCCGTCTTCGTCACCATAACCGCTCGCATTGGATGATTCGCGGCTTTCTTCGGGAATGTCTTCGTAAAACGAGGTTGCATCGGCGTAGTTCGGGCTCACTGCCAAGGACGATGACGACCCCCAGTTGTCGGGCATGGCGGCACTCGACGCGAATGACGCGTGCGAACGAGATCGCGGGCTCTCCTCCGGGATGGGAGAGACATATGAGGCGTTGGAGTAGAAGGACGACGCGCCACGACGAGCGGATGGTGGAGGGCCCAGGTTCACGCTTCTACGGGGTGGCGGCATGGCGACCACAGGAGGTGGAACAGGGATGGCGGCTGGGACAGCAACGGGGACGGGAAAATCTGGGATGGATCCAACAGAAGAAACAGTCGAATTCCTTGACATGGACGAGGCGCTAGACTGCTGTGTCATGGACAAGTCAGACTCGCGGTTTGCCTTCGATCTGCTGTCTGGGACCTGCAAGTTCGCACTCGCATCGGCACTCGCATCGGCTTCAGATTGGATTCCGGCATTGTAGGCAAAAACTGTCGGCGTCGGGTCCTGAATTTTTGAACTGTCCAGAATGGAAGGCACACGGCTTGGCCGCGGTGGCCGCTGTGGCACTTGCGAGCGTCCTGGCGGCGGACGATACGGCTCCGTCTCGTTGGCAGCTCCGTTTCGGTTACCGTTGCCGTTTCCGTTCAAGTTTGATGGTGCAGCGAGCGGGCCGGCCAGAGGCCATTGTGGTGCCGGCACTGGTCTTGAGATTGGTATCCGCGTGTTCTGGCCGGATTGTTGTTGTGGTGGCGGTGGCTGTTGTTGCGAACCTGGCGGCTGAGTTGTTTGGGCCATTCTTCTCGCGAATGTTGTAAAGTCTTCGCGGGCTCCAGCAGCAGCCTGTGCTCGTTCTCTGGCCCGGCGAATCGATCCTGCAGTCGATGGCCGGTCCATGTCACCCGCATCTTGTGGGTAACTCATTTGAAAAGAATCACTGCCCCCCAGGAGCACAAGTGATTTCCAAAAACCAAATTCCTCCGAGTCGGTTTCCTCCGCTCAATCCTCCGCTCTATTCCCAGCAAACACAAACCGCTTTGCTGTTGACGATGTCGATGACCGAAAACCGTAGATTGATATCCCGCTGTGTGGGTCGTCCTATAGGATTCAGTGAAATGGAAAACGAATTTCAAGTGTGATTTAATAGTACGAGAACATAGTATGCTCGTGTAGGGTCGCCGGGTATCGATTATTGAGGAGATGGCTGGGTGTATTAAGCGTGTCGTCGGCAAGATTCAGGGGCTGAGGTAAATCGAGGCGATGAATAAGTAGACAAGAAAGATGAAGAGCAAATGGGACAAGAAGACAAGAAAAGGAAAGGAACGAATGAGTGAGTGAGGTGCCAATGTCGCAGCCTGTCCAAGGCGAGTCGTTTGACGAGAAAAAGAAGAAGACGTGGCAAAGGTACAGAAAGAAGAGACGAAAGAAGGTCGAGAAAGAAAAGAGCGTTTAATCCGAGGCGTTCCAGAGTTCGGAAAGGAGAGCAAAACGAGCAAAATGCGGGCCGCAGCAACGGTGCTCTGTAACAGCTCAATCGACCTTGACCAGAGGGTTGTCTGGGAATAAGAGTGAGCAAACAGAACGGAGAAATTAATAATATGGAGGGTACAAGAGAACAAAAGACACGACAGGAGAGCAGAGAAGTCAAAGAACGGCGGACGCTGTTGGCAGGCCTCGGTCACCTTGGGGGTCAGTACGGGTGCAGATGTTCGCAATACACGCACAAGCACAGAGACAGGGTCGACATTGGCTACCCTATCCTCTGGTGTCCCCGGAACTCCCGTAACCCTCCAGACGGATATTTTGCCCGTGTGTACGGTAGAATTAACGAGACAATTGACGAGAGTTTGGATCACTAGGACGCTGCTCGCTTGGGCCAAAGGGGGTTTGCTGAAGGGGCTGCATGGAAATGTGCATGTATAGTCGTGGTGTCCCCGTGTGTTCACCCTCAGAGGCTTGAGAGCTTCGATGTTGCATTGGTGAAGGGACAAGGAGCGGTGGCAGGGGTGTCCAGGGGGGTGCAAACAGCCGAGTTGCAGGCTAAGAAGGTGAAAAAGAAGATCACGTACACTTTGCGTTTCGAGACTTGCCCGTTCTAATCAGTCAGCAGTCAATTCAATCGCCCTGGTGGATAAAAAGGACCAGATGCAGATAGGCCAAATCATGGTGAAGGACAGAACGAATTTTGAGAAAGGAAAAGTGCGAAAGAAGATGAATCGAACAATAACAAAGGGATAGGGGGGGAGTCATCCGATAATGCAAGGTCAACTGGACCGGAGGGTTTTCCTGCACCACAAAGGCGCAATGTAGTACAACAAGCGGAGAGGGATGTAGTATAAAACGGGGGGGGGGCCGAGTTACGTGTGCCATTCACACGAAAGCGGCCAAGTATGTGCAGAGCTGCGGGAAGTGCGTCGTACGGAACAGTGGATGACGAGAAGCACAAAAGACATCATGGGGAAAGCTTGTGAACTGGGACATACGCAAACACACGAGGGACGGTGAGGGCAACCAAACTGCCACGAAAAGGACCAGACCACTTGACTGTGGTGTTTCAGGAGAGCGGAATGCAAGGGAGGAAGGCAGCACAGCCAAAAAGCAGAGACCAAGAGACCAGAAGAAGCATGTCTTGGGTGCCAAGGTACCACGAACCTTTCAAGACAAGGTCTTAAATGACCTTTTTAGAAGCCGTGTAGATCAGGGCGGGCAATCATTCACGAGCAATCAAGAGCACACGGTCGTTGGCGTTGGGGCCGTTTGTGCGCTTTTGCTTGTTTTTGAGCCAGATCGATGAGTCCCAGTGGTATTGTCGTCGAGTTTGGCCTGCTGTTCTGGTCACTTTGTGATTCGTTGCTCGACCGAATGCGCGTGAATGATGTGCGAACAGGGCGGCCTTCGAGAAGAACGGTTCAGATGCGGTTGTCGCAGTCGGATCGATGGGAAGAGTCTATCTTCGTGTTGTTTTGTTGTTTAGTTGTTTAGTTGTCTGGGCGTTTTGTTTGAAAATGAGACCGGTTTGTTCTGTCGTCGAGACAGAAGAAACACAGTTGCTTTGGCGTCGTAAAATTGAAAAGAACAAAGGAGGGAAACGGAACTGAAAGCAATATACAGAGACTGTCGAAAAGAGAGGCGGCAAAGTGTGTCTCGAGGCGAACCCGTGGCGGAATACGCGAAATGCAGGTACCCGTCGAGAGGGCAATGTAAAATTCGCGAAAGACAACAAAAGAAAGAAACGAACAGAAGAAAGGGCCAAAGCGAAGATACAACGCGACGAGATCGTGGTGACAATGGACAGAAAAGGAGGAAACAGTGAAAGGGGTTGAAAACCAACAACACAGAGAGGAGAGGGGTGAGGGAAGCGGAATCCAACGGCACGAAGAGCAAGACAGCGACCCTCATGGAAAGGGAAAGGACGACCCAGTGGGCAAGAATAGCGCGCCAAAGAAGCACCAAAGAGGAGGAAGTAGCGACCAGGAAAGGACCAGGGAGCCCAGGAGCGACCGTGACGAACAGCCAGGGACCGTCAGGAACAGACAGGAGCGACCGGGGCCAGGTTCCAAAGAATCAGCCCAAAAACGCATGGACATCAGGCTATGGCGTCGACTACGCAGAATTTGACTTTTTGACAAGGGTTGCTCCTTCCATCTTTGGCTACAAGCAGGGGCAAAGCAGACGTGAAATGAGCGCAGAAAGAAAATAAGAAAATAAGAAAATAAGAAGAGAGGATGAAAGAACGGAAGAGTCGTAGTACGAAACACTGCGGCGTGCGGGAGCGACCGAATATTGCAACGAGTGATGGAAGAATACGGCGTAATTCGCAGTCACCAGCCAGCCGGCCATATGCGCGCTCTTCCACTAGTGAGGAAAGCAAATGAAAAAGGAGGCCCTCACCCAGCAAGACCGGGTGCTTCGATGCGATTGAGGAAGCCATTGAGAGTATGGAACACTCCGTAGGCTGGGGCGACAATAGGCAAGCATGCGGGTGCGGGTGATGTGCAATGGGGCAAGACGAGAATAGAAATGGCCACATGCGCCTGCCAGGGAAGGTAACTTACGAAAATACATCGTAGGCGTTGGATACAGTTGTGCTCCGTCGATCTCCTCCTGCGCTGTCGCTCCTGCCCTCTCACCAACTATGAAGGCAGGAAGTGCACACCTCATGAAGCCCTTTCTGCGCTCCTTCCCCCTGTTGACTTTCCTCTGCGGCCCCCTAAATTTCCTACCACACGCCCAGCCAATAGAACGACACCACCGTCTTGACCCCTTGGCATTCAATTTTTGCGCCAATAGGTTCAGGCCGATATCCAGATTGCACCTTCCTGGTCTCGTGTCTTGGAACGACAGTTGGGGAAAGTCCCAACTGTCCCCACTCTCTAGAGTCAAGTGGTCCACAGAATGCGACTTGTAGCGTGGGAAAGAGCGAACAAGCGCACGAATCAATACTGCCACACTGCAAGGGACGGCCAGAGCGTGGGCGCCAGGGGTTCTGAAACCGTTAGCGTCTGTCTCCCATGTCCAGGTCCAATCAGAAACGGCGGCCGTGTTGATGGGACAGGGGCTTCACAACCACCGCAGCCAATGCAAAGACGATTCTTGTCTTCTGTCATTTGTCCCTCTCGTTTGCGCCCGCTGGCCTTTGGTGTGCGTGCGTCATTGTGCGCGGAAGAGCGTCCGAACGAGAGCGAACGAGAACATACACAGTACCCCAGCAAACGATAAACTTGTGAGAGTAGACCAAAAAGGAGAAAAGTCCGGAGGACAGCGAACGAGAACATACACAGTACCCCAGCAAACGATAAACTTGTGAGAGTAGACCAAAAAGGAGAAAAGTCCGGAGGACAGCGAACGAGAGAAAGTGGGGAGAAGCAGCGAAATGAAGGACGGCGTCGGGCGTGAGCGAGGTCGACGAGGGCCAGAGATTACTTGCACCGAAAAAACGGGTCGATGACCGAAGACTCAAACCAGAATACGCACAACTAGACACGACGAGGGTCAGGCCTGGGGCCGTCGACAAAATGTGCTGACATACGGAGTACGCGGACAAATGTGAGTAGAAGATTTGCCCGGGGGGTTGACGCAGGCAGGGGTCACGAGAAACGAGAAAAAGAAATGAAATGAGAACAACCAGGAGACAGGAACCAAAAGACCAGACGCAGAGACGACGACAGTGAGGAGCACGACACAGGTGAGCAGAGAACGCGATCTGAGCCTTGGGGGTCATGGAGGCAGTGCGCGTGGATCAAAGGCAAAGCACCTTAAAAATTGAGGGAAAGGGATATGCCTCCACGGAGTAAAGAGTGGGCGAAAACGGCGGCGCAGCCAAGACGGGCTATGTATCGTCTCAGAGACACATCGATGGGCAGCTCGGACGGAACGATCCTTGGGATGCATGTGCGGATTCACGGCGGCAGGTCGGGACCGGAAATGCACAACCAGACACAAGGTGAGTCGGCGGCGTCGAAAGCGATTCGAAGAGTTCGCTCTGTAGTTTCTCTCTCATTTTCTCTTTTATTCGTCTCTCTCTTTTGTTTGCAGTTTTGTGTTGTTTCATTGTTTGTTTTCTGCTCTGGTCCAGTTCCGCAGAAAAGGGGCATAGTTTGTCTCTCTTTATTTGACTATTTGATTATTTTGGACTATTTGCCTTCTCCTTTCTCGGCACGCAACTCGCTGTCTTTCCTCGCCGTGCCGCGTTTCACCTAAAGAGCCTGTTTTGATGTCTCGGATGTCTTGGGTGGTGGCACTGTCGCAGACCACTTGCGGTGACGCGCGAAATTACCGGCCATCACGTGGAAACGAGAGACATGCCATGCGGGTAGAATCAACTTGGACAAACGACGTCTCGGACGGATCTGCATAGACGCGAAAACAAGCAGGCGACGCAGACCCAGACCGAGACCGAGACACAGAAATAGACACAGTTATGTAGTTCCCACTTGACGGACGTAGACGACCGGTGCAGCGGATAAATGGCGGCTTGGATGTCGACATGGCAAGGCAATGATGCCTTGGTGTTGCAGAAATGCCATGAGCAGCCATGACTCGACGATGAAGCCATGTGCCTTGTATCCGTCTTCCGTTCTCCGTTCTCGGTATCTCAGATCAGTAAAGAGAGTCATGCCCTTCCTTCGTCTTCCTATTGGGAGGGATTTTGCCGTTTGGCAGACCCACGATCTCGGTTTGTACGGACGTGATCCCACCCGCCACGGACCCAAACCCAGGACCAGACACCAGACCCAGACATCGTCGTCCAGGTGCAGCTTGTGACATGCCCGGCGTTGGCCGAGATGAGTGTTCTCGGATAAAACGGTCTCAGGGACCCGCGCGACAGCAGACAAAGACAAAAGTACTCGGTTTGCGACATTGAGTAAACCGTAACCGTCGTTGATTCACGTGAATGTGATTTCGTGTATTCATCTTAGCCCAGACAAGGTAATCTTTTCCTGTTTGTGTGTATCATGTAGAATAATCCAGCAATATGTGTCCTACCTGTACCCCCGTGCCCTTTGCATGTTGTAATTAGATCCAAACGATTCCCACAAAGTAAACGGTCAATAACGGCACTTGCAAAATCAAACAAGCATAAAAAAGGAAGGAAATAAAAAAAGACAAGATCAAAAATAAAACAATAAATGTAAAATCAAAGGCGGAAAAGAAAAAAAAATAGAATTATGTCACCACCTTAGCCCGTGACTGCTTAGTTGTGCGGCCAGCAGTCTTGGCTGCCTTTTTGGCCGCGTGCGCAGCTGCCTTCTCGGCCTTTTCCTGCCTCACGTCATCCAGGTTGCGCACCAGGATCCACGACAAGTGGCGCACACGGTACTTTTCGCCAAAGGGCTCCTTGAGCTTCTTGCCTTTGGCATAGCGCTTCCAGGCCCGCCGCCGTGCCCGGCGCGCCTCCTTCTCGGCCATCTTGATATCAAAGCGCACGTGTTTGTCAGCCACAATGGCCAGCCCGTGGTTGACGGCACAGCCCACGGTTTCCCACGTCGAAGGCGCCCGGCGTAGCGCCGGCGGGCGACCATCATCCGTGTCATCCACCTCCGAACCGTCATCATCGCCCTCGCCGCTTTTCTTCTTCTCTTTTCTGTCCGCCACGTAGTCCGGATGCCAGCGCGCCGCCACGTCAGCCGCCGCTTCGCGGTACGACGGCTTCGCCATGGGCATAAGGCAGCCTGTGCGCGTCTCCAGCTCGAGCGCCGCCGCCCAGCCGGAGTCGTTGAAGTGGCGCATGCACCGCTCCAGCGTAGCCAGCTCGACGGTCTCCTCGCTGAGCGGCGCCAACAGCGGCGCCTTGGGCGCGATGCCGAGAATGGCGCGCATGCGCTTGGTATTGGCAATGGAGACGTGCAGGCCGCGCGGCTCAAACAGCATAGCGTTGGCACGCGCCAGGAATATCTTGCCGCGCTTATAGGCCACGATGGCGGCGGTCACTTCGGCCAGCAGCTGCGCGACGGCACCGATGCCGTTGGCGTAGTCAAGCGGCACAAACTCCATGGCGAACGAGACAATCGACAAGATCATGACGGCCGGGTGGGGCGACGTGACCAGGTTGAGGCCGTCGATAAAGGCCAGGAACGTGGCGGTGTCGATACCATGGGTGTCGCCGAGGCACGGTGCGTAGCCGCGCGCAAAGGGCACGGTGTTGCCGTGATGCAGACGCGGAACAACGACGGGGTGAGCCAGGCGGCGGAATTTGCTGACCTCTCTCGAGGATGGCAGCGGAAGGTCGTTGAAGGGTGCGGTTGCAACGTCCAGCAGAAGCTCCTCGGCGGCCTCTTCGGCATCGGCCTTGGAATCCACCTTGGAATCCACCTTGGAATCCGTCTTGACATCTATCATGGTCTTCACGTCGACAGTAGCAACCGTCTTGGGGTCGTGAGTCGGGCTGCTCGCCTGTTTCACCACTGTGATGGCCTCGACATCCTCGGATGCCTGTTCTGCCGCAGCAGTAGATATTGTCACCACAGAAACAGCATCGTCTGGCTTGGGCACAGACGTGTCTGTGAGCGCGTAAGGCGGCGGTGGTGACCGTGGCCGTCTCATTCTACCAAACGATGTGCGGAGGCTGAGATTCGGGATCGAGCTGAGAGCACTAGTCCGCCGCTTGAGTGAGTGACCGTCGTCCGACGCCGTCGATGCCGCGACGGATGACTTGGCAGTTGCCGGCGGAGTTGATGACGGCGATGGCGGCGATGACTGTGATGACGGTGAGACCAGCACTGCCACCTCTGGCTGTTGCTGCCCCTTTCGCGCCCGCCGATGCAAAAACTTCACGCGCATGATGGCTGAGGGTATTATGTAGCTTCTGGATATGCCAAGACTTGCAACGCCGTCGATGTTGGCTTCATCGTATCTCGCGATGCTCTTGGTGGATTGGTGTCAAGCCAAGACTCTTTCGTTGTCGTCTCGGGATCCATTCGCATCTTTAAATGGTATCGAGCAGAAGGAGAAAAACAAGAAATCGTCGAAGGCTGTGTCTGCTGTCTCGTACTTTGCGCCATTTTCCCCCGCTTGCTGTAGATGGCCAGCTTCATTTGCGCGTTTGGGGACATTACCGACGTTCAAATACGGCATTACAGCGCGAAGGAGGGTAGAACATCGAAAGCGCCCCGCTAAAGCAAGGCTGTCGACCGCGTTGGCAGTTCGCCTCGCTGATTGGCTGCCCAGCGAGGCGCAGCAGACCTGCTTGCACTAGCGTGCCTTTGTGCCAACTGAACAGGGGAAAGAGCGACTGGCGGACCTAATAGGGACCAACTTTCTGAGAGACGAAAGTGTGGTTGTATTAGGATGAGTCTAATCTAAAACTAGCTACAGGTGGGAGATCGGGTGATGTAGGGATGGATCCATGAAAAGTGGGTCCACTATACTCGTCACTTTCCTAGGAAACTGGAAACTTCGCTTTGGAGCTCCAAGAAGTCGCAACCTTATTCTTCTTCTTCTGTCGGATTTCACGAGTCACCCAATTGGGTACCGTCCTTCATTCACCGACGATCAAGTGAGTATTCTGTAGAACTCCCTGCATGAGAAGACGAGGTGGCTTCGCATTGTTCGGTTTAAAAGGAACTGAATGCAACTCTACCAGCACTGCCATCCCGGCAGTTATGCTCTCTTTGAGGCTTCCAATAAGATCCATCTGCACATTGTGAATGTTTCTCAAAACCTTGTTGCTGATACGGAGTATTCCGTATGATATACCAGGGGTGCGCAGTGCGAGCAGCGTCAATTCCACTCCAAATTGATACACACGTTGTCTTATCACGTGCCCGCATTCCCCCCTTATCGCATAGCGGAGAAATATTTGTGCGGCCAAGTTTTACAGTGGGGCCGAGCTTTCCTCAAAAGCCTGAGCGTCGTTTTTTTTTCTGTTCACGACATTGTTTTCCTCATCATTCTGCCCTCACTGTCAACATTGACAACTTGAAATCACGTCTGCGCTCAGCATACAGCGCTTGCTCTCGATGCTGCCGTTTAGCAAGCGTGAACGGCAGCATCGAGAGCACACCCCCAAAAGGTAAGGACGCGCTCTCTTTTCCCGTTCCGTTTTCTTTTGTTCCTCTTCCCAGGCGACAACCTGATGAGAATAATTTGCGATTGATTCCTTGTTGATGGCCACATCGCCTGTGAGCTATATCTCCTGGATACGTGAAAGTTCATTCTTACATATTCTGAATATTGTCGTGTCTGGGAAGCTTGCTGTCGTCCACGACTTTGCTGTCGACGTTCGAGACAAAATTGCTAACTGGCATGTCAGATCCTTCTTCGTCCTGTCTATACGAACGCCACGAATTCCCTACCTCCCGTTAGCGTCCACATACTTTTCGAGGATGCCATATCGAACTGGCCGAACGCTGGTGTTATTTTGTGCTCGTCATAATCGCCCACCCCGCGGCAAACTTGACTTGTTCCCATCCATCATTCGTTAAGACCTTTGGACGGGACTGTGATGAGCTTGTAGATCCTGCTCCTGCAGTGCGTAGTTTGACGAAATAAAATCGTCGTCTTCGCGCCTGGGATCGTTTTGGCGCATGAACATAAATGTATACCTTTGATTAGTCGTTCGAAGTGGAAGCCGGCTTGCTGGATCCTTTTAATCCTGTTCGACTTGGCACATGGCCATGCCCGGTTGTCCTATGAATAAGACAACGGCGTCTGATTCCTTTCATCTTGCGCTGCTTTAGCCTCGTGGAAATGACGTCGCGACGAATTTTCATGTTGATCCTTTAACGATTCCAGTGGCAGTCCCGATCGCGACTGCCACGGCTTCATTGTTGGGCACCTTCCTTTTGATAGTACGCGAAGAGTGACGTACTTGACGTGACTTCCGCGGTCGCGGTGTTGCGCCTTCCTCACTTTTAGTTTTGCCAGGTGAGAAGGAACGACCCCCTCCATCCACGGTGTTAGTCCATCGTGACTTCCTCTTTTGGAACTCTGTCTCTCAGGACCGCGTCACTTCCTTCCCATCTACGCGCTCGAACGCGAACCCATTGGAAATGGCCGCCCCCCTTTTCCCATCTCATCATGGATTTTGTCAGATCATCGTCAGCTTCGGGTTGAATTGTTCGATCTACACTCGTACGCCATCACCACTCGCTCGTTTGCCTATCTCTTCTCTCTGCCTCTTGATACTTTGCTTCAACGACAAGAAAACTCCCTTGTGACTGTACAGTAGCTACATCGATCAGGATCATCTCTTACCTTACCTTCATATTCTTCTTTGCTCAGTCCCCAAAGATCACGGAGCTGAACCTCAATCTTGCATATTCCGTATCTATATGTTTCCCTTCTGGCGCAACCGTTGGGTCTCTTACCATGTTCTATAGCACAGAGAGTAGGTCATTGACCACGTACCTTCCTTGTGCGAGCGCATCGCTAACACGACGGCCTCAGTCCTTTGTGACAAGCGATATGCTTTGTCTACTGTTTGGTATGCTTCACCAGAATCAGAATACCTCGGAGCCTGTCGACTAGCATCTAACTCACCTTCCCAGGCGCGCCGGCAACACGGCAATTGGAGCTCGCACAACCGGCATTCGCCGCAAAGCGGTCCTTGAGGTCAGTGTAGAGCAAACTTGCGGCACAATCAAGGATCCTCCCGGTGCACCCATCGCTTTGCGTCTTCAGGGCACCCTGCTCTACGGCACCGCTCGCATCTACCAGGAACAGTGCCGTTATGTCCTCAACGACAGTGAGCGCGCACAGCGTGCCATGGCCAAGCTGCACAACGGTTTCCTAGACGACAAGCTCGACAAGAATGCCGGAAGGGCCAAGTACGTCCTTTCTCCTTTGCAGAGGCTGCGAACGGCCTAATGTATCACTAACACCTTCAAGATCCGTTCAAATTGTCCTCCCGAACGACCCTTGCTTCGATCTCGATCTGTTCCAGCTGCCCCCGTTTGATTTCGACGCACCAATGGACGGTTCGTTTCTCTCCCAGGAACACCAGGCATCGTGGACAAACATGTCTCTCAGCTCGCGCTCGTCCAACAAGAATCAGCTTCCCCAGCTTATGCTCGACGCTGACTCGTCTGCTGGTGGGTCGTATCCTGGCGCTTTCCGCTATTCGGCTTCTGGAGCCTCCCAGGTGCCCGAGTCCCCTACTCCGCTCGCCAGGGTCGAGTTTCAGGATGAAGAAAACTTGCTTCTTGATGTCGGTCTCTTCATTGACGAGAATGGAAACATTGTCGAGGAGGAGCCGCGGACCGAGCCGCAGCTGCCCGCCTTTCCATCAAAGCCCACAAAGGCGACAAGCGACACTGTGGTGCCGATGATTGTAGACGACGATGGCGACATCTTCAACGCCGACGCTGCACTCCAGGAACATGCTCACGGGAGCAAGACAAGCGACGGTTTCAAACCCAACCTACTGACCCAGACACCGTCCTCTCCTAGCAAGCTTTCATCGGCTTCGTCTACCATGGTGGCCCGGGCAGCGAATCGAAATGCCTCACGAGTCAAACTTAATTTCGTTGATGGTGTCACGCAAATCCCTCTCAGGGACTATTTCAACTACGTGACCAACTATACTGCGAACATGGAACGAGCCGCCGAGAAAAAAGGCCATGGCCGGATCCTTCGTCGGGCCCATGACACCAACCTCCACAGGCAGATCGCGCATGCTTTCACCTTTGGACGTGGAGTGTTTGGCGTGGCCGATGCTGTCACGAGCCATTACCCAAATCACCCATTGGCGCAGATGTTCGCTGGTGACGCCCTCGGGGAGGCGCTCTTGGGTGACGGTCTGGCCAGAGCGAAACGGCGCCGTCTGGATGCCATTGAACCCAGCACGCCCATTGCTCGCGGTGTCCGCGGCGTACATCTGAACGGGTTTGACGACGAGCAGGAAATTGAGCTTGGTCGTCAGCCAGGCTCAGCGCTGTCGGATCACCCATCGCTTGCCCTTCGTCAGTCATCTGCCTTGCCTGGATCGTCTGCTCATGGCAGTGTGCAGCGCAGTGCCGCGTCGGCCATTCGCCATCTTCCCGATGGCCGGCTCTCCAGCGCAGGCTTCCCCGAGAGCCCAAGTTTTTTTGAGCGCTACAGCGACGAGGCCATGGACATTGCGCAGCATCCAGCCAGCAACGATGGCAATCTCTTTCTCCCATCTGTCAGCTCAGTGGCTCCGGCTGGTGCCGGGGCCCCGGTCGGTGCCACTGGAGACAAGGCCAAGGACAGCCAGGCAGGTAACGAAGACAAAGTCGGCGAAGAGGTGCGCAATGCCGCTGTATTTTTCGAACTGGTTCGTGAGATGGCCACCGATCAGGGCCTCGCTCGGCCGGATGCTTCGGCGACGCACCGCTGGATCGAGTTTGGCGACGTCGTCGCACCTTTCAAGGCAAACCGCGCTGCAGTCGTGGGTGCCTTTATGAGTCTTTTGTCGCTGACCACGGCAAACAAACTGCGCATCCAGCAGGACAATGCCGAGGGCGATGTCATTGACCGCGACATTTTTATCGGCGTGAAGCCGAAAAAGCGCGGTGGCGACAAGGTCACAGGCAAAGCCAAATTGAAGGCCAAGGGCAAGAAGAAGCGAAGCATCCAGGAGATCAGCGAGGACAACAACAGCGGCGATGTGGATGAGCTCATGGCCGAACACCTTTTCTCCAGCCCGAGGACTGTCGATCAACCCTTCCGTGGCAGTGACCTGACTGGCATCGAGCTCATCGGCGTAGCTTGATTTCTTACTTGACTTTTTCTTGTGCAATGTTTACAACTGCTAGCTCTTTACTATGTTTTCTTCTATGATTTTTTTCTCGTCTTAATTCCTTTACATTCACATGATTTTTTCCCTTCGTGCATATCCTATTCTCTCCATCTGTCCTTCTCTTCTTTTTTCTTTCATCCTTCGTTTTTGTTTATCGCAAGCATCTCTTTTGTTATGACGCATGCTACTTTTAAAAAAATTTGCTCGATATTATGGGCAACAAAGGACAAAATCTCATCTGGAGTTTCGGGAAACGGCAATGCATGGGACGGGGTTATATTTCAAGATCACATGCATTCATCGACAAGGGTCACTTCAACGCGGTATGGAAAAAGATAAAATGCGGGACAAGGAAATGGGCGCTACCATGGCACATATTTGATTTGATTTTGAAAATTGGGGCATCAAGAAAAGGGACAAAGGGGGTCTAATGTACAATAAGGGCAATGGAAAATTCAAGCCAAACATGAATCAAGGAGAGCACAAGCGCCAGTAAAATCAGAAAATAGGGACAGATAACAAATAGATAGCCACCTTCGCGTCGTTTCCGCTCCTACACGATAATCTCAACTGGCTTTTTATGCGTCAAACTCAATGATCCGCTCCGTCGTAACAGACGCAGCCGGGCCACCGCTGCTCTTGTCTTTCTTCATGGCAATGCCCCCCTTGCTGTCGCCACCACCATCTGCCTTGGCATCGGCCCCTTCCAGGAGATCCAGGTCGGCTGATCGACCACCACTGCCCGAAGAGACAACCAGGTCATCGTCGTCTTCATCATCGTCGTCGGCGTCAGCATTCGGCCGGGCTTGGCCGGGCAAGGCGTTCTTCTCTAGCTCACGCTGGGCCTCCTCCATGCGCTTGCGCACTTCGGCCGCCACGCGCATTCCGTCGGTGACAATGTTATCGAGCACGCCACGGAGACCGCGCGAGGCGCCGCTAAAGGCCTGGCCGGCTTGAAGCGCGCCGGGCCGGGGACCACCGGCACCGACACCGGGTGAGAGACCGCCAGCAGCGCCAGCGCTGCCGTTACCATTGCCAGCACTGCCAAACGCAGCTGCAGCCGCCCGACCGGCACCGATGCCTAGGTTGGCAAAGGTGGTGAGAGCAGACGCGTTAGACGACGGGCTTGCCAAGGAGACGCCCTCGATCACATGGAAGGAGGTTGGGAAGGACGACTCAAAGAACTGCTCGAGCAACTCATCGGCAAGCACGACCATGCGGAACGTGGGGAGCGTAATGTGCAGGGGGTTGGAAGGGTCGAGAGCCACGTTGGCGCGCTCCGACTCGGCCTTGGAGACGATGCGGCGCTTAGCGTCAGCTCCGTCGACGGTTAAATGCTTCGCCTTGGCAGGCTTGGGACTTCCATGGGGTGATAGTGCCAGAAGGTCCTCTTCGTCATCCTCATCGTCGCCGTCATCGTTATCGTAGTAGTCTTCACTGTCCTCGTCATCGCTGTCGCCAATGGCAAACGAGTCGGGTTGGGCCAGACCGGCGGTATCGCCGACATCGGCCGGCTTGGCGCTCTTCTGTGCCTTTTTGTCCTTCTTTTCCTTTTTGGCCCTTTTCGCCTCGGCCTTTATTTCGCTCTGCGGGTGGTCTGGGTCGGCATACTCAAAACATCGCCGGATGAACGCGCTCACACTACCGAGGAACCGCTCATTGATCGTCATCTCCGACGGCAGAGGACTGGAAGAGCCACTGTGGAGGCTCTCGTTCGCGCTGTTAGCAGCGTCCAGAGCGGCCTGGTTCTCGGGGCTCAGCGTCCCCTCGAGGCCACGGCGCGACAAGAACAACAGGGCCTCCGACATGCGCAGGATGCCCTCGCGATCCACGCGGCCGTCGCCGTCGTCGTCGTATAGCTCAAAGAAATAGTTGATGGCGCCCATGATATCGCGCTTTCCCTTGATCCGGGCAATGCCGCTGACAACATTGGGCAGCGTCAGCCAGCCGGCGTTGTCCTTGTCCCAATGCGAAAAGAGTCGTTGCAAGAATTCGTGATCGGCCGGCTCCGGTCCGACACCCCACGGCGACATGATTGCACTGGAGTTGCCCGTTGGACTTCGAAGGGACGAGAAGTAGGCAGCGGCCGTTGAGGCGGAGAACGATGGGCTCTTTTCACGGTCGCTAAACGAGTCGTTGACGGGTGTAGTTGGCGAGTCCGAGATAGCCCACTTGGACATGCCGGCGAGGAACTCGCGGAAAGCGTCGTAGTCCATCTGGCTGGTACTGGCACCAAGCCCGACCCGTCCTTGCTCCGCGTCAGGGGCTGACGAGATATTGGGCTTGGGAAGAGGCGGTGTCGATGGGGAAGGATCGGCGCCATCCAGGCCCAGTTTGGCCCGCCGTTGTTGTCGCTGTTGCCGTTGCAACATCTGCTGATGTTGCTGGACGATTTGTTCCTGCTGTTGACGAATGATGAGATGTCTCTGCTGGCGCTCGTACAGGACACCGTAAAAGCGGTCATACAGGCCACCCAGCTCCTGTGTGCTGAGGACCTTGCTGTCGGGACCCAGGTTGCGGAGGGCGGTGCGCTTTGTAAAGTTTTCGATGTTGTTGAGGACAGCGTCCTTGTTCTTCTGGCGCAGGTCCGCGATGGTGGCGTTGGTGATGCCCGAAAATTCTTTGAAAGCAACGACCATGAGCTCTTGGAAGCGAGTGACGGCACGCAGCTTGGGGTTATCAGATCGCGGGTGTGCGGACTCGTCTAGGCGCGAGAAGTACGACTTGAGCACCGAGATAAAGGCTCCATCGTCGCCCGCGTCAAGGAGCTCCTCGCCGTTGATGCGCAGAATGGCCAGGCCGACCTGGAACAGCACCTTGGGGCCTTCGACGAAAAAGACGTCGAGCACGCGGAAGGCAAACACAAGGGGCATTGAGTTGATGTACAGCGACAGGAACCAGGGCAGCGACACCACCGAGAGCTGCACGTCGCTCTTGACCAAATGGTCCCAGATAATCGGCATCGTCTTCTCGACGAGAGACTCAAACACCTTCTGGTCGAGCAGAGTGCCGTACATAGTGGTCGAGTAGTAGCCCGGCACAAGCCGGTCGCACAAGGTGGACAGCAAAAAGAAGGCCTGGACCTCGGACATGTAGATGAGCAGGGCAGCCACGACAATGTTCATGGCCTGGCAGTAGCCAACGTCGGCATTGACCCAGCTGTAAGCCGTCAGAACCCGCCGCAGCCGGCCGATGCCGTCCTCGCTCTGGAAACCAGCATACTCGGGCAGCGAGCGGTTCAGATCCTTCTCGATCTCGTCAATGGCCAGCGACTCCTGGCCCTTGTAGGTCTCGAGGGTGTCGTTGTAGAGGTTGGGGTTGTCGAAGCGCAGGTAGATGGAGCCGGATGTCAGCTCCCACATTTCACCACGGAGACGATTCGGCAGGCCGACGCGGATCAGCTTGTAGAAGGTGGGGTGGCGAACCAGAGTCAGGTTACGGCCATTGTCACGCAGGTACTCTGCCCAGAGCCGCATTTTGGCGCGATCACGCAGCTTTTTGGCGTCACCCGGGTAGCGGAAGACCATACCAAGTCCAGCATCTGGCGGGTTCATTGTCGTCTTGCGCTCCTCAGGGCGTAGCAGGTATTCGGAGTAGCACTCGCTGGCCACACCCCGCATCTTTCCAATCTGTCCAATGGCCGTACGAAGGTTCTTCTTGAGGCCGTCGCAGAAGCGTTCGCAGGCCTGACGTGAACCGGCCAGCTCAATGGTGATGCGCTGTTCCCGCGGAGGCGAGACAGCAGGTGCTGGACCCTTGGCATCGTCGCCCTTGGGTGCAGAGGAGCCCTCGTACAGCAAGCCGTTCCATGACGTTATCGACAGGCAAAACTGGAAGTTTTGGGTGTGGAGGCGCTCGACCCGGCGAATGGCGCACAGCGGGAATGTAAAACCCTTTCCGCTGGGACCTTCGCCGTGGGTCTGGCCCGTAAATGCGGAGGAGGTAGCCTGACTCGCGGACGAGACGAAGCTCGACGGGGCGGTCGAAAAGCAGAGGTAGGCTTCGGAGAGGTGAAGGCGCCCGGCGTAGCGGTACGCAGCGTTGTTGGATGCAGGAGCAGCGACGAGGCCAACGGTCTCTTTCTCGGAGGGCGGGAGGGTCAGCTCGGCAGCGATCTCGTGCAGTGGGTGCTGGGACGCGGGAAGGCGGAACTGGGCCTGAAAAAGGGCGGCTTTGGAAGGGCTTTTCTTTGTATTGTCGCCGGTGAGGCCCGCGAGGAAGCCGGCTGGTGCACCGGTTGAGCCGGAACCGTTGCCCGAGCCAGAAGTAGCATTGGGATCAAGCAGCTGCTGAGCCCGCTGGACAAAGCCCGAAATGTTCAACATCCTGCTGACTGGGGATTCTTTTCAAATGGAATGTTGGCACCCAAGGCACCGAGGTGGAAAGGGCGGATAGGTGGTCGATTGGTGGTCGGATGCTAGAGGGATGCCGATTTAGGCACTCTCAACGAAAGACGTAGGCCCCGGCGGTTGTTTGGCCGTACCAAGAAAGCCTCCAGCGGTGCTCTAGCTGCTTCGATCCAAATCGTGTCAGGCGAGAGGGAGGCCGAGGAACAGGAAGAGGCGGGAGACGTCGCCCAGGAGAAGGATGACGGGGAAACGAGCAGAGCTGGTCGCTGAGACGTCCGGCTGCAGCTATGTTGTCACACTCAATCGATAAGTCGGTCGACCTCCTCAGCGCGCGCGTGTCGTGATCATGCTAAAGGGGGGGGGAAGCTCGAAGTAAGGTTGGTTCGTTGGGCGAGGTAAGCAGGTGGGAGTAGTGGGCGGTGTGGAGGTGAGAGGTGGTGGGAGGAGGCGATAAAGCCAAGCCGTAGCGGCGGGATGATTGGAACTGGGAGACGATGGCGGCAGAAAAAGTACGGAGTAGTACAGAGGAGAGAGGGGAGAGGGGGAAGCCCTGGACAGGAGCTGTGGAGCACGAATAAGCTGAGCAGGCTGAGCAGCTGAGAGGATTTGGCTTTAGCTGAGTCGGGAGTGTGGGCACACACTGTAAAAGGGGTTGCTCGAGACGCCTGGTACACATTCCTTTCCTTAACTGTTTGTCCTTGAGTGCAAAAAGAAACATGAAGCAACGGGGGCGAGGAAAAAAACAAAAGAAAATAATGACCAGGGAAGAAAAAGAAGACAAAAACACTGGCTGGAAACGTACCTTGATCCACAATCAAAAACGAGAGCGGAGGCTGCCGGCACAGTGCAGAGCTGCACGACACGAACGGGCCGGAAACGCGCGTCGGACAGACGACGATAAAGAAGAGAAGAAAAGAGGGTGAGATGCAGATAGGATGGATGCACGATGGCATTGAAAAGCAGAGAAGAGGCAACAAAAGGCAAGTACGCCTGTTCAGACTAAATGGTACCTGCCGAGCACGTGTTGCAAATTACGGAAGCATCTTACAAGGCCAATACGGAGGAAGGTGTGGACGGGCAAAGCGGACAAGAAGGAGCGACGCGAAAGGGTGCATCCATCTGATGGCCGAGCAGAAGGAGCGATGGGGTGTTTGTCAGGACGCAATCACAGCCAGAACGATGCTCACGGTTGCTCCTGCTTTTGCGAGGCATGTTGCTGAGTGTGTCATGCATGCGCAGTGCGCAGTTCGGTATGGCTTGTCTTGGACGCTAGGCGGGTCGACCAGACCCAGCAGTTAGAAAGGCGCCTGAAACGGCGGCAAGGCGAGCTTAGTTAGCTGGCGAAGCCCTACAACATCTCTCTTCAACGAAAAACGGCCTGACTAGGCCACTGTGGCTCTCCACTAACACGCTAAATGACCAGACCGACCGTTGTCAGCCCTGTATTATTCCGTAAACAACGCAATGTACATTCGTAGCCAAGCCCTCTCATCCCATCGAAGCACGAAATGTTTATTTATAGCCACGTCTCCGTATGGTTCATGCCAGCGACATCCGGCGGATGCCCATCTCCACGCCTTCACGACGCTCTTTCCTCACGCGTCACATTCCCCAAATCAGCCCTGCGGCACTGAACGGCGCAATTTGGTGACACCCGCTCGGTCTTGTCTGGCGTAGTGGAAGTTTCGGACTTCTGTGTCGTTCGACATAGATGCACTTCGTATTGAGGAATCTCGTGAAAATAACGCTCACGATACATTGAAATCGAAAAGCCGCGGTCGAGTTTTCTGTCGGCTGCAGCTGCCGTTTCGGTTCACGCAAGTTGGTTGTGCCTGAAATCAGGTGATCAATGGATGAAAGGATCAATGTAATTGGGTAATGGCTAAATACAACATTATGACGAAATCAACCAAAACAAATCATTAAGACATCAAAAGGCCATCGCAGAATATGGCACTGTAGATCAGTTGTCATTGAGCCCCCATTGGTTGGCAGGCGAGCAATGCATGTGTTGGTATTTGACCTGAATGGTGGGAAAGGCGCAGTAAGCAGCATGTATGGCAACAGCTGACAAGATCTATGTTTGGACAAAAAACAGAGCTGGCAAAGATAAAGACACCATAGCAACAGGCACACCAGCCCGCTCAAGCCGCTCTCGAGTAGGCCCCGCCAGTCGTCCCCTTTCGTCTCTCTATGCACATGCGACGGCCTCAAACGACGTCCGACAATCTACTTGTCGACAGCGCCGAAGCACGTCTCCATGATGATGCCAGTAATGCGGTAAGGGTCGGCGTTGGAGGCGGGGCGGCGATCCTCAAAGTAGCCGTAGCCCTTTGCGCCGACCTCGCGAGGAATGCGGATAGAGGCGCCGCGGTTGGCGACACCCCAGCTGAACTGGTCGATGGCACCGGTCTCGTGGCGGCCGGTCAGACGCTTCTCGTTGTCCTCGCCGTAGACGGCAATGTGCTCCTTGTGGCGGCCCTCGAGCTTCTTGATGGCCTCCTCAATGTACTTCATGCCACCCTCGACACGCATCTCCTTGGTGGAGAAGTTCGAGTGCAGACCGGCACCGTTCCAGTCGCCGGGGATGGGTTTGGGGTGAAACGAGACCTTGGCGCCCAGCTCCTCGGCGATACGGTGGAGCAGGAAGCGCGAAATCCACAGGTGGTCGCCCATCTCGATGCCGGTGCAAGGACCGACTTGGTACTCCCACTGGGCGGCTGCAAAAGATGTTAGCAACAGGGATTCAATTCAGACCGTGGGTACATGACATGGGAAGGGAAGCCGACATGGGAATAATCGTATGAAAAGTATGATGTAATTGAAATGGGTGGGTGGGTGTCGCGTGGGAAAAGCAAGGAATGTCAACTTACGCATGACCTCGGCGTTAGTGCCGCTGATCTTGACACCAGCGTACAGGCAGGCTGTGCAGAACTGTTAGCAAAAATCGTTTCTCACCAAAAAAAAGCAAAACCAAAACACACGCCAGTTGTTGACAATAAAACACCGCATTGACAACCCAACGAGTTGGGAAACCGAACAGGTCGAGCCTTGCGGCTTGACTTGCAGAACGATTTGTCGTAAAAACAAGGAACAAGGTCGTGTGACCAATTGGCATGGTGGGCTGGCTGCTTGCTTACCCTTGTAGTGGGCCTCGACGATATCACGCTGGACAACCTTGCCCGAGCCGACACCGCAGTAGTACGGGCCCTGGGGGGCAGGGAAACCGTTCGTGGGCCAGCCGTACGGACGGTCGGAGCTGTCGAGCAGGGTGTACTCCTGCTCGAGGCCGAACCACGGCTCATGGGCGGCGTGGGCCTCCATGAGCTTGGCGCACTCGTGACGGTAGTTGAACTTGTTAGGCGTGCCGTCGGCGTTCCAGCACTCGGCCAGGACAAGGATGTTGGGAGACAGGAGGAAGGGGGACGGGAAGATGGCGACGGGCTTCAGGTAGACGTCGGAGTTGTCACCGGGGGCCTGGCCGGTGGAGGAGCCGTCAAAGTTCCATATCGGGAGCTCGTCGACAGTGTAGTCCTTTTCCTTCAGGGTCTATTGGTCAGGGCGCAAAGGGCGGTTAGCAAAGGCGGGCCAGATAGGACGGTCAGGACAGACGGCATGAGGCGGCCAGACGGCCAAACGGCCAAACGGCCCAACAAAGCGAATACAAAACGAGTCATAAAAAACAAGCGGGTCGGGAAGCAAAAAAAACAACTTACCCGGGACTTGGAGCGAGTGTTGCCCTCGGCATCGATCCAGATGTACTCAGCAATAATGCTGCCCTTCTGGTCGAGCTTCAGGTATTTTTGCAGCTGTGATGCGAGTTAGCAAGGGCTGCCAGGCTTGTGAGGCTTGTAAGTGAGTTCGATTTTCGATTCGGGCAAGAAACGTACAACTGCAACGTTGGAGGTAAGTTGTTCTGAAGACTATATGCGAGAATATGTTGTCAGCAAACCGTAACGTCGTCTTGGAAACAGCCTCTGCGCCATCCTCTCGCATGATGCTGTTCTTTTGTGAATTCTTGTTCTCTTCGTCGCTGTCCGTCGCTTTTCCAAAACAAAATCGGCGGCCAGCGCATGACGAACGACGAGAATTGGCGGTTCCTGAATACAGCAACCAATAGCAATGAAGGGGGGAAGGCGGTGTTGGAGACAGCCTTACCATATTTGCGGTTGTGTGTGAGAGAGAGGTTGTGAATGGGGAGGAGAAAAGAGAAGAGGAACGGAAGAAAAAGAGAGGACGAAGGAAGAAAGTGACAAGAGGAAGAGGTTATATGTTGTAGAAGAGCAAAAATAGCACAATGGCTTCTTTATGTGTGGAAAAGGAGAAAAACAAGTTGGGAAAATATAAGGAAAGAGCCAGAAGAAAACTGTCACTGGCGGGGTTCCGGGGAGCGGCGAGGCAGGGTTCTTTTATCTGTAGCGCTCTTTCCTAGCGACGGCGCTGTATCGGCTTGTGAACGAGCAAGTGGAATCGCAAAAAACTGGGTCCACTTAGGTCACTATTCTCGCGGCGTGGGAAATAAGTCAGGGAGTGGGGAGCCCAAGGGAAACGAGACGGGTTGGCTTTTAGGGGGTGTGGGCATCCTCTAGGAGCCAGGGAACAAAAGAAAAATGCTAAAAAAAAAACGAAGAAAAGAAAGATACTTACGAGCGAGTACCCTTCGTCGTGATGTGTGTACTGTGCTTAGTGGGTGTGGGTGGCAGTTGCCCAAACCGGACCCTTGATGAAAAGTGTGAAAATGAAAGAGGAAAGAATGACCCCCAGACTCATCTGAGAGAGGAAGGGGGAGGGGGGGAGGCAGCGACACCTTCCTGGGGTAAGATAGAGAAGATAAGGATGAAGCATTTGATGTGGTTTTTATTACCGAAAAAAAGGTAACAGAAACGTCACTTAGGAAGATCAAGGGCCAGAGTTTCTGCGGTGAATCCTTATTGCAGCTTACGTAGTGTCTTGCAAGACAAAAAGGGCAACTGCAGGGGCCTCTTTCCCGAAATGGTGTGTGGGCTCGCTGAGCATGCCACACTGACTCTGATCTGATGGATGGGAAACAGCGACCCAAAGCCGCTCACAACGCGAGGTTTTTGCGGCCGTATCTTTCAATGCGCGGCGGAAGCCACGATGGTTGCTTCAGCTTTTGCTTGGTTTCGTGGATGCGGCGTCACTATCATGGTCACGCCCTTCCCCAGAGGCGGTTGGAAGATACGAGTCGTAGCGAGTAGTCATCGTCTCTCGTGTACTCCGAGTTCTCGTAAGAAAAGATACCTTGGAGCGGTGGCGGTTTTTTCGGTGGGGGCGACGCCAGTGGGAATAAAGCCTGAAAGACAGGGCCTAGACAAGGGAACAGGAATGGGAATGGGACGAGGCGTGATGCTGGAGAACAAAAAGCGATAAAATTGTCTGGGCGAGGAACTCTGGGCGAGGAACTCTGGGCGAGCAACTCTGGGCGAGGTACATGGACTTGTGGTACCCTGCCGAGCGCAGCTGTGCCCATGTGCTGTCTCGTCCGCAGGCGCAAATTCGCGTTTTGCAGGCTCCGGGTCGGTTCTAGGACAGAGGAACAGATAGTACGAAATACCACGCTTGGAAGTACCCATTCGGGCGGTGTCGCGCGCTACGGACCCGCTAGCGCGCCAACGAAGGATGGCTAGAGCCAATGACAGAACCGCTCGATATCGAAAGGCGAAAAAATGGGAAGGCAAACAGAAAGGTTGGGGAAGCAACGACTCACGACACGACCGGCACAGAATCGGATCACAATCACATCGAACGTTGATGCTCGTCAAAGCGCAAAGGCCTGATGGTCTGGACATTCGTTTCGGGGGTGGCGGTTTGCGTGTTCCTGTGACAAGCAGGCCCAGCTGCGGCATTTTGAATGTTCTATACAGAAAATAAGGAACATACAGGACCATGAGGGACATGTGGCACGAGGAGATTAGCAGAAACAAAAAAAAAATGAAACAAAAACAATGATACAAAACTAAACACACGGGAAAAGAACGTGAAATAACCGAATCGAGGAGCAGCTGCAGCAGCACAGATAGGACACCTACCCGACATGCCTCACACTCGTGTCTCTTATCAGTTCACTATCACGGGAGGTGCAGACTTGGTGGCCGCACAAGCTTCCCGCGCCGACGATATTGCAACGACGTGGGGTTCGCCTTGCATTTGTATTCGTTCTGGTGCGCTTCTCCTTCTCCTGGTGCCACCATTCGCGGAGGGTGCAACCAACTGTCGAGCCCTCTCTCTGTCTCCCTCTCTCTTCTCGCGAGGGCATCCACCATCCACTGCTGAGTGCCCCATTGTAGACAGCACAGCTCCATATTTCATCCAGGAACAGCTCCACGCGGACTAGCAAGAAGGCCATCCGTCTCGGGGATATCCACATCAGCGGCCAACAAGCCAACCTGTCCCAAACGATCTATTTCCCGCATGGCGTAGACTGACAAGGAGCGCAGGTTTCGAGCGAGTCAGAGGGGAGGGAAAGTGACAAACGGCAGGGGGTTTAATTCCCTCGCACCTGAGAGAGCAGGAAACCCAAAGAGATATGGGTAATATTGGAGCTTGGGCAGTTGTGGAGTTGAGTAGGAGGAAGAACACCCTTCCCCGGTAGCCATGCGCTCTTAATGGCATTCCTATTTGTACTCCGTATGTTGCACCGTGTTGCTCCAATGATGCTTCCAATATTGGTCGAACCCACCCCCATTCCTCTGACCTGCATATCAGACTGCCTGTTGGTCACTGCACCGGCAAGCCCCTGGCTTTTGAGGCAATAAGGTTCCAAGAACACACAAAAAAACGCATCAAGTGAGCATCACAAGGCGGCAATGATATCCGTTAGGATGGATGCAGTTGAGTCATCTTTGGGGAAGCACGCGACAGTGGTGACCTTTGAAGCAATCAAACAGAATATCAACGGACCAAAACGACAAAAGGTAAAGCGATCGAGTAAACAGAACCGGGCCCACGCACGAATCACAGCGTCGCCCGGAGTAATCTTTTGGTCGTTCAGCCTTCCCACACGCCCCTCCATCCCTTTTTTTTTAATAATAAAAATCTTCTTATTTACTTTTACATATCTTATATCCATACCTCTCAAAGGGTCTCGTGTACCTCCATTGCGTTGGGCACACATTTACCTGACATTCTTCTCTTCGTTTAAAAATAGTGCAGTCTATCACTTTTCTTCTCCTTCTTTATTTTTTATTTTGAAAGAAATACATCTATCGTCCTTGTCTGCGGATTGCCTGGAGATTTCCTGCTTTCCCCCTTTGCCCCGTCGTCAAATAGGATCTCCAGATCTGCTTTCCTGTCAAGTAACCATTTCAAAACGCCATTACCTTATTGCTCAGAGTGGCGGTCGCCTATCGATTTGAGTTGAGAATCAGCACAGGGCCGGAAACCGCCCCAAGTATCGGAATGCCCCCTGTGACTGTGGAATTGTTGTTCTCCCATTTCCCCTGCTAGCCTGGGCCAGCCGGCGCCTGTCGTTTGTTACGGGCGAAGTATCTTTTTTCGAGGCCAGAAAGCCGGGCAGTGCGATACATCGCCGCTTTGTAGTGTGTTAGTGCCGCATACGGGGTTCTGCAGCACAGCCAATCAGAGCGTTTCGCCAGTTTCTTATCATTGCTCTTTGATTGGTGGGTTACTCATTGCCACACGACCTGTTACCTAAAGGCCGCCGAGGCGGAGCGCAAGCCAAGCCGGGCGGTCGTGCGCACAAAGAAACACAGGGGAACCGCCATGAGAGCACACAGAAAACGAACAACGAACAAATGGAAGATCCTAATCGGTGACCAGTCCGCCGCCACTGGTCACTGTCGCCGCTGCCCAGAGGCTTGGAATATACGTTGTGGCCGGGGCGCGATTGTCGAAACCGGAAGGAACCACCGTGTGACACGCGGGACGCCATTCGGTCTGACGACATGGCATGCCTACACTTACAGGGCGCGCTGTAAAACAGTGCAAAGGCCATAACCGCAGCCAGCCACTCACAGGCCTCGCTTTCCGCCCTGTTCACCTTGGACCCGGCTATTTCCCATTACCCGGGGAAGGCGCATGACGATTTGCCACTGCCCAAAACAGCCCCGAACAGCCCCAATTGGCAACACCGCCTCGCCCAGTTTAGAAACCAGAAAACGAAACGGACGCCACGATAGCGCCTGTCCGCCAGGGATACATACATGAGGTGATGAGGTAACCTGCGAATACGGTTCTGGCCGCCGCCCGCCCACACGAGCAGACGAGGTCCGAGGCGAGGTTTGTTGGAAATGTATGTCGTAATGTGGACTACGTCGTGAATTTACAGATGTTTAACACAAAGGCTGCACAAAACCGTCCCATTTTGGCAAACTCGGTCGGCCAACAAAGGCTGAATCCCGAAGACGCCCGCCATCATTTTCTTCATTTTGATCCAATTTGGTTTTTCTTCCCTTTCCGCCTTCCGAGTGTCTGGGTTCGTCCGTCGGTTTCATCAACTTATCGATTTATCTTGATTCGGTGTTTCGTCTCCGAAAAGTTACTTGGTAATTACAGTCTTAACCTCGTCAGGTCCTTGCCTTGCTGTCTCATTCTGCTTCTACTTTCATTCCTTGTCTCTTCACTTCTCCCCGGCTCCGTATGTCCGCAGGCTTTCTTGTTGCTCCTCCCTGGTCGCACACGTCAGTCAGGGCCACCAGAGTCTCAATTACCGTGCCAGCGTGCCTTGCATCCTTTCATGGCGTTCTTTTCTTTTACGTACTCGCGCGGTAATGCTCACAGAACGCCAGGCCTTAAATGACATAGTGAAGTACAAACTCAAAATAAGCGTCAAACAATGAAAGGGCGGTCGACAAGGCCTGGCAACCAGGGAAATCAAAGTATTTCGTACGTCAGCGAAATCAAGGAAATCTTACCAGTCTCACCCAGTCACATTCTGCCGTTCCGACCAACCGCCTCAGCGAACCAACTACCATTTAGCTGCGCTTCTCTGCGTTTCTCTGCCTTGCCCTGGCCCGAGGTTCATCAGTTCGGGCCCATTTTCTGTTTCGTCATACATTGCATACATTGTAACGGGTTTGTTTTCAGCAAAAGAAAAGACATCAGGGAAATGGACATTGGCAGCCATTGATGTCACTGGACAGAGTTGCAAATCGGCCATGTCAATATTTTCTTGTTCTGATATGTTTTTAATCCGCAATATTGCTTGCACACGATTTTTTGCCCAAGCCTGCCGAGCCTGTATGGGCGACCCTCACAAAGCAGGGCTGCACATGCTTTTTCTCTACTTGCAACTTGGGGGCCTTGGCGACTTCTTTGTCCGGCCGTCAGTTTCTCAGTCCCCTGGCATGATCGCCCGCTCCATCTTCTAGCTCGCTTTTCCCCTGCAAATATACAGTAGATAGACCCCAAAGGCCGATGCCGCTGGCTTTTGGCTCGTCTTTGGCTTTTCTGGCTGCAGACCACCGTTGCTGGGCGCTTTGTCGGTTCCGCTCAAAACGGCAATAGGGATCGTGCCGGTGCCTGTGCAACGTTGTGCTCTTGAAGACTGTTTCTTCACCGCCGAGATTGAGAGTCATATTATGATGCTGCCGTGTGTGAAGACAGAGAGAGTGAACAAGGCTGTAGAATGCAGAAATAGCGAAGTGATTACGCCGCAGTATGTTCTAAACGGGCATGTGCACCCCATGTGACGTTTCGTCTTGAAAAGGCAATTGCGATGGGATGAAATGACGTGCGTCACGTGTCAGAGATCCAAAAATCCAGGAACGGGGTTTTCCAGGTACGACTGCGACATGAGACATACAGAGAGCATCACTGCCTGAACCACCAAAATAAAACATACTGCATGATTGCCGCCGTTTAGCAGCCAAAGTGGCACTTCATGCAATTACCCGAGACCAATTTCCATCTCTCCAGTTTGCCGCCATGTCCCTCCATGTCCCGGTTGTCGCCGATGATATACTCCGCAGCATCAGGCTGGCTCGGCTGGGCAATGGTGGCCCCAGAGGCGTAGGAGCCTTGTTTGTCTGCTGTGTGTGTCTGCTCCCTCTCTCACATGCAACTGGATACTAGGGAGCGTCGATGCGCTGTGCATCTCTTGCGTCGCATCTTGCGCCATTGCCCCTCTATGCGCGTACGCCCGCATTTTGATCCTGTCGCTCTTGCCTCGCCGCCCTCCCTCTGCGTGTGCGTCTTTGGCCGCCCGCGCCTTCCTGCTTCAAAAAAGGCCCAGTCTGCAGCGAGTTGCAATACAGGCAAGTGCCTTTGGATGCGGATACGGTGTAATTAATACACGGGGAACGGAAGGACGTCGCTCTCAGTGGCAGGCGCCCCACAATTTTCCCCATTGCGCCTGCCCAGGCCGTGCTTCTCCAGGCGTATGCGGGAGGTGTCGCCGCTTTTGTTGCGTGCCTTCCCTGTTTCAACGCCTACCATCCCCAACTAGACCGCGTCTAATTAAGCATCCGGCGTCTCTTTCCCGCAACTCCATGGCTGCTGCGTCTCTCGTGCTTTCCCCAGACTTCCCGTGATACTCTTTTCCTCAAACCGTATTGCTTCGCCTCCAAAGGTTCGTCCTCCTACTGCATCTCCATCCGCCCATCTCGCCTATCGCCCCCGTCCAGCCTACACGCCCCCCTACAATTGGGAACAGAGAGCGCACAATCCTACACGAGCTGCCCTCGAAGTCTGTGAAACGGGCGAAACCGCCGCCAGCCCCTGTTTCTCACATCCTGCAACCGCAGCCACAATTGGCGTTTCTTTCGTCTCTTCTTTCTATCAGCAGCCTTCTTCGACCTCATTCACCTATCGACGACGCATCGCGACTGTATACCTTATACCTGCCACGTTCAGCACCCTTTTTTACTCCTCATATCGCGTCCCCTCTTTCGCCTGGGCCTTCCCCAGAACCGAGACCCACGCCGGCCTTATCGGTGGGTGAAACCCCACCTATCGGCTCCTCACAGCCAGGAACTCTGGCTACACTCTCCTGCAGGAGAAGAGCACAAGCCCTGTCGTGTCGTTGTTAAACAGACGCGCCCGCCAAAGACAAGCATCTTTTTATTTCCTTTTTCGTTCTTCCCGGCCTCCAGCCCGCCTCCCGCCTCCACCGCCGCTCGACCCCGGCGGCCGCAATGGCGATGGCCGCGCTCCACCCCAGCCAGCCGATCCACACGCCCACGCCAACGTCGCCAGACGACGGGGCCTCCTCGTCTTCCCCGAATGGCTTCACGGGTCACGGCTCAGGGCTCCACGCCCTGCATGACGTCACAGTCGCCGCGCAGGTCGCGCAGGCCGCACAAGCTGCCCAAGCCGCTCACACTGATCAGACTGCCCAGGCCAGCAACAACGGCCTCTCAGACAGCACGGCACCGCCCACGGCAGCGCCGGGACCGACTTCCTCGCCATCAATACCACAGTCACAACAGGCAGAGGCGGGAGACCCGAGGCAAGACAAGACGGCTTGCGACGAGGCAATGGATGTCATACAGGCCAGCGACACGTTTCCCAAGAACTTGCGGGTTGGCGACTTTGCGCGCATCCGTACATTAGGAACAGGTATGCTCAGGAAAGAGGGAGATATATATATATATATATCTATGTTGTCCGCTTTTGTATATGCCACAAAGGGTATGGGTGCACGAGACAAAGACAGCAGAGACTGATATCCGGGGTGTACAACAGGCACATTCGCACGCGTCGTCCTGGTCCGTCGACAACAGCCACGGAACGAAGACGAGGCGCACCAGGTCTTCGCTCTCAAGATCCTGCGCAAGGCGGCCGTCATCAAGCTCAAGCAGATCGACCACGTGCGCCACGAGCGCCAGATCCTCCAGGACGTCGCGGGCCACCCGTTTATCACCAACATGCTGGCATCCTTTTCCGACCACGACTTTTTATACCTCCTTCTCGACTACGTCCCCGGCGGCGAGCTGTTTAGTTACCTCCGCAAGTTCCGGCGCTTCGACGAGCCCACGGCCCAATTTTATGCCGCTGAAATCGTCCTCGTTCTCGAGTATCTGCACGAGCAGCAAGATGGCGTTGCCTACCGAGACCTCAAGCCCGAGAACCTGCTGCTCGACGCCCGGGGCCACGTCAAGCTGGTCGACTTTGGGTTTGCCAAGCGGCTGGGCCGCGACGGGGCCGGTGGTGCAGTCGAGACGTACACGCTGTGCGGTACTCCCGAGTATATCGCGCCCGAGGTGATCCAGAACATGGGCCATACGACCGCCGTCGACTGGTGGGCCCTCGGGATCCTCATCTACGAGTTTCTGACGGGCTATCCTCCGTTTTGGCACCAGAACCCACTCGAGATCTATCGACAGTATGTTGTCCTGTTGTCCGCTATTCCTGTGACTCTGCACTGGCGCCCCACCATACTAACTCTCTGCAGGATCCTGGAGAAGCCCGTCGTCTTCCCACAAGACCCGTCCATCTCGCCAGCCGCCCAAGACCTCGTTCATCAGCTCTGCACGGTCGACCGCTCACGCCGACTGGGTAATATCAGTGGCGGAGCAGCCAAGGTCAAGTCACACACCTTCTTTGCCGGTGTCGACTGGAACGCTCTGTACGAGCGGCGCGGCCAGGGCCCCATTGTGCCGCCCGTGCGGTACACGGGTGATGCGCAGTGCTTTGATATCTACCCGGAGAACGATGTGGACTTTGAGCAGTACACGCCAGAGCTGGCCGAGCAGTACGACCGGTTCTTTGCTAATTTCTAGGCCGCTCACAATGTGCCAGCCTCCTTTTGCCCTCTTTTGCTTTTATTCAAGCTGGCGGCGGCCTTCTTTGGCCTTTACAGCTGTGGCTCTACACCCTTGCTCTGCCCTGTTTACGACAATTTTCTTTGCTCATTTTCCCACCTTCATGAGTGACATGATCTTATTTCTTCATCATTACCCATTATCGTTCTTTTAATGCCTCTTACCCTTACCTAAATACCGAACCGACTCTACTACCTCTCGGCAGCCTTGTCGGATCGATTCACCTAACTTTCTCTCTTAGTATGTTTTGTTTTACTGTTTCGTTGCTACTACCGCTTGGTGTCTCATGAAGGCAACAGGATACTTGGGTTCTCACCGTTCAGGTCGTTTGGATACATTTTGGTCTACGTTTTTGGTTTTGTATATGACTACGTTGCGGCTGTTGTCCAACGGTTGTTCCTTTTGGACATTCTCTCGCAGCGGTGACCGCAGTCGCAAGGTCACAGAATTGGCCCAAGCTAACTATTAACGTTTAAAATAACATTTATTGCAACGACCAGCATGACGTGGTGATAACCGTGTCGGGCACTATGTACGTAGATGGGTGGCCCAAGACGTCACTTCCGACTAGATTTACCAGTAATTACTACCCTGAGTTTTCCAATAAATTAAAACAAAAAACGTTGAATTCCCTACATTACTGGAATTTAAAATCATTTTATTGTATGAATTTATTTGTTATTGTTGTATTTCTTCGCCTTTCTTGATAACGTGAAATTTGGTTATGTCTGTATCAATGCGTATCGAGAAAAAGCAAGGAGTAGAAGAGCATAAACAAACAAAATGAATATGCCCTGGCACCCTTCCGCAAAACAGATAAAGTGATGATGAGACTATATTATAACATGAAAACATGGATGGTAAAAGAGCCCGCCTGGCACTTGAAACATCACAAAACAGACAGAACTGCCCGACATGAGAGCGTTATATATGATCGTGAAGAAACAGACAAAGTAAAGACACGCCGCATGCCGGCCCGCAAGCAAAACAGAACAATAGAAAACACCCAGCATAAGCACATACTCCGCTAAATCATTACCGTCTCTCCAGCCTCTCCATAACCATGTCTTTCTTATAGCCAGCCCACCCACACCCAGTAGAGACCCACGACGACTACAAGCGTTGTGACCATGACCGCAGCGCCGGCCCGGGTGTTGAACAACAGCATACCCCCGCCGGCAACGCGCTCCCGGTTACGGGCACGAGCACGACGGGCCCAGGCGTCAATGTCAATGGCCACGGGAAGGCGGACACGTGGGTCGACCGATTCGTTCTCCGACTCGCCGTCGGAGACTGCCACGTCTTCCTCAGGGTGCCCCTGAGGCTTGCCGAGCAGGGGGACCTGAGCGCGGAAGCACACGGCCTGATGGTCACTGGTGCGCATGAGCGGCAGCGGCTTGTAGGAAGTGACTTTGACTTCCGGGGTGGCTGCAGTGTCGGGGTCAGCCTGCGCCTTTACCCACACAGGCACGTCCAGATAGAGGACGCGGTCGCACCAGCTGGGCCAGCGGTGCGTTGCGTATTTCCACGGGACCGGCGGAGCGGAATTTGGAGACTCCGACTCTGCATGCTCGCGGATTTCGGCGATGTTGTCGGGAACTGCGCCGTCGGCAATGTCGTCGTCACTGAGAATGTCGTACTTGTACGTTGGCGGGAAGGCGATGGGCGCCTCGCTCATCCCGTGCAATGTACGTCCAGCGAGCCGCTCCTCGGTCAGCTGGTCTCGCTCAAGGAACTTTGACCACGTGCTTGCGGTGGGGAACTCGGCATCAGCGGGAGGCCGCTGGTCACCAATGCGGTAGTTGAGGTCGCCGGCAACAAAAAGTAGGCTGTCGGGCCGGAAAATGGAGAGGTCGTGCAGCTGGCGGCGGAGATCCACTTCGTGCTGTCGCTCGCCCAGCAGAAGCCAGGCATCGTCGCCAGCCGCGTCTGCCGCAGCCGCCTCAGCTTCCTCCTCGGCGGAGCGTGGGGTGCTTGCTGCTTCATCGTGGATCCGGCCCTGGCGGCCACGGCCGAGGGCGGCGGCCGCCTCTCGTGACGGGACGTCGGCAAGCACGTCGTTTGGGTTGCCAAAGGTCAGCCCGGCAACAATGCTGCGCCAGTTGGCATTGCGTCGCTGGACGTTCCACTCCATTGCGGCCAGATGCGTAGCAACAAACGTGAGCTCGCTGGGCGAAGAGCCGACTGAATCGTCGCTGCCCTTCTTTTCGTAAGCTATCCTCAGGCCGACCGCGCCTTTGTTGCCCAAGTCGGCTACACCAAAGCCGCAGTGTGCGACCTGGATGTTGCTGATGGCTGACGGATCACGGGCGTACATCAGAATGGCTGTCATGCCAACGTGCGCCTGGTGAATGAAGTGGTATGGCTTCTTGGGGCCATTTGATGTTCGAGTCTCGCCTGCATTGTGATCTTCCTCTTCGCCGTCGTTGCTGAATTCGTAGCCCTCTATTTGTGTAGCGGCCTGGGTCAGCGCGTCGCCGAACCGCAGGAGGAAGGGGTTGAGAAAGTAGGAACCGGCAAAGGCATGGCCAAGAGGTGCCACTTCCTGTAGAGAGCTGCAAGGCAAACAAAACGGTTAATTACGTGTTACGTGCAATGCGAGCCACTGGGCCACTGCGATCTCCCAAAGCGACTCACAAGACGATCAGGTCTGGCAGCAAGGACGTGTTTGACGCCGCACTCTGGTCGGACAACGCATGCTGCAGGTGCCCTGCGAAGTCGGCAACATTGATGGGCGCCTTTGCACAGTTGAATGTGAGCAGCAGCAGATCCAGTGTTGGAATAGAGACCATGTTGCCAGTGTTGCGCCAGTCTCGGGCCATTATCGGTGGGCAGAGTCGGGCAATGGATGTGACGAAGAGGAATGAAGAGCCTAGGCAAACGGGTGCACGAAAGGGAGGCTGAACAAGGCGGGATGGGCGTGCCGTGTTCGCAGCTGTTTCATCAACCCTTTCTCGTGTCGCTTCGCTGCCTTCCTGGGCTCGGCGAGGTGGTGTTCTCTATGCTAGATGATTTCCTTTCTGGGTTTTCGTTGTTTCGTCGTTCTTTGGGGTCGTGAGCTACTATTGCCAGGTCCTGATTTCTCATTCAATGGGCCCTGCTGTTTGCTTTTGAAGTTTGGAGCTCAGCTTCCCCCGCCAAGTTCGGCTCCCACCAAACGCCCTAATGGGCCAGACGTATGGGTCCAGGGCCGGAATTGAATAGAGGTGGGCGCGTATGTTTTGTGGGGCACTGCGAGCGTGACGGCGATGAATGACGGGGCTGAGGTTTTGTTGTGCGAGCAAACCGAATTGGCGGAGGAAGATTGAGGGGATTTTGCGGGACACACGATGTGCGGCGTTGCCTGCTTTTTGTACGATGCCCCAGATTTGCCTCTTTCCTTTTTTTTTGCATCTTATAATTGCCTCGCTCTTGCTGTTTCTTGTCCGAAATCATTCGGGCACCCTGTGCGCCTTCCATTTCCCACCACGTGCCGCGTTTTTGGCAGCTGCTCAATCCTGTTGGCTCTAGCGCTGCCTGGAACACATCATGTCTTGGCTCGCTGCAGAAAGAACGAACGTCTAGACTTGCTCAGCCGACAATAAAACCACGATCAGGTTAAAGTGACGGCAGGAAAGACCGAGGACGTTTAACAGCACGTGCACAATACTCCACGACTACACGATGATACACGATACCTTATCAACGTATATTTTCATGTCCATCAGCAGGATCAGAACTTTGTAAGAAATGAAGTGAATTGTTGTTTTGCTACTGAGATACTATGCAAGGGAGTAGAACTGCCCAACGAGCAGACACAGAACTTTCGGCACCGGCAAGTGCATTGCCTAGAATCCTGCGATCCTGTCCCACTCGCCACGGCCAAGAGATGCAGCACAATAACCACAGCCTCCTTGTGTGAGTAGACACTCCCCTTATATCAATACACCCCATTCTCATTTCTGCACGCCAGCCGACGACCTTCCCACATTAAGCCACAAGGCGACTGTCTAGGTTGATCCTCGCGCACGTCATTTTGACGATACAAAAGAGTACCTTGGATAAGACCTGTCGCCACCTCCTGTCCCAACTTCCCCTCCCTCCCAGGTCGCTGCCGCCGAACACCTTTGTCTAAATCTTAAATTTCTTGCAATTTGAATCATCCGCACGCCGTAGTCTTGTAAAACGTTCCCCTCGTCCCCATGATAAAAGCTATTACCTCCCCACAAGCGGACTGGAAAGCGACATGCCAAGCAAAGAAGCAGTATAAAAGGAAAGTGAAAGCAAAAACAGAACTCGTAAGCCATGATAACAGTGCGAAATGAGAGGCAGCGACAAACTTGTAAAAGGAAAAAAAAAAAAAACCAAAACCTAGAAGCAAAACAGAAAGCAGAGAGAAAGCAATTATGCATCAAGTGTGGGAAGGTGACAAACATGATGGAAACGGGGAAAAGGTGGTGAATGGGGAAAGGGGTAGTGCAAATCATGGTTTTTGGCTGGTAAGTTTTTCAACACAATGGTCGACGGGGATAAAGGAATTCTGATATGGAACCGCCTCGTGGCAAGGAATGCTGATGCTCAAAGACAGTCCTCATCTCCTCTTCATCCGAGTAGTCATCGTCTTGCGATAATGAGCCGAACCAACTACCAACTGTCCCCGTCGGAAATCGCCACGACTCGATGTTGCCGAGCAGCAAAGGTTCGACGCAGTCAAAACGTAGCACTGGGGGAAGGAGATAGGTCGGCAGCTATCCGTAGAAAATCGCAAGTGTGCGTACACGAGTGTTGACAGCAGGTGGGACTTTTGTCGAACACGATTTGGGCGAGAAATTTGTTTTGTCGTTGCCGTAAGGCCAATGCGGCAGAGGTGACGGAGAAGGCGACAGCTTGATGGGTGAAGCTGAACTCAAGCAGAGGATTGCACGAAGCTCGCTCGAATGACGCCAGGCACTTCTACCTTCTTTCCGTGGTAGTGAGCAGCGCATGCTTTGCCAACTGACGAAGCCTTTACACACACCACAGACACCGGTATCGATAAAACAAATATTGTTCCAGACATAAAAGGTCTGGGAAGCCAAGCACAAAAAGAGAAAATGACGGGGCAAAAGAAAAAAGAAAAAACATGCTGCGACAGGGTTGGGTGGAGGGGATTGCGGCAACCAACTGAGATGGTTAAAAGGACCAAATGTCCTATGCCGAAATTTGGTTTGAGTGGAGTGCTTGATCATACAGCCAGGCCCTTGGTCCGTCCCATTCGGCGGTCACCAAAGGCCAACCTAATCACAATACCACTCATCACTGAGCCCCGTAGCCCTGGCCGTAGAGACCACCCTGGCCACTACCCTGCTGCTGGCCCCGGGAAGATGAGCGCAGCCTAATAGAGCAATCCTTGGTTAGCAAAAATGGCTCTCAGAAGGCCACATGAAAATACGGCCAGAAACCGCATTGTAAAACCATGTTCAGTGGCCGTAGAACGGCAGGGCTTCACCCCTAGCCCCGCTACCTCCCAAAATATCTTGACAAGGCAGAAACAAGGGAAAGAAAGTAGGGTCCCTTACAAGGAATATTGGTTGCGTTGGAGCTTGGTGGGCGCAACTCACATCCGGTCACCAGGGCCGGCACCGCGGCTGGCATCATGAGCATCGACGCCAGCAGCACCCATCATCTTGGCGTTGCGAGGACGACCGCCCGAGACCATCTGGGCGCTCTGGCCAGGCTTAATGGCACCGGCTGGAGTCTGCTGGCCAGTGGCAGCGTCGGTACGCTGCTGCTTGTCGTCAGCAGCACCGGCAGCCTGGGCAATGGCCTGAGCGTTCTTCTGGTACTTGTACACAGTCCAGTCGAAGACGTAGTCGTACTGGAAGCCCTCGCGGACAAACAGGTCGCGGAAGATCTTCCGCAGGTAGCTGTAGTCGGGCTTGTCGTCGAAGCGGAGCGAGCGTGTGTAGTTCAGGTAGATGGCGAACTCGTTGGGGAAACCGCGGCAGAGCACCTCCGTAGGGGTGGTCATCTTCTTCTCCATGATTCTGTCGTACTTCTGCTTCTTAGTAGCAGCCTTCAGGCCCTGCCAGGGCAGAGAGCCCCGGCAGAAGTACAGCATGACGTATCCCAAGCTCTCCATGTCGTCGCGGCGGGACTGCTCGACACCGAGATGGGTGTTAATCGAGGCATAACGTGCCGTGCCGGTCAGGTTCTTGTTCTCACGGTAGGGGATGTGGAAGTGCGTCTTGGGATCGCGGTACTTCTTGGCTAAACCAAAGTCAATAACGTTGACTTGATTGCCACGCTTGCCAATGCCCATGAGGAAGTTGTCGGGCTTGATGTCGCGATGGATGAACGACTTGGCGTGGATGTATTCGATGCGGGAAATAAGCTGGTCGGCCAGAAGCAGGACCGTCTTCAGCGAGAACTTGCGGTTGCAGAAGTTGAAGAGATCCTCCAGACTGGGGCCGAGCAGATCGAGAACCATGGCATTGTAGTCGCACTCAGTGCCGAACCAACGGACAAAGGGGATACCGACGCCGCCAGCCAGTGACTTGTAGACGCGAGCCTCGTACTCCAACTGGGGGTGCTTGGCCTTGACGCTCTCCAACTTGATGGCGATTTCCTCGCCGGAAATGATGTTCGTACCCAGGTAGATATCACCGAATGAGCCCGAGCCGATCTTGCGGCCAATGCGGTACTTGTTACCGACGCGAAGATCCTGTCAAGACGACGAGGACGCGGTTAGTTCCACGGACGAGTGGCCGAAATGCAGCCGGTGGGATGAGGACGGAGACGCTTACCATGGTCGTCATCTTTGCGGAGTTATCCTCGAGCAGGCGAGGTCGTTGGGGGTGTGTAGGTTTGTTAAGATCAAAATATATGCTTCGGTGCTAATGAAGAAGAAAGTTTGTTAGTTGACGAGATGGTTTCTTTGAGACGGCGCTTTTCGGGCTGGATTTTAGGGCCAGATCCACGAGGCAACGAGGCAGACTCCGCTGACCAATATTGGGGGACAAAAGCTAGACACAAATAGAAGACAAACAGGGGAAAATAAGCAGGTCCGAGAGTAATCATGGGGAGATGAGAAGACAAAACGAGGTGCAATATAAATGACAAGCGAGTGAATGAGTAGGTGGTGGTGCTTATTGTCAAGCAAGCATGACGTGCGTAAACGATGATGACACAACAGTCGTGGCACAAGACAAACGAAGGGCGTGGCAGGATAAGGGCGCTCCAAACAAGGGCGGCGAGTGTTTGGGGACTCGGCGGCTCATAAAAATCGGAAACGAACGGCGATGGTCGTCATTACGGCGAGGACGGCTCCGTGAGGCGCCTCCCTGGCCTGACAAGAACAATCAAGTGCTTTAGGAGCCGAGATCGCCTCGAGGGTCGAAGCGGCGGTGAAGCGAGATGGCCATGGATGTCGAAAAAGGACAGGACAAAAGGACAGAGAGAAGAGCGTGACTCGTAAAACACAGCGCAAAACCACAGACTATCTCTTGAGCAGCGACGAAAAGAGACACCTACATGTGAAGAATGGATTATGGAAATCAAGTCGTCGTATGCGGATCGTGAATCTTGTGCGGCGATGCAGCCCAGCGGCGGTGGATTGAGGGTGTGAAGTTGAGAAAATGGGCGGAATGGAGAGGAAAAGGGAGAGAATCGGGAAAAGGGCGAGGAAGACGTGGGAAAGGAGGGTTTGTAAGGATGGGCTGGGTTTTGGGGGGGTCTGAAAATCAGGTGCTAATTTTGGGCTTTGCTACCTGACACTGGCGGGTTTTAGCGTGCAGTGTGTTGGGATTGATTGATCCAGTCACTGGCATTTGGTGGCCAGGCCGGGCGGGTAGTTTTGGGCTTCAGCGGGCTATAACGAGGAGCGAAGTGAGAGGCTGTGGGACGATAGTTTCGGGAAGGACGGTTATTGGGGGTCGGAGGGGAAGGGGTGTGCTCCCTTCATGAGGAAAGAGCCTACGGCCAGTAGTGGTATGCCGCTAAAAAAGGAAATAATGAAGGGCAAATAGGTGGTCGACGGAAAGAGCGACCCAAGAAAGCTGAGTGGTGGCGAGGCCAAGGCGAAAAATAAAAGGCAAAAAGGCAGGAAGAAATACGGCGAGAGACAGCCAACCGGCAGGAGCCCCCCGAGAGTAGGCAAAAGGCCAAGACCTTGGGCCAATGGCGGTCAACCGAGGCCTGGGCCAGAGCCTAGACGGATCTACGCCCGCGCTCTCCCCCAAGATCCGACAAGTATTGGAGACTATTTTTGCTTTTGCTATTTTGTTCCGATCGCAACGTTCCTCCTCGCTGTTGGTTCGGTGAGATTGGAAATGATAAGATACGAGGCCGGCTCGCCGAGAGGCCTCGAATCTCTTTCTTAACGTATTTTGGAGGTATTTTTTGTATGTCGAGGATATAACAAGGAAAGAAAGGACCTCGTCTGGAAGCTCCGGGAAGGAGCCAAAATGTGACGCTGATCTGTTGTGCGTCACTGGAAGGAGGTGGTGGGTGGCCTGCTATCCGTCGACAAACGGTCAAACGAGAAAGGGGCCGTAAGAGACGTAGAATGAGCAGGAGCGAGCGAGGCGCCCGGACCGTCGTTGGGCAGCCAGTAAAAGAAAGGCTCGCGTAGACTGGGAGGCAAGGTCGTTTGGCAGGAGGTTATGGCGGCTAGACGCTGGCCGGGGAGGCTAGCGTTAGCAGGGAAGGAGCGAGACACATGGAAGGTGTGGTGGGGCCAGGCCATGGCGTACGGTATGTTAACACAAAGACTGAACACACGATGGGCTCGCATGGTAGCTCAATATGAGACTGGGACAGGGCGAGAGGGCTAGGACGCCTGCATCGAACTTGTACTTGATGAAGCATTCTCGCACTGCAAAGAAGAAAAGAGAGAACAGACAGGTCCCATCTGCCAAAGTGGAGAGCGGCTGTATGTTGCAAGCCATTTTAGGCAGGAACGACTCCAAGTAGTCCAGCTGCGGAGGGAGGAAACTGAATGAAAGGTGGTGCTTCAAAGGTTGTTCGAAGCAAACGGCGCGGCTGAGAGAAACTCGCACTGTGCGACTCCTGCAAAATTGCTTGTTGATTACCAGTGTACACCCTCGATATGCGCACTGTAATACTGCCAGCAAAGCCAGCGGGGCTTTGAGATCTGGGACAACCTTGGGGCAGCGTGCCCTCGGAAAAAGGAGAAGTAAATCCTAGGGACCAATTAAGGACTGCGGAAGGTACTGATAGAAACAAATGACGCCCAAGCGAGAAGGAAGGCAATCCGGATCTGGCACGAGACCGCAACCGTGTCGTAGCGAGGGCGTCATCTGCTGCCAAGGCGGCAAGTCGGAGACTGACAAGCTGCTAGTGAGTCCTGTGGGCAGCTTGGACATTGTAAGATGGTATCTTACCACGCCTGTTTAGGGCACTCATAAAGGATGCCAACAAGGGATACGCTCTTTGTCTTTGAAAAGAACGTCCCGCCGTGTCCGGCATCGACGGCATCCCTTGGGTTTTGGTTGGCTGGTGTGCTTGGATGTAAAGTAGGGACAACTGAAAACGGGCAGCATCATACGACATACATTTGCATAATTGAAAGGGCCCCGCTTCGACCTGGTTGGTGTCTGTGGAGGGGCTTTACATATTTCGAAACGAGACGGTTATTGGTAGTCCGTACGGGAGGGGAGAAGTGAAAAGGAAGCGACGAACGTGACGGACAACGATAGGTCGAAGGGACGTTGGGTAAGAGGTTAGGTGAGGCCAGCGCTACTCGCCTGGCAGGTTTATTGTGACTGTATTATTCACGTAGCACGAATAAGCGTGCAGGACAGCGTCGCGCTTCTCGGGATGGTCGTCCAGGATCGGCCAGGGAGCCCAAAATGACAAGCCCAAGGGGGCCAAGTTGCAATGGGACGTCGAACCAGACAGTGTTCGGACAACGTGGTGAGTGTCCAGTCGAAAGCGCATGCTTCATCATGAATCTTTGGGCTATCAAGTTTGTCGAGCTACACAGCTATCGAGCTTCCCGTAGGCTAGGCTGAGATGGATGCAGGAATGACGGTATTTGACACACCCAAGCTTAACCAAGGAGTGGCTCCACTAAAGCTTATGCACTCAGCAGTTCTTTTGGGCATTTGATCCAGAGCTTCAAACTCACCGGTATGCGCGTGGAGAGAGATCCCTGTGTCCGCGTGAAAGTGGCCCGTCAACAGAAAGAAAGCATTCCTGTCAGTAGATCTACGTATGTTGATTTCCTTTTCGGGCAAAAAATATTGATGAGGCAGCAAAGTAATTCGAAAACGACATATACATGTATGCAGGAATACTTTACACAGATTTGCCTCTGATGTCCACTGGGTTGGGAGAGCGCAGGAGAGAGAGAGAAGAATTGAGGACTACCCTGCGTTACGACTCCCAGACGAGGCTGTTGTGACATTAACGACGGCCTGACATGGCATGGACGTCAGGGCCATTTGCAAGAGGTATGCCAATTCGGGTCCTAGTTGAATTCAATGCAAGCAAGGTATCAAGCTCTTGCTTGCCCCTGAGGCCAGGTCGGATAATTTTGGGTGAACATGGATATATTCGGGATAAACCAGAGGATCTGCTTTATGTGTGCGGGCATTTCAGGATTGTTCATGCGTACGCAGCTTGTATGTTTCAAGCTACATGCGACGACTCAATTTGCCAAGTACGACACCCCACAGTATGTGCAGTAGCAAAAGGCTTTGTTGCAGGCCGTTTCAAGACTCATGTTCTGGCCGACGTCCTCGAGTGGAACTGAAGACGTGGGATGAGAATGCTCTGAAGTCGATGACCGTGTTGAAAGCCCTGTGTTAGGTTTATCTATGTTTTACTTTTATTCACTTTCGTATTCAATTTTCATATGGCCCTAATGCAATTCCTGGGTTTGTTTTCGTATCTCTAAATTGCACAGATAGCGGCGATCGTCTTCTGTGCGATTACGGCTGTTTAATGACGACGCCTGGAAGTAAATAACTATATACAGACCCGCGAACTGTAAATCTCGAACGGGCAAACATTTATTGTGCCTTTCAGTCGTGTTGTTGGAGCGCGTAGATTGAGATGGAGTAGACAGCATCTTGATGCCTGTCCGCTGCGATACACCTGACGAGAATATATTTAACAGGAACATTAGGCTTCGAGGGAACGTAGTGTTGTCACGACTATTTCTCTTCAGTATTTAGCGTGTGGTTTTCTCGAATCGAGTAATAGCAATCCTTTCAGTTGTCTTCGCCCAGAGAAGAAACCAATCGCGATGCAAAGAAATACCTCTTGCGATATCGCTGATGATCGAGAAAAATTATGTGCCCAACCGTGAAACCACCAGTGACATGTCAACGGTCGGAGACTGGCTTCAGAGTGCAGCCGGAGTCTTCCCTGCAGCACGGAGCTCTGCCGGAGATGTGGGCCAGATACCGGCCCGGCCCTTTCTCCGGCCCCGAAAGTGATTTTGGTTCCCGGCTTATATTAAAGAAACCGGTCGTAAAGCTTGACGCGAGCCACCATAGTGTCCACTTGCACGGAAGACATTTGTAGTGGATCAACAAAGGTAGATATGTTGTTACTGATCTTTGTGGTTAGGTTCAAACGACTTACTAAACGGTCTGCTTCTCACTCTAGGCCGACACGAGGTCTGTCCTGGCATACTCTCATACGACGTCGGCATGAAAATGGGGCTTGTGGAGGATGAAAACGAGAAAGGTGCTAGACTAGCACGGAGTAGATATGTCTCATATGGCGCGCAATAGGAGAAGGTCGATATTCGGAGTATTGTAGATTGCGGATAGAAAGCTCAGCTTGTGTATGTGTCGTATCGAGACGGCAAGACGAGCTCCTCCTTGAAGAAACGATTTCTCGATAGCCCTCGGCCAACTACTAGTGGAAGCACACCTTTCCTTCCCAACACTTCGTCCGTCATCTACTGCATATAATGAACATGGCACGTGCCTACGGGTTTTGCCCCGTCTCTGACTAGGCTGTCTCATTGGTTTTTGTTCCTTTGGATCGTATGTCGTAGATTTTGTTGAACTGGACAGTTTACGGCTGTTTGTCCTAGCCAATTCCACTCCATGCTTGTTTTTATTTTATTTTATTTTTTATTTCCATTTTTTTCGTACGAAGTACTCTCAAGAGGGACCACAAGCTTTCGGTCCACGACCGGAAGACCAGACCCTGGCCTAGGAAACGCGGTCATCACACAACTGATCGGCCTAGCCTACCAATGGTCGGTTTTGAATACGAGATTTATGCAACACAGAGGAGACCACACAAGAACCAACAAAGACTGGGGGGAACAGCGATAAGCTGAAAGGCGAGATGATGACAGACAATCGGGTAGGAAATGAGAAAACAACTGCTCCGGAAGCGCCCCTCTCGAGGTCCGGTAGTTGGCCGCTTCTGGCGGTGAAGAGGCGTTGAATTGGCAGTCGGCAATTGGTTGGTCTGGCGGTGGAGCCGGGTGACAACCAGCCGTCGCCAGCTGTCAGGCTGCGGGAGGTCCCTCAGCGTCGGGTTGTCTGAACTATTCAGGAAGGAGCAGTCCTGGCACTGCCTCGTTCCTTGCGGAACACGGCGTACGGAGTATGTCGTCTCGTCGTACACCCTGCGGAATCGTAAAATGACGTCCGAAGCACACTTGCCCGTGCGAATATTGCGACGTATGAACCCCGAATTATGCCGGAACGAGGAACACTCCACCGACTTATGTTAGGTCCCCTATTTGTGGCTCCTTCCCCTCCGCGAGGGCAGACAACATGGCGGTTAGCGTCACAGTCCAGTGCTTGTCGGACGCCGTTGCCGTTTATGAGTTGCGCTACCCCTTCCTTGACCCCTCTTTGGCCCCGACGGACCTGACGTCGATCTTGCCTTCTCTGCTCCGTGGGCGTTGGGACCGTTTGCTCCTCAGCGGCTTCTTGGGGGGTTCTTTCCCTCGTGCCGACTTCCTGACATTGGTGCACATGTCTGTGGCTTCTTGATGTGGTCGTTGGGTCGTTTCGATTGTCTTCTCTATCTTCTTTTTGGTTCTTTCCATCCTGTCGCTCTTGCCTTGCCCTGTTCGTTGTGCTTCGCTCCTCCCCATCTATACCTACGTCGTTACAACGGAAACCCCAGCTTCCTGACTACTCTCTGGGGCCCGCCTTACCTTTTTTCTCGTGAAAATACGGCGTATTAATTGCTTCTCCCGTCTTTCTTCCCATCTCCCGCACGCTTCTTTTCCTCCTATGCAGGGCCTCCTTTCGCTTTGCCAGTCAATTTAAAACCGTCCCCTGTTTGGCTTTCCTCTCTTTTCTGTCTCCGTTCCCCCAATCCCCTTCTTGTCCCGCGTCTATCTACATCATGCATCCTTAAACAGCAGCAATACAAAAAGCAGTACTTTGTCATTACGTCGATGACATACCATTGCATGACGTCGCCCTATTAGTCCTTTGACTACCTATTAGGCGAAATCCCTGTGCGGCGCATTCCTCTTCACCATTTTCCTGTGCCCCTTGCCCTTGCGCGTCCCCCTCTTCAGCTCGTCTCTGTGCTGCTGTGCCACGCAATCGCCTTGCCCCTTATCCGTGGCTTGTCCTCTCCGTGCCCAGCCAACTAAAAGAACTCATCTGACACCACTCTTCGATCGACTCGAAACCTGAGAAACTAAAGACGACAAAGGAACCAGAAACCCAGAAAACCGACCCCCCCTCTCTAGTCACGGTCCCTGGTCTTGGTATTCCCTTTTGCAAAGAGGCTCCGATTTCTACATTATATCTGCTCAGGAAAAAGACACGGACGAGAACGCCGTGCATCTTCCAACCCTTTGTGCCAACTGCTACCGCCACAAAGCAAACATTGTCGTCGTCTCAGGGCGTTAAAAAAATCAGAAAGAAAAAAAAAAGACGAAAATACCCACGCCCCCCCCCCTTCAGCAATTCAGCAATCCCACCCCACTTCTTTTCATCGCCGCACCCCTTTTCTCTTGTCGCTCTACGACCGCTCGCTGCTTTCTTTTCTCCCTGTTCGAACTCGCCTTGGTCGTTCGACAATAGATTCTCAGACTTGAAAAATCACACACCATCCAGCCAAGTTCTATCCCTCAATTGCGCGACCGCCACAACGACCCAATCGCTCAGTTCCATCTCCCAGGACCTAGTTTATTCGCTGCCCTGTCTCTTTATTGCGCCCTCATGGGCCCCGGTTAAGGCTCAACATATCTGCTGTCGATCCCCTTCTTTTGTCCGCAGAAATTCGTCCTCCCTGCACGACCTTGTCTATCCAGTCCCAAAACCAAGTTTTCCCGCCTTGCCGCCTCCTCGCAACAAGGGCGCGTACGACCTTCCCCAAACAAGATTCCGACATACCACATCGACTACGTTCGCCCTTCTGCTCCGTATCCCTCCACACCCCTCTTTGCTCTCCTTCTGTATTGACCGAGAGCGCCCTGCGTGATTGTGTGCGCGTGCGTGCATTTCTTGTACGTGGGAACCGACACACGATAAAACACCTAATTTCGACTCTTATACCTACGCAATCCTCCCGCGCGGACCTGTTCCTCGCACATTCCTTTTCACCATGTCGGACTTCTTATCAGACCAGCCAGGTACGTGTCTTGTTTGGAATAGCGTGTGTATAGGCAAAGTGCATGCGTGGCGTGTGGCTAGCAGATCTTGGCCGCATTGCTGAGCATTGCATCGTTTGCCGACCGTCATGTATATGGGTGCAGCCCGAGCCGTGCTGCTGTGTCCTGAGAACCTGCCACCTGCAAGCAACGAAAGCAAGCATAGAAGCGTGAGAACAGAAACAGAACCCAGACGCGGACGAGATCAACGAAAACAGAGCGCCTCCAAGAGATCACGGCCTGCAGATATCGACCGAGCCACGGCATTGCATATTCGACAGACACAAGTCGACTGGGCAAGGTTGTTCTTTCTTCGTATCGCCACCACCATCGCCAGACGTGGCATCGCCAAACACAACCCCAACGCGCTCCCGCGACGGCACTTGACGGCACTCAACTCGGGGCGCGGTTTTTCAGATCTTTGTCCGTCGCCTTGTCATTCGTCATCGGCTGTGCGCTGCCGTTGCAACACCTTTTCCTACCCGCTGCTATTTTGCCAATCGAATTCCCAGTCAGTTCCAGGATTCCACCTTGTCTGAAACCGACCTGCCAAGGATCCAACATCCACAACGGAGACGTGCAGCTTTTGCCCTGCTCTCCCTTCTTTTACGTTTCCCTTTTTGACCAAACACTTCCGACATTGTACTTTTCGCTCTTTCCTTCGACTCTCTTCTCTTGTCTACGAACTCTCCAACTCTGATTTGTACTGTTTCTGTTTCTCATTGCCGAAATATCGTTCAGATCAGAGCCTTCTCTCAGCCTTTCCAAACCTGCTCGTGGCCTTTTGTCTCCGGAATATCAGCTTGCTACTGTCGGATTTTGCTTTTCTTTTTAAGACTCTGGACGCGTTGAACGACACCTTACTTACATATTCGTCTTCTGTTAGCAGACGCCCCAACGTCGCACCTCGCCTCCAACAACCCCTTCCGCACGCGTGCCGTTTCGCCATCGATCCCCAGCCCAACGTCCCCATTTCTTGATCCTGCACCGTCGACATCGTCCAACGGTCGACCTGTCTCGCGCAATCCGTTCTTGGATCCCACAAACGATAAACCCTCGTCGTCCTCAAACGGCAACCTGTTGATTAGTCTCGACGACATGGCCGCTAGACCAGCAGCGGGGCGGTCGTCCTCCATTGACGATATATTTGTGAGTCACGTGGCCTTGCACCTTCTATCATTTGTGTTTTTATATATTTCATTTTCTTTTTATTGGAATTCGTTGATTTTACTGGTGTAGTGCTCGTTGCTGCCTCACGGGTCTCTTTTGCGTCATACACGGTACACGGGACCATGTTCAGCGACCCCTCGTTCCTTCCTTTTCGGGTGCCACAAGACCCTCCTTCCCGTTGTAATCATTTCTTTGGGAGCTTTTGTTGTTTTGTTTACCGCCTATTATGAACTCCCTCTCCTTCTGCCAAACCCACTTCCCTTCCCCCTCTTCCTTCTTTTTTCTTCTTCTATCGTCTTGCACAGCGACCTGCTGAGAACGGCGACTAACCTGCTTGCAGACGTCTCTCACGGTTGAAGACAAAGCCATGTCCGCAATCAAAGATCCGAATACAGCTGTTCCCACGAACAGCGGCGAGCCGTCCAGAAAGCTCTCGGAAAGCCGTCCACCACGTCCGTCTGGTCCGCCAGGAAGCCGCTCCAGCCGTGGCGGCCGTGGAGGGCCGTTGCCGCCTCGCGCTAAGAACGCACCGCCGCAGCAGTCCGCTCCAGGCAACCACCGCCCGTCGCAGTCACAGGAGGAGGCCACAAAGCCAAAGTCCGGGGTCATTGGCATCGCCAAGGGCGAGCCTGTTGGTAGCAGCTCCTCCGGCCGGCGCCCTTCTCAGCCGATTCGAGCACGTCGCAACTCGGAATCATCCATTGCCCCCGATGACAAGACGCTCTCCAGAGAAGAGAAGGTCCTCCGTGACCTACGCAAACGCGATCAGGAACAGCGTGAGCGTGGTACGGGACGGCCTCACCGTCGAAACGACATCATCGACCAAATGGATGCCTCGAGCATCTTTGGTAACGGTACGTTCTCATTCTCACCTTGGACTGCTCACTGCCAAACGGCGGGATGGTTAGAAATGGGATGTGACCTGACGGAGAATCTAACCACATTGTAGTTTTCCATCATGACGGCCCTTTTGATGCGTTGAACCCCCACCGCAACCGGAAGGGCAGCCGCCGCGCTCCTATGCAAGCTTTCCCCAAGGACTCGCTCAACAATAGCATTGGCGGCTCTGGCCCCATCAACAAGCGGCCTGACCACCGGACCTTCATGGGCCAGGGGGAGGATGAGGCTTTCAGAGAGTTCTCCAACAACCACCAGCCTATGTCAAGCGGCAAGATTGCTCCCGTCGGCGTCTTTGATCCCCTGCAGCGTGGCACTGCTCTCCACGGTGACCAGAGCCTCGGACTGGGAACCTCAACGTTCCTCGAGGGCACACCGGCGGCACGCACGACGATTCAGCGCCGCGAGGCTGAGCGGGCTCAAGACATCCAGGACAACCCACTGCAGCGGAAGAAGTCCCTTGCACAGCGCTTCCGGAGCATCAACAGGGGTCCACGCGAGCCTCACCCGGCCCGCGCCTTTAGCTCCGACAGCGGGCCGGCCTCGGCTGGCGCGACGTCAGGCAGATACAACAACGACACCGACCCCTTTGACGAATTCGACCCTAAGCGGGGCGAGGATGTCATTACCGTCCGTAGGAAGAACTCTGCGGCGTTGCCAAGCCCATCGAGCCCACCTCGTGGTCCGGGTCTTGAGCGCCGGTCCACCACGGACGGCACGACTGCCACAGGATCGCCGGGTGGCGACAACGCGAACCCTACTACGACTGTTATCTCTAGTGGAGCCGGTGACGATTCTCAGCAAAAGCCGACAAGCCTTCTTGCTCGAGTAAAGAGCTTGAAGGGCGGTCGCCGGCCGGCACCTCCTCCACCTCCGATTGCCAAAGACTCTTAGAGAGACCGGCTTATTGCGAGGGCTACCAGACGGGGTAGTTGCCGGACGTCTGAACGCAGCGGAAGTGAGGCAAGTGGCAACCCGACGACTCAAGACAATGGCAAATAGCCGAGGCGAACCAGGTTGCCCTGCTAGAAGGAGTCTTGTCACTGGGAAGACAAGAGGCCAAGTGGAGGGATAGGGGTTTATGTACTCTTTTGTTCTAGAAAGGAAACATGGGAACCCCTCCAAAAATACCCCGAGCGAAACGAACTAAATCGCGCACGCACATCATGCTGCAATATGCAACTTAAGCATAGGCGGTGCGGCGAGGCCGGCTAAGATTGGACTCACGCCTTGCTCTTTTTTTGGTCACGCTTTTGCCCACCATATCTCGCTGTTGCTTTTTCGACTCTTCACAGACATCTCCTTGACGGGTTAACAAAAACAGGCACTTTTTGGGAGGAAATCTGGCGTTTTGTCTCTTGCAATACGTTCCTTTCCGTTTCTTTTTGGTCGCCTTCTGCTCTCTACTTGATTTTCATATTTTTCTTTGTTTTGGTTCCACTCTCACCGTCACTCCTTACCAACTTTCTTTGTTAATATTCTATATAGCAATGAATCTGGAATGTATAAAAGAATAGCTTTGTTCTTTTCTTGTAATTTGATGCGTGAAAGCACCTGATCCAAGGCAAAGCGGGTGCTGGTGAACTTCACGTGACATCTTGTTGAGGCCGTTCTGGCGAGGGTTTTTTTTCATGTGTATAATGTAGCACAGACGGGAGATATGGATGCTCTTTCCTTGAATAAACCGCTTTCCTTTGTTATAGTATATTGTACTGAATACTTTAGGGGTAAGGTGATTGATGTCAATCAACGGCAGGAGCGAGACGGTGCCTCGCTTCCTCACCCATTGGGTGAGCTCTATGGCCGAAACAGGCAAGCCCTAATAATGCAGCTAAACGCAAGAGCAATCAACAGCCTGTGCTACAACAACACTCCTCGCCTGACGGAATTTTAGACACCTCCTTTCATGCGGTGCAAATTGTTACATTTGTATTACGAGAAGGAAACCTCCCCTTTCAGACAGCGCAACAAGCTGACCGGTCGACCTTGTGCTCATAAACGTGCACAGAAGCTGGCCGATCTCCCGACACGCAAGACTCCGCCCACAAGCTTGTGTTAGAGGAAAGGAACCAAAGTACAAAAGTCCGGCTGCTGGTCAGGAGGATTCTTACATGTGGCAGCTCTCCCACCGGAGTGCATTTACCATTTCATCCCAAAGCAGGCGGTCAATGGCTCGAGTTGACGTGGCCGGCCGGCGAAGTGAAGAGGCTCGTATTGCCCATGGTGAGCACAGCCTCGACCACCACGATCTCGCCTACCCGTTGCAACCAGAACCAAGAACCTTTGGGGATGCAACCGCTACTGCAGCAGCATCAACAGCATCAGAATGCTACACGAGCGGCTGTGCTCAGCTGGACAGTCGCATCTTTGGCGGTGGGATTAACGGCGGATTGACGGGCGGCCTGGTCGGCCTCAGTGCCGAAGGCGACGTCGGCATAGTGGTAGGCGGACTGAACGCGTGGACGCGTTGTGATTTTTAATCCACCACCTCCTACCTCTTCTGACATGCTTGCAGATATCTCTTCAGGTGGCCGTCAAGCACTTGTACCAGAATACGTCCGCCACGGCTCGATTGATCACCACGCTGCCTGTTGCCCATGTCATCCGGCTCTTGAAAGGTGTATTGAAAAGCACCCTGGCAGCGACATCGAACAATGGCACAAATGCAACAAGCCACGACGATCCTGGGCCCGAGCAGCGAAGGCTCGCCTCTGCATCCAAGGCGTCGATTCTCGGCCGCATCTTGATATCTCGCGTCTACGGACGCGAAGATCTTGAAGCTGTCCTCAATGAACTGGAGGCAGGCGTGCCCTTCCAGCGGCTTTGGTCGACTGTCAACCGTCAACAAGAAGAAGGAGGCCTTGGACAGAGGATTGTGGTGGATAAGGCAGGGCAAGAGAGCCACCCGATTCCTGCAGAACAAACAGCACCTCCGAGCATTGTCATCTTCACAGAGATGGACCACCACTTCAAGTGGATGCGTCTACAGAGCAACGGCGGACGGCTGTATGAACTCTATGGCCAGTTGATGCGTCGTTTACGAGCATTGGCTGCCGCCCAAGGGAGTACATTCTCGTCAGACACCACGAACCAGCGACTCATCTTCGTCCTCAACAGCACGGTCACGCGGCGACCTGAAGAAGGACGAAGCATAACTATCACGGCTGACGACGGCACCGTGGGTGGTGCAGACAAGCGACAGGAAGCTTCTCAGGCACAGACTCTCGACCCGGATGCTACGTACGGACTCGCCCTCGCGGCTCTCCAGCAACGACGCCATATCGACCGCCCGGATGTGTTTCGACTCTGCTGCAACGAGCTGGCTAGAGCACAATGCATCGAACCCAGGTACAAAACGCTCCTCGACTACTATTGCAGCCTCCACATCTGCCTTACGCGCCTTCCAGTGGATCTTGTGGATCTGTGGGGAGGCCGACAGGGCGGCAGTACCAGCCCTGCCGACTCGTCGCTGTGGGTGGCCACGGTCGAAAACGACGAGAAAGAAATCAGCCAACGAGCAACCGACAGGACGACTGTTGCGTACCTTTCCAGTGGCATCGTTCAAGATGCGGCGCTCACATGAAGCGACTCGGAGACGATAAACAAAATTGATAAATGGATGTGCTCAGCTCTGGCCGCATAATACACACAAGCGGCATGGACTGCCAGAGACAATACTATTCTTGTTCTATATATAGCCAACCGCCTTGAGAGGGCCAGCGGGCGCGCGCTCTCGTTTCCACCCTTCCAGCCTACAACTTCGAACCGGCCTTGCGTGCCTTGGCCCTTTCTTGGTCACGCAGCAAACGACGAAGAATCTTTCCGCTGGGACTCTTGGGAATGATGTCGATAAACTCGACACCGCCCTTGAGCCACTTATACGGGGCCTTGTGGTCTTTGACGTGCTTTGCAATGTCACGAGCGACGTCGGCCTCTGGCTTTGATGCGTATGCCGCCGAGCGGACGACAAAGGCCTTGGGCACCTCGCCGGCGCTGTCGTCGGGCACCTGAATGACGGCCGTGTCCGCTACGGCGGGATGGGTCAGGAGGTGGGCTTCCAGCTCCGCAGGCGCGACCTGGTGGCCCTTGACCTTGATCAGCTCCTTGATGCGGTCGACAACGACCAAGTGCTCGTTGCCAGACGGGGCGCGCGTGACAAGAACCTCGTCCCCGGTGCGGATCCAGCGGCCGTCCTCGTGGAAGACAAATGTCTCGTTGGTGGCCTTTTCGTTGTTGAGGTAGCCGAGCACGACGGCCGGTCCCTGCACAAGCAGCTCACCGGGCGTGTCGTACTTGGTCACCTCGTTGCCGTCAAAGCCGATGATCTTGGCCTTGACGCCGGGGACCAGGGACCCCGACGAGCGATCGTACGTGTCATGCTCACTCGTTGAGCATACGACGGTGGAGGTTTCCGTCATGCCATACCCCTGGCCGATGGTCCACTTGGGGTAGATTGCGCGAAGGTCGTTGATGGTCTCCTCGCCAGTCGGCGCGGCACCCGTGTACACGAAACGGACGGAGCTCAAGTCGTATTTTGAGCAGACATCTTGGGTCCGCAGCAGGCGGATGACAATCGGTGGGACCTGGCGAGGCGGGGGAGGGGAAAGGAGAGAGCGCCGTGTTAGCAAATGGAGCGGACACGGATGGGATGGGCCGTGGGTGGGCCAACAACTCACGATGCGAAGCTGCTGAATGCGGTACTTCTGGATAGCAGCGAGGAAGGTCTCCAGCTCGAATCTCGGCAGGACAATGACCTGATCACCACGGAAGGAGCCGGCGTGGGCGATGACGACCAGGCCATAAATGTGGCTGAAGGGCAGCAGACCGATCTCGACCTGTGTGTCGACGCCGGCGGCTTTGCGACCCACCGACTCGTACGCCGCGAGCTGGAGGACGTTGGCGATGACGTTGCGGTGGGAGATCATGACGGCTTTCTGCAAGAAAGGAACAAAAGACAACAAAAAAAAAACAGTCAGAAAGTAAGCAACAACAGTATCAGCCAAAACAACAGACGCCGCGTTCGCCACGTACCGGAAGTCCAGAGGTGCCGCTGGAGTAGCAGAGGAAGGCCGGCTGGCGCGCCCCCTGGCCCTTTACCCACTTGACCGGCTCAAGCGCCGGCAGCTTGGCACCCTCTGCCACGAGCTGGTCCACGGTGATATGGCTGGCGGCGGCTTTCTTGGCGGCATCGGGGGCGCCGGGCACGTCAATCAGGTACACCCTGTCGTCGGGAATCTTGACGGCGCGGGTGGCCTTCAGAGTGGTCTCGAGCAGGGCCTCGCAGGTGAAGACGGCCGAGGCGCCGGACGTGGTGAGCTGGTGTTGCAGCTCGAGGGACGAGTAGGCGGCGTTGGCGGGCGTGCTGATGCCCGAGAAGCGGTGTGCGACGTACATGGCCGCCATGTAGTCGATGGCGTTGAGCGAGAAGACGGCAATGACCTTGTCCCACGGAGGCCCCTCGGCGGGCTGCCAGCCAAGCCGCTTGCCGACGGCGCGTGCCAGGAGATCGACCCGCTGCGTCGTCTCCGCCCAGCTGTACGACTTGCCGGTCAGGCCGCAGGTGAAGGGATGGCGGCTCTTGGAAAACGAACGGCGCCCAAACGATTCGTCGGTCATAAACTGCTCGATGGTCACCGAGTCGGGAGGGTCTGGAGAAAGGGCAGTCAGCGTTCATCCTATGCCGGGAGCAGCAGATCGCGTGTCTGCCTTACCGATGGGCAGCTGCGGCACCCACGCCGGAGGATGGAACACCATGGCTGCTGTGCGACCGGAACTGCACGGATGTTGGCCGGTTACAACGGCTTGAAGTGCGAAGAGCGAGGATGCCCGAGAACAAGAAGCCAGGAACGTTTCAGCGAGAAAGGTGAAAACAGAGGAGGGGGAGAGATGGGTGAAATACGACGAGAAAAAAAGAAAAAAAAAAGACAAAAAGACAAAACCAAAACCAGACACCCTGAAAGGAGGAGGCAACGGAGCATTTGTGCGGCTCGTAGCCTCGCTTTTCGTCACTTTTCGTCACTTCCACCCGAGCGAAGCCCCTGCCCCTTCCTCCGCCATTTTAGTGGATATTTCCAGTGGACATCACCAAAGTGCGGAGGTGACCAGGGCGGGATAGTGCGCCTCGGCGAGTCTGGAGAGGGGGCCCTGGCGGGGAAGTCGCATTTGAGGACGGCACGTCCTCTTTGCGTCCATCGTAGCTGCCGCGCCTAGCATCCGAAATTCGCTTCGACGCAACCATTCAACGCACTCATATCGATTGGGGAAGGCTCGATCCTGTTAACGCTTTAGGGATAGTCTACGGAGTATGTTGTACCTACGCTTAGTTCTCAACTAACGACTTTCCGCTGCAGACGATTGCAGTCTGTCGGTATTTGCGATGCAGCTAACTCATTACTGCACAACACATTCACCCCTGGCTATATTCGCCAACGGGACAGACCGGATTCTCTGTTGTGTGATGCACACGTTACGACATAATACACAAAGGTAGCGCTGTGATGATGGTGAAAGCAGCGATAGAGAAGACTGGGAATCGGAATGATGTTCGCTATTCAAACGGAAAGCAACTGCAGAGTTCTTTATCGCCGGACAGCCTTTTCAAATGCGGCAGGCCTAAACCGTAGATGCGACGGGTGATCATGGTGCGCGACTCGTCGAACGTTATTTGGGGCGTCAGGGATGCCGAATCCACTCTGCTTAAATACCACCGCGAGCTGCCGATTGTCAACAAGAATGAGACGACTGAAGCGTCGGTGGTTTAATGGTCGGGCGATGGGTTTGCTTTCCGGTTATCACTTTCCCGAGACACCTGCTGCATCAGGCCACCCAGCGTCGCTTGTTCTGTACAGCAGAATTGTATTCCCCTCTCCCCCCCCCCCCGTCGCTCAGCTCACAAGCAGCACCACGCTGCCAAAGTGCCGCCGCATGTCTGCCTGCTCCACGTCGTGCGTGTCCTCCACCTCGCCCCACTGAGCCGTCTGGAACGCCGTCTCCATGTTGGTGGCCGCATAGGCTGCCTCCACGGAGAGCGCACTGCCGCGCGCATTGGCAGGTGCCGGATGCACTGCCGTCTGCGACCAGCCGGCCACAAACCGCGACGCCACCACCATGCTCTTGCCTGCAAGCGTCGCCCGCTCCACGCCCGCCAAGTCCCAGCCGTTGAGGCTCTCCAGCCAATCCGCCACCGCCTTGCGCGTCTCGGCCGGGTGCGGCTTCGGGAACAGCAGGCTGGCTTGGTCCGCGCCGCCCAGCACCGGCTCCACCACCACACCGGGCCACACGTGTGCCGCCATGTAGGCAAGGATGGGCTCCGCCGTGCGCTCCTGCAGCTGGTGCAGTGTCACCTCGCCGTGGCCGGCCACATTGCGCGTCGCCGCGCCGCCGATGCCGTGCGGGCTCGCCAGCTCGTCCGGCGGCGCCCAGCACAAAAGGCTGTCCGTGTCGAGGTAGCGCAGTAGGTTCTCGATCAGGGCGGTTCGCATCGGTGCGGCGCCTCCGCCAGCGGCCGCCGTCTTCTCGTCTTCCAGATCAATCGCCCGGCACACCAGCGACGTCAAGGGCACCCGGTGGCCTTGCGTCGCCTGCCGGACCGACGCCAGCAGATCCCACTCCGTTGCTAGCGCATGTGCCAGCATCTTCTTGTGGGCTGGGATTTGTATAATCTTCTTCGTCGTAGGGTGCCGCACTGCCCGCGTGTCGAGGCGTACCTCCAGATGCTCGCCGACCTCTTCGACGCTCGCATTCTTCCAGAACCGACTACTGCTCGCTCCGTTCACCTTATCTGCGAGGGCCTTGCGCCGAGAGATGCGGACAGCGCGCTCTTCAGCGTCGCGGACGAGGTCGGTGGCCTTTGTGGACGCCTCCTTGGTGTTCTCGGCCGATGTGCCTGTTTGCGGTTCCGGCGCGTTGGGCGGCGGGCCCTGGCCGTGTATGGGGACAACATCGGCCGCGCGGGGTGAGGTCGTAGACGGTGTCGTGACAGTAGCCGAGCTGTGGAACGGACGAGTTCCGTAGAAGGACAAGGACGAGGAGGGGTGTGTCGAGGTTGATGCCGTCATCGGCGACGAATTGCTCTGTTGGAATCGACATTGTATGGGTGTTGAAATCGCTTGCGAGGCGCGAGCCCGCAACGCAGTCGGCCCCGAAGAACGAATTCGTGCGACTGATCGCATTGTGTTTGGACAGATACAGGTTGAGTGTGTGTAAACTTGTTGTTCGCAGAGCTTGAAGATCATGTCATCTTTTGAGGGCGATTTTTTTCGCCAACTGATCCTGGCGAGGCTAGAGCCGACTCGGCCGATTATTCGTTCGTGTGAAGTGACCCACTTTTAGCGATCAAACGCCCGTCCTTGAAGAGACATCACTGGAATTGCCATTTGACAACGTCAATGGATACATGGAAGTCAACGTTAAATAATATAGAGCTGCACAGCATCAAAATATCCAAAAAGAAGAAGAACATAAGAAGAAAGGCCTCCCAACAAAGTGCATGCTAATAGTAGTAGATAGTATACAATGCAAGTTTTCTCTTAAAACAACGAAAAGAACTCAACGACATGCTCCTCAAAGGCCAAGAAAAAAAACATGCAACCATGCAAATAAAAACGAAGCAAAACGAGCAGAACTGAATACGGTGGATCTAGTAAGGTGGACGGGACAGGTTGCCCAGCCCGTTCTCGCCGGCACGGCTATCAATGCCCTTGAGGAGCGACGTTAGATCCAGTGGTGGTGTGTCCATGTCGTCGCCCAGAACACTCGATAGGATGCTCTCGCCGCCCCGGCTCTTGATATTGCGCCGGGTGGATTGTTGAGCCGCAGATGCGGCAGACTTGGCCGGTGGTGATGTCATGGGCCGTGGCGGTGTCGCCGTCTTGTCGGCATTGGCCAGCTGTTGCGCCTGGAACTGGTGCTGCTCGCGAATGATTGGAGACGGCAGTGGTGGCACCGGCGGGACCGACTCATCACCGTTGCCTTGCTGCGGCTGGTCACTGCCGCCGCTCTTGTAATTGGCACTGCTGCTGCCGTGGCCATTTGGCGCCTCCAGGAACTCGCCTGTTGTCGAGCCCTTCCGGCTAGGTGACGTCCCCTGCCGAACTGGTGACACTGTAGGGACTTCCGCATCTGGCTGTGACTGTTGTTGTTGTTGTTGTTGTTGTTGTTGTTGCAAGTCGCCCCCAGTGGTTGCGTTGCTGACCGGCGGCGGGTTGAACGAAAACTCCGAGGCCGAAATGTCGTAGCTGGCCATGCTGTCGGAGTTTTCGTCACCGTCGTCACCGTCGTCGTTTTGGCCACGATTCTCGCCGTGGCGGTGGCCCAAGTTGGCATGCACGTCAGCACCCGAGAGGGCCATCTTGAGCTGGTCCACAGACGTGACAAATCCAGTGCCGTTGTGCGCCCCGTTCCGGCTTGACAGGCTGCCACCAGGCGACGGCGACACCCCGCTATGGATGCTCGATTTGCGAAGCTTCGTCACCAGCGGTGCCAGGTAGTCGTTGTTATGCCCGGCCCCCAAATTCTGGTGGCTAGCCGAGGGCGAGGGCATGGTTCCATTGGTGTAAAGGTATTCCTTGGCCAGACCGCTCGACGTGTTGGCCGTCAGGTGGTTGCGACCAGCCGCAGCATTGGAGTTGGTCGCCATGGTACCGGAGCGCGACCCACTCAGCGATACCGTCTTGCTGCCAGCATGCTGTTGCACGGCCTGGATGACAGCGTCGCGTGACCAGTCCGACAGCATCTGACTCCTGTACGAGGCGGGGACCTCCTCGTCAAAGTCGGTGTTGCCATTGACATTGTCGTGGTCTACTCTAGGAGCAGAACTGCTACCTTTGATACCAAAGTTAAACGAGCCAGGGTTTCTGCCAGGGCTAACAGCAGGGCTCTGGGGCGGCGAGCCGGCAGTTTCTTGGTAGCCGGAGCAAATGTTCTCGACCAGAGACAGGCGGTCGTCAAAAGGCAGCAGAGCCTCGGTCTCGATCTCGTGCAGCGGCATGCGTGGCTGTGGCCGGGGCATGCCAGGCGTGCCGACGAGTTCCAGGAGCGCGCTGGGCGGAACGTGGACACCCTCGACCCAGAAATGCTTGGAGCGGCGTCGCGTGACCTCGTTGCGGATGGCGTGGCCGACCATGGTCGTCTCGAAGCGAAACTTTTCGGTCAACGTCCAGAAGTAGCCGTGCACTAGCGTGCCGACGCGGACCTTGGCCTGCGGCGTCTCAACATCCTGGATGGCCTCTTGTAGCTGGAAGATCATGGGCAGGCCGTAGCGCGTAGCGTTGACGCCCAACTTGTCGACGAGTTTATAGAGGAGTACGTGCAACAGAACAATGTCCGTCTCGTAGTCGACGTACTGCAGCGCGTTGTCGTAAATAACGACGTGGAGGAGAGCCAGGAAGAAGCTGCGGCGCCTGCGGCTGGAAGAAGATTGCTTCGCAATGGGGCTGCTCACCGCGCCCGTCTCACCGCGGTTCGAGGTACTCGACACAGCGCGTCTCGCCAGGTTCGAAGTCGCGCCAACAGCACCCGCCGCCGGGTTATTCTTCGTGCTAGGGCGGTGGCCGAGTACGGACGTCACTGGGGTAGACGACCCAATCGTGCTATCGTCGCGAGCACGCTGGTCGGCATGCGAAACCTCACGGTCGAGCCAGGTGATGAGAGCATCGACGTACGCCTTGCGCACTTGGCCGTCGGTGTCCCGTAGCAGCCAGTGCGTACCCTCCCAGACTTGGATCGGTACGCGGTTTCGGGACAGTGTCTGGTTGCCGCCGAGGGTAGTCTTGGGGTTGGCCACCAACAGGATGGCTTTAATCGAGCGCAGCACGGCCGTCTTGGCCACACTAAGAGAGAAGAGGGAGTCGACTGAAGCATGGTGGGGTGCGGTGTGGGGTGCGCTGTTCTTTTGCGGCGAGTCACCCGTGCCCGACCCCGTGGCCGCACCATCACCGTCAGCCTTTCCGTCCTCAGAAGCCTTCTCGCCTGGCGGCGTAGAGCTGCCCGTACCGGTGCTCGACCGTGGCGGTTTCATCCGGTATAGAATAGTCGCGACCATGTCGGAAATCTGGTCAGCGTAGTACACGTGTGTGGCGAGGTCACCAATGCACTGTTGCAACCGCGTCAGAAGCTCCTTACGCTTTGACGCAACTGTGGTAACAGTTTCGATGGCGGCCAACGTGGAAGGCGACCGCGGGTCGGGGCGACCGGGGAGTGGACCTTCGGACGCGGCGACGGCGGCGGCTGCGGCAGGATCGCCAGGCATCTGGACAAGCTTCTTGATATGCTGGATGAAGCCCAGGAGCACATCCATGACGCTGAGACCGATCAGGCTTTCTTCAGAGCGAAGCAGAGAGCCAACCATGGTGGTCAGAGTGATGTGGAGGTCGAGAGTCTCGTCTGAGAGAGGGGCGCGGGCCAGGGCATCCATGACGGTAATGAGAATGATGTAGCGCTCCTGGACGGGTGCCCAGCGCAAAAGAAGGCCGCAGATCTTGACAGACCATCCGCCTTCCCGGCTACCAGAACCCGTGCGCACGACCGCCTCGCCCTGCTCGATACGGTCCTTGACAAAGTCAAGCAAGGCCAGAGTGGCGTAGTGGATGAGCGAGCGACTCGAGGAGATGAAGATCTGCTTCAGGCACAGTATGGCCAGCACACCAATGTCCTGCTCGGCCAGCTTGTCGACGTCCATGGCGGTGCCGGAGAGGGCAATTGGGTTGGTGTCGCCGGCAGTGTCGGCGGTGCGCACAGTGGCCACGCTGTTCCGCCGTTTCAGCTGGCGGTCTGTGTCGTCCTTCTTCTCTTCCACCTCGGCACGGTCGACCAGCACATCCAGGAACTCTTCGTTGTCGGTCCACAGATTTTCGAGGATCATGGGGACCATCATATCGTACTGGCGGCCGGCAATTGACGAGAGGGCGTCCGAGGCAGCAACGGCGCGGATGGCCTCGAGGCCTGCGCTACGCCATCGCATGGCCACTGGCCTGCTGGGCCGGGTCTTACCGGGCGAGAGGCGGGTGGAAGCAAAGGACGCATAGTGGCGCACTACGGCCTCGAACTGGGCGAGGTACAGCTGGTCTGCGAGCAGGGTCGAGGAGTCATGGTTGGCGCAGAATACCTTGAAGGTCGGGATAGACGACTCAACCATGGTGATGTCGTTTGAGCGGAGGATGACGTCGAGAATCTTGAGGACATTGGGAGCAACCAAGGGTAGATCCTTGGGGTTCTTCTCGATGAGAGCCTCGAGGATCTTGAGGGTGACTTGGACATTGCCTATCCGCTGGCGCCAGACATCGCTAGCCGTCTTTCGCTCAAGGAAACTGCCTACCTTTTGAATCTTACTCCGGCGGGAGGTGGCGTAGTAGAGCAGGTAGCTGAGCTCACTTGAGTTGGGCTTGACGTCGATGGTGCCTTTGGTGGTGCGTGGATAGCACTTGAGAATCAGCACCTGGTGCTTCGGTCGGCACTTTTGAGCAATTGCGTGCATCGTGACAGCAGTGACCACAGTGTCGCCCCAGATTTCGAAGGGGGAGGAGGGGGGGTGGGTTTCAGGGAGGAGGGTTTTGAAGCTCACGGCAACAGCCGCAGTTGCAGGCAAGCCGGCACTCGTAAACGTGTCCCGTCCAACTCCCGGAGGGCCGTGGCAAGGCCAGATGGCCAAGAAAGGGCGGCAGACCCGGTGGTCCGAGAAGAGCGAGAGGGTGAGCGGTCACGTCGGCGAGTCGAGAGCATGAATGGACGGCGGACGGAAAAAGCGAGGCCGAAAACGAGCGAGATACGACAGGAAAGCAGCCACGGCGAGAAAGCAACAGCTGCGAAAATAGGAAGGCGAGGCAAGGCACAGTCAATTGACGTTGGCAGTGTCGGTGTTCAACGCGTCGACATCCGGTCGCTGGTTGCAGAAACTGAGGCCGAGCGGGTGTCACGGCAAACTGGCCACGAAAAACAATGACGAGGAGGATTTGGAGAGTTTGGAGACGCTATGGTCAGGGCGTATGTGGGCTCCGGCGGGTGCCTTGAGCTGTCGTAGACGGAGGAGGCTAAACCCGAACTCCACGGCCATTAAAAATCAAGATGCTATTCGAAGCGCATCTGGAAAAGGGCAATGGGAAGCGTCGAGGTCCGTTTGTTGTCGCAAGGTGAGTTCAAGATTTGTTTGCTGGAAAAGGGGGTGGAGAGAAGGCGGAAGCAAATGGGACAAGAGAAAAAGTGAGCAGGGGCGACAGACGGAAAAAGCGCGGTGCAGTGAGCAGGGGCCTGGCCGCGCGGAGGAAGCAACGAACGAGGACCAACACAGGGTGCTACAGTGTCGTGATAGCGCATCGACCAAACATCACAGGGCCTGGACCAGGGGCGCCTGGTGCGCGTGGACGATACGGCTGAATATGACCACTAAAATGCTGTCCACAGAGCCACACAGAGCCACACAGAGCTGCTTACAGGAACGCACAGGGGTACACGTATCTGTCCTGCTGTCCTTCCTAAAATACAGCGCGAACTGTGTTACTTCATCAATAGCGCCTTCTCATTCCGACTAGCGCAATCACTTTAGAACGGAAAGAGCCAACGGCTCACGCCCAGCGGACCACACATTCCTGCCATCTCATCCCCAAACTAGCAACAATCAAGAGAACCAAAAACCAACGGGCAAGCTTTCGGGCAACCAAAATCAGCTTTAGCGCGATTAAGATATCCCTTGACGATAGGTTTAGCAGCCGTTTGTTGCATTTTAAGTATGGTCCCAGACAAGCCAGAATTCGGAAGAGCGCGACAAGACAAAAACAGAAAGAGGTTCCCGCGCTTGCTCTGTATTAAAAGAGCAGACAGTCGGGAAAGTGCGTGTGGTGCGGTACCGGCAGCCCAGGAAAGCAAGGAAAGAGCCACCTGCTCGTGCCCTAACCTATATGTGGCGATGGTTGGCCAAGCTGGCGGTACTTTTCTGCCATGATAATGCACAATGACGCCGTACTTTGTGCGTCGACTTGCTCTGGATGGACAGCCTGAGGACACGGCCGCACAGCTCTGACCTGCATCGGGCTTTCTGTCAGCCTAAACTTCTCTAAAGCGCACACATCCCACGTGTGTCTTACAGCACCCGCAGAAGGCGGGCCTTGTGCGGCTTCAATTCGTTGGGGAGAGGTTTGACCATTTGCCGTTTGTCGAAGGACGCAAGTTAAAATGGCCGGAAGACACCTGACTGAAGCTGGGGTTGCATGGCTGTCTCGCAGGCGTCATTCAAATGCTCTATTCGAAAATGCAACAACTTCATGAGGTTACTAACATCTCTTCGTCTTTAGTCACGGCGCACCTGACAGCCTATCACGGGAAGCAAACAGCAAAATTGTTGGGGATGTCGAGGAAGAAATGCGCAAAAGCTTAATAGTGCCAGACTAGTGTACCATAAAGAGCGCAGCACAAAGGCCGGTATGGTCCTCGTACGTTTGTCTCTTCCCGTCCCATTTCAGCCTTATGACCAAGTTGCGGGACAAAACGACACGCTGCAGGGATGTGTTTTCTGGCCTGCGGAACATCCGTGTTGCTACATTTCGGCGCATGGGACATGTATCCATAGTTCCGGCCTCATTTTGGTGTGTGATGGCAGTGTATGTTTCACTGTGATAAAATTTGCCATATGTTTTCATTATGAAGTGAGCCTGCCTGTCATACGTGACTCTGTCGCTCAAGGAAGACTTCTGGGACATGGAAGTAAATGCTGGCTCAAAACGTTTACCTGTTCGTAAACATCGCCAAATCAAGCCAGCTAGAATGTATTACGACGTATTGTGTACGGACAACGTGGGACCAAGCAGAGACCATTTAAGTTTGACTTGCTAACATTGAGGCTATAAACCGACGCTGCTGGACCATACTTTTTTCCGGAAAGCAAAAATCATTCCCACCAGCCGAACCCTGTAGGTATTTTGTTCTACCTAAATATTAGCTATCTTGCGCCAACCTTAAACCATACTGTCGTCGTGTTCAGCATGCTCGGCATTTTCGCGAGTGTGGCCGGGTGTTGGCTTCGACCAGGGGCTGCCCATCTCCTCTATATCGACACTTTGGTTCATCCAGACCCTCAGCTGTTCCGGCGATACGACGGTGTCTCGGTGTAGGCGGTCCAACTGTACCGATCGAGCAACGGGCGTCCGTGCAGTGCCGCAGCCCAAGCTAGCTGTCGATGCACAGAGGCCTTGTGAGACCATAGTGCGAAGGCCAGGATTGTCAGTTGTCGGTAAGTGTTCTTGGCCCTTGCCTGGTGGCGAGTGCGCGCTGTCTGACTTTGTCGAGCTGTCATGAACCAGACCGGCTTGCCAGGCTTGCACACGAGACCACTGTCCGGACCCATCAGACTGGAGAAGTGGCGCATCGTCTTCTGCCTCCTTTAACTTCTTTGCGTGCGCTAGACCTGGGAGACCAAGACCAGGCGGGCTTCCAAACCCGCCATCGATTTGATCTCGCTTCTGGGCTCGGGATGCCGATGTCTCGCTTTCAAATGTCTTCATGCTCTCCCGGAGAGCGCGCTGGAAAGGACTCTTCCCGCGGAAAAAATACTGCGGCGACGCAACTGCCTGACCACCGGCCACTGGGGACAATCTCTGGGGATCTGGGAGGCCTGGGTCAGCAGGGGTTGTTGGGGCAGACTGGAAGGCGAACAAAACATTCTTGGCTTTGTCTCCGTCATAAAACGGATCGTTGCTGCTTGTCTGGCCCTTCGCGGTAGTCTCTCTGCTCTCCTCGCGGCAGACATTTTGCAAATTTAGGCTCAACTCCTGTAGACGGCGAAGGGCAGCGGGTGCAATCGCCTGCCGGGGAGTAGCTCCACGGCCGCTGCCAGCGAGCGAAGGTGACGACGAAGACGAAGACGACGACGACGACGAGCTGGGAGAGACTTGTGCTGCTCGCCGCATACGGATCCCAGACGCCAGTAATTCAGCATCTCTGTCAGTCAACTTCCGTTGTGCAGCGCTCATTGGTTGGGTCTGTGGTGGATGGAGCATGCCGTTGTGCGTTTCAACTCTGGAGGCTGCAATCGGCGTTGGGACTTCGGCCTGGCCGTTGCTTTCGGTGATCACAGGCAAGTGCTGTGGTGCAAATTCGCTCGTTGGTTGCCGATTGCTTGCTGTCGACGATACCCGACGCACTGAGCTAGACCAGCTCGTGAACCGGGATGTCTCACCGCTCGCTTCGCTTTGCGCCGCCTGCCCGGCCCCGTATGCTCCGCAGACGATCGTTCCGGACCCGTTGTACTCGGAATTGGTATGCAAGTCGTTTGAAAAGGACAATCGCATCGCACGTTCCGACATAAATTCTTGCCCGCTGAAGACTTCCCCGAGCAAAGGGGCTTCTATATGCTGGTCTGGCACCTGCTCTGAGCCACAATCACTTTTAGAGTGATTCCAGAAACTTCTCAGTCTCATCTTAACTCTTTTCGACACTCTGCTCGCTGTTCGGCGCAGGCTTCCGGTGTTGCTGGACTCGTTTGCAAACCCTTCGACTCCTTCTTGGGCACTGATATCGGGTACTGGTCGGTCAGGTAATATACTTGGCCGTGGTGTCTGGTGCTGATTCTGCCGAAGCGACTTGCGCATGCCCCTTTGTTCTGTGCGTGGTGAGCGCAAAGAAAGGCCCTTATGAGATGAATTAATAGTGGATGGTACTGCTGAGAATTTGTCCTCGCCATTGCTAGAGAATGAAAAATTGCGCTTCCGGTGAGCCCGCAAGAAGCTTCTTGATATTGTCGGACATGGTGGAGGTATCGCTGCCTTCCCCACGATGACATCTGTCTCCGGTTGGCGTTGAATGCACCGGTTGTGGGTATTCTGCAGGGAAGGTGCTGCCAGAAGCGGCTGCCTCTGGGTTGTACTGTACTCTCCTGACCTCTCGTGCTTGTGCTCTTGAGCAGGGTATCCTGTAGTAACCGCGTCCTTAAAATATGCTGACAGGCCAGAGGGATACGTCGTAGACCTGGCCGCTTCTGTGACTACTCGCAGCGGTGCAGTACCGAAGGCAGTCGTTGAGGTACTCTTGTTACGCAGGCTGCCCTTTGATGATTGGCGCGGCCAGTGCCTTTGGGTCATGATCGTGCGGCGCGGAGCAGAGCCAACGTGGATTGTGTTTCTTGCCATGGTCATACTGGCTGCCGCATCTCCGAAATTTTCCTTGTTTCGGACCTGCGGAGATGACCAGGTCTTGTTGATATGTTGCTTGTTCATAGGAGTGCTGGGTAAAGAAGACGTATACTGGGAGTAGCTGCTCTCGCTGGCCGCGAGGAACCGCGACGACGGGTGAATATCAGAGGAGGTCGTGTTTCTAAGTGGTATTTGGTATGCTCCTGGCGTTAACCGCGTGTTGGCACGAGTTGCCTCCCGCCGTGCGGAGCTGGATGTCTGGCCGCCATTCTGCACGAAACGAATACTGCCGGTGTGTGGCCGACGGTCGCGCTGTGGCGCAGAGGGGTGCGCATCGCACCCGGAGTCACCATACCGGCTGGCCAGCATCCTAGTACCGACTGCAGGATCGGGAAACAGAGTCTGTGGTGCTTCGGAACCGCAATTCTCTCGGTCGTGGACAAACGCCTTGCTTGCAGCAATGTGTGCATCTCTCGTGGCATCAGTTGCATCCATGTGCTGGAGATGGACGCCCCGGGTACTTGATCGACCTTGGCCGGAAGCGTCGAGCCGTGGTCCTCGCATGGTCACCACTTGGTCAATCTCGAGGTGTGCGGGTTGGAGACTTATTATTAGCTTAGTAAAGCGACCGTCGCGTAAAATAAATGGGCTGGAATCGTGTAGACAATAGAGGCTCGATAGTACAAGCAAAGAATGCGATGATGATGTCGATGAAAATGGTGTATGGATAGAGGCGTCCGCAGATGACTTTGAGCACAGGCAGTGCATCTGAGATAAAGTAAACAAAGCGACAACGGAGAAAAGGGGCTTTGGGCTAAGAGCAAATCGGCAAGCTATAGGACCCGGTGCGGAAGGACGAACCGGCACCCATGGGACGAATAAGGAAAGTACGTCGCAATTGCATGCTTTGCGCCCAAAAAGGAAACAAAATGCCATCCATTGGCAATCAGGGAAAGTGCAGCCGTCCAGAGTTTACAGCAGCGTCATTATCACAAAGCACGATAGCAAGAACGATATAGGAGTGTTTCTTGCCTCAATACTGTTCCGTCAAGCTGTGTGCATACCGAGACTCCCGGAAAAAGAGATGGGCCGGCTTGATACATATGGATGTTGAGTAGGAAACCCGGAATAAATGTGATTCGATTGCGAAACCAAAACGGAAGATGGTACAAATAGAGAGAAACAGAGCGTACGTTAACGGTGCAGCCTAATCAAGATACAAAGCCCCAGCCTACTACAAAAAACATGAATAAAGGAAAAAGGACAAAAGAAACAGGAATGCCAAAGGACTCGTGCATGCCAGGGTCATCCGGCAGCCAGCACGTTTAGCACAAATGAAACAATTTACTGCTTCAGCTCCTCGAAGAACTCCTTCAGCTCCTCGTCGACCAGCTCGTGGATCTTCTCAGAGAACTTGTGAGCCTTGCGACCGAAAGCCGAAGCGCTGCCGACAACCTTGCCGGAGAGGATCTCAAGGTCTGCCTCAATGGCCTTCTCCAGCTCGGAGACGGAGTCAAGTACGACGCCGGAAGCGGACTTCTCGGGGACCTTGTCGGCAGTCGCATCGTAAGCACCCTCCTCGACAATGGACGTGTAGTTGCTGCATCCGCCACCGTTCCAGATGAGCAGGTTGGGCGTGTCAGCGGGGATGTCGGTCAGAGTGCCGACAGTCGAAACAGCAAGCAGGTTCGACTTGAGCTTTGCGGGGGTGATGGGCGCAACGGAGTACTCGGAGTCGGTGTCAGGCTGCAGAGACAGGTAGTAGGCCAGGAGACCGGCAACGTGGGGCGACGCCATCGAGGTACCCGAGATGGTGTTGATAGCAGTCTTGCTGCCAATCCAGGTGGACTGGATGTTCAGGCCAGGGGCAAAGACGTCGGTGCACTTGCCGAAGTTGGAGAAGTAGGCGCGGCTGTCATCAATGGCCGAGGCACCGACGGTGACGGCGTTGGCAGCAGCAGCGGGGGAGTAGTTGCAGGCGTCGGCGTTGTCGTTGCCGGCGGCAACAGCAAAGTGCAGACCGGCGTTGACAGCAGCGTTCACGGCAGCGTCGAGGGGAGTGGTCTTGCCACCGCCCAGCGACATGTTCGCGACAGAGCCCTTGAAGCCCTTGCGCTTGCCCTTCTTGGCAGCGGCAACCTGCTCAATGTGGCGCTGAGCAGCGAACTCGACGCCGGCAATGACGTCGGACATGGTGCCAGAGCCGTTAGACTTGAGCACCTTGACGGCGTACACATTGGCCTTCTTGGCGACACCGTACTTCTTGCCGGCAATGGTGCCAGAGCAGTGAGTACCGTGGCCGTTGCCGTCGACATCCTCGTCACCCTGGGGGATGGTCTTGCCCCAGTGGGCACGGCCGTCGAAGTCGACGTGATCGACGTTGGTGCCGGTGTCAATAACGTAGGCGTCAACGCCCTCACCGCCCTCCTCGGCGTACAGGTACTTGTTGAAGGTACCAAAATTCAGCGACTTGCGGTGGGACACACGGGCCAGACCCCAGGGGGCTCCCTTCTCGGTCTCGGGAGAGCAGCCAGACTTGGTGACCTCAATCTCCTGGTACTTCATTGTGTGGACGACAGTGTCCCGGTGGATGTACTCAACCTACATGATGGAATGACATGTTAGCCAGTGTGAGGGTACTATAGAGTGCGGACGGTAGCCGAGTATAGTGCATGATGACGCATCGCGTGATCACCTGCCTTCGGCGATAAGATGATTGGAGCGAAGGAGGCGGCCGCGCATGGCAGATAAGCGGCAAGCTGCAGCTGCATCGATGGGAGGTGCGAAATGGGAGATGCGAAGCGGAAAGAATACTCACGTCAGGATGCCGGCGGACCTGCTCGATGATGGAGTCATCGAAGTGACCAGCGTAGCCGACGAAGCCGCTGCCGATCTTGTAGGTGTGCTTGACGCCACGGAAAACATCGTCGGCCAGCGACAGGCCAAGGCCACGCTTGCGCAGCTCCAGGATGCGCTCGTCCTTGTTCTCGGGGAACGTCTTCACCCAGGAGTCATGGATGTTCTTGACCCACGAGTGGTGGTCATTGGCGGTCTTCTCGTCGACGTGGTCCTTGAACTTGATGATGTATGCACCTGGCACCTCCTCGGCGTTCGCAGACGACAGAACGGGAGCAGCATCGCCGTGGATGGTCTCCGTGTTGAAAGCAGGCGCCGCTGAGGCGACGGCTGCCAGTGAAAGAGCAATCAAGCCCTTCATGATGATGGAAAAGAGGGACGGGGAAGAGGCAATGCAGAGGGTCAGAGAGCGATGTCGGAATTCCGATTACCTCGCAGAGAGTGCGCGAGAAGCAGAGAACGGTGCAAGAGACGACGAAACACGAAACAGCAGAAAATCGACGGTATGTAACAGGCCCCGGAAAGAATACGGGAGATGGACGACGACGATAGGGGATGGAGAGGAAAGGAAGAGAAGAGAGAAGAAGCGGAAGTGGGAAGACGGGGAAGAAGGAGGAGTGTTGGAATGGCGTAGATAAAGGAAGAGCGGGAAGGAGGAGGTGGTGGATGGGGTGGATGCACTGAGGCGAGTGAGTAACCCGCTAGCGAGCGAGCAGGTATCGCGTGAGGACCACACAGGTGCGCTTTGCACCTTTGATTCCGAAGACAGCGGCACAAAAGATACCTGTTGCGTATTCGACGGTCGCTGTTGCCTCATCCAACAGCGTGACGCAGCACTGGTCGGGGGGTCCGGGTTCTGGTCAGACGGTGGTTCGTTGTCCGAAACGGTACTAGCGCACATTTCTAGCCAATAGGCTGACTGAAACGCGGAGGCGGAGTGTTTCCTCGGCAATGCGATAAGGGATTCGCACGGTGCGCTGGTTTTGCGCTCCCTTGGCGTCTCGTGTATGATGCGCAACGCAGGCGGCCGCTGCAAGGAAAGGGAACGACAGCTTCAACGGAGGCATCGAGTGATCCACGGTTCGATGGAACGACGAGGACGTTGTGCGTTCTCTTCCTCCAAAGACACCCCTACCGGAGAGCGGAGTGAGCATTGGCTTCGCAGTGAGATGGCTGCCTTCTGGGCGCCTTTTGGAGACAAATAGATGACGTCTTCCCGGGGCAGAATTACAGCGCTTCGTGTCTCTGGGATGGCCCGCTGAGCTCTCCGCACTGGGTAATTTATGGGGCAATCCAGGTCCACAGCTGCGGCGGATGAGACAGAAGATGCAGAGAGGGCCGCTCTTTGCCCCAGGCTGATCACCCAGGCCCTGGGAAGACCCATCGCTGGCCTCACACACATGCCGCATGACCTCCCCTGGTCTTATTACCTGCCATCCTGGGAGCTTGAAGGAAACGGAGACTGTGTCACAGAGGGCGTCGTTACTGGCAAGTGATAAATTATAAGCTGCACATTAATTACAACTGTTCAATTCTGTTGAGATTGGCAATATTGATAAAGCTATGATAGAGTGCGATAACCGTCAGGATGATAGGCATCGTTAGTAACCAAGCCCGACGCCTGAAATCTTGCCAATGAGCGAAGAAGAAGAGCCGCGATTGCGATAAAGCACCCCAGATAACAGGAGAACAGCAGATACGGTGAGATGCACGTGAAAATACAGATTTGGAAAGAAGGAGTGGCCGTACTTCCGCCATGATATATGCACGTTTAATGTGTAAAATGGTGCGTCGAGGGACGAGGTTACAGGCGATACCACGAGAAACACCAGCTGGAAGGAGAAGGACACAAAAGCAGCCATCAAGGGACATCGTCTTGAGTGGCGATGCGTGCAAGGTAATTTCAGCACTTATCGGCGTCATTGGCGTCTGACGACCTCTTGGTTTGTGAGAGGACGACAGGAATCCAGGCGAAAACGGAGAACCTAGGCACACGACAAGGAAGAGAGAGGGCGCCAGGGACGCCACCAATGGACGCAGAGCCAAGCGAGGCAGAAACGCATCAGCAGGCTGCCTGGGCATGGCGGCTAGGCCAGCCTTGTTTCGGTTGACTCTGGCCGCCAGAAATACAGTTAGCATCTCGTGACTGCGTCATGGTCAGAACCAAGCCACGGCTCTCTTGAATATCTTGAAGTGCGCATTCTTTGCGCATTCTTGTTTCTTCAGAAATTACAGAGCCTTTAAGCGAAGTATTTCTCTCTCTTTTCTAAACCCCCCGTTGTTTCTCTGCTCCCTCAGCGCTTAAGAGCTTTGCTCGTGATCGACCACTGAAGCCACAGCCAGTTCCACTATTAGTTGGCTCTCAGCCTTTGCTAACGAAAAGAGGGGATAGCGGTGTTCACACATTCCAGCATGACGGCAACCCCTTTGCACGTGACCAACCGCGTATAATTGTTAGTCATCTCGCTATCTCAGCCTTCCGTTTGTCGGCCGCCTCTCCCCCTCCAACTCCGCTGAACCCCTCCAATGACTCAAGTATTTTGGAGCACCGGTGCCTGTAACCGGCTCCTGTAACCGGCGCCAGTGAACGTTCACGCAAATCGCGACGTGCTACTGCCGTGCTCCGTAGATAATTTTTTTTCTAATGTTTGGTCGGAATCGACGGTCACCAAAATCTTTCAACAACCAATTCGATTCTACCACGTCCATTCTCTCCAATCTACCGTCACAATGTCTTCCCACAAGTACGTACCAGCCGCCGGCACTCGTAGAACTCTCAATGGCAAGTTTTGTTCGCTCACAAAACGTCTCTTTGGCCTCTAGGGTGCTTATGTTGGGTGCAGGCTTCGTCACGAAGCCCACTCTCGAGATTCTCGCCAAGTCCGGTGTCACGGTGTCCGTCGGTATGGAGTCCCTCCGTCTCTGACCTCTGAGCTGCATTCGCCCTCCTCTAACCTTGTACGGACTCCAGCCTGCCGCACACTTGACTCTGCCAAGAGCCTCTCGGCCGGCATCCAGAACGCCGTGCCCATCTCCCTTGACGTGACCAACAACGATGCCCTCGACGCTGAGGTTGCGAAGCACGATCTGGTCATCTCCCTGATTCCCTACACCTTCCACGCTACCGTCATCAAGTCGGCCATCCGCCAGAAGAAGCATGTCGTCACCACCAGCTACGTCTCGCCTGCCATGCTCGAGCTTGACCAGCAGTGCAAGGACGCCGGCATCACTGTCATGAACGAGATCGGCCTGGGTGCGTTTGTATTTCGAGACCCATAACGTTTTCTGCTAATTTGACTAACCAATTGCTATTGTAGACCCTGGTATCGACCATCTTTGTAAGGCTTTACTCTACGGACTCCAGGGCAAAACCCTCCTCAACACTCAAGCTTTGCGACTAACCTTTTCTCCCAGACGCTGTCAAGACCATCGATGAGGTCCACAAGGCCGGCGGCAAGATCACGTCGTTCCTGTCGTACTGCGGTGGTCTTCCCGCCCCCGAGGATTCCGGTAACCCGCTGGGCTACAAGTTCTCCTGGTCGCCCCGCGGAGTCCTTCTGGCCCTCAGAAACGCTGCCAGCTTCTACAAGGACGGCAAGGTCGTCAACGTCGATGGTCCTGGTACGAAAACTTTTCCACGAGGCGGATTGTCGATTTCTTTGATTTTACTAACAACAATACACCAGATCTCATGGCCATTGCCAAGCCGTACCACATCTACCCTGGCTTCGCCTTCGTTGCCTACCCCAACAGAGACTCGACTGGCTACAAGGAGCGCTACAACATCCCCGAGGCCCAGACTGTCATTCGGTATGCCAACTCGAGGTCGCCTCGCCACTGATTTTTGTCATGTTCCCGTGCACACCAGCTAATCCGCGCGCCGCAGTGGCACTCTGAGATACGCCGGTTTCCCCGAATTTGTCAAGGTCCTTGTCGACATCAACTTCCTCAAGGACGAGGAGGAGAGCTACTGGAAGGACGCCATCCCCTGGAAGGAGGCTACCCAGAAGATCCTGGGCGCCAAGTCAACCAACGAGGAGGACCTCGTTGCGGCCATCGTCTCCAAGACCAACTTCGTCGACGCTGAGCAGAAGGACCATATCCTGGCCGGCCTCAAGTGGATCGGTCTCTTCTCGGACGAGAAGGTACGGCATCTATATTTCTCTTTTTGCCTTTTTGTTACGTCTATCTTGCACACTCTAACGCGCTGCCTAGATCATCCCTCGTAGCAACCCCCTCGACACCCTCTGCGCCACCCTGGAGAAGAAGATGCAGTACGCCGAGGGCGAGCGCGATCTCGTCATGTAAGTACCCTTCGATATGTACAAAAGGGATATTCTGAGCCATGCGAACTACGTTCTACTAACCCAACCCTCAGGCTGCAGCACAAGTTCGAGGTCGAGCTTGCTGACGGCACCAAGCAGACCAGACTGTCGACTCTCTGCGAATACGGCAGCACCGATCCCAGCGGCTACTCCGCCATGGCCAAGCTGGTCGGCGTGCCCTGCGCCGTTGCTGTTCAGCAGGTCCTGAACGGCACCATCTCCGAGAAAGGTGTCCTGGCCCCCATGAACACCAAGCTCAACGATCCCCTCATCAAGGAGCTGAAGGAGAAGTACGGCATCTACTGCAAGGAGACCATTGTCTAAAATGACCATTGCGCCTGGGTTTTGGATGTGAAAAATACAAGAGTTTATAGAAAAGGCGACGGTTTCAATAAAATTCACGTCGCATTTGGTTCAATGTTGTTGAAAAAAAGACTGATGTGTCGAGCGTTGCCAAATAATTACATGCCTTGTTGGTCGGTAGTACGTATTTTATTTTATTTTTTAAAAAAAATGAAGAAAAAATTACGAAATAAAACGTATACAAATACTTGTAAAAAAAAACCCTTTATAAATAAAGATACAAAATCAAAACGTGTAAAAAGAAGGTAACTGCAAAAAAGGTTCCCCTGGAAATCAGAGCTAAATTATATGTATATTGTATTTTGCGGTCCATATACCAGCCACCTGTTTCCCATCTTCTGCTACGATTCCGAAGCCTGGGATGAAATCAAGAACGACTTTGTTTACTCGTCGTTACTCTAGCAGTGCAGGCGCTGATCAAGTGTCGCGTCGTGGACAGTAATAACGAGAGTGTGCAGCTTCGGGTCATGGCAATCAACAGGCGGCCCCGAATTATCTACATCTTCGACCTCTTTTATGACACGTACGACTACAGGCACGACGAGGAACGCCTTTTTGAGGATCTTGAGAACGGAAATTTACCGGTATACTGGAATTTGAGGATACGTGTGTAAATGGATCAATATTTGGCCATGTCTTGTGTTATTAGTCATCCGCTCCAGTGGCTATAGGTCCCTCGGTCTTTCTCGAAACAGGCGTATCGCGCAAAGCAGGACCAACCGGGGCTGCTGCAACCACATACGGAAGGCAGACTCCTATACGGCATTTCCATACACCTTCATGCAACAACACTTCGGCCCACTGATTGGAGCACTGGTGAATCAATCCGGCACAGGGAATGGTTTGGGTAAACGAGATCTGCTTTCTGAATACGCGCACTTGCTTTCGCAGATCCTGCAAAGCGGCAAGCAGGCAGCATTTGCGATCCTCTCAGTGCGAACCAGAATCATTCGGTGGCAACTTCGTATTAGCCAGGTAATAGCTGCATAACACGAAGCAGGGGGTTCTGTAGCGGCATAATGAAATTATGCCTGCGAAGACTGGCCGCTATTTCTCAAGAGCATCAGTATCCTGAACAGTTATCTCGAGATCGAGTCCGTAAAACTGCACTTGCCCTGGACCCCATTTCGAGGCCTGTCGTAGTTTGATCTTGCCTGTTCAGGACTGAAGTTGACTCCTTCCTCCGCCTACAGCTCTGCTCTCCCTTCAGCCCTCCACTAAGCGTCAGGTGATCCTGCTTACGTGCTGCGCCGCGGCCAGGCTGCCGCTAAAACAAGGCTTCCCGATAGCTCTTTCTCTGTTACGGAAGGTCTGTGTCTGGACCTGTTACAGCCCCTCCCTTGTTCCCCACAAAGGTGTGTCGTCCGTAAATAGTGCTGAGGGCAGGAGCGTTTGGGAGGATTGGACAGTGGGGCGTCCTTTTGCAGACATTGGCATGCGCGCAACACCGAATTTCTATCAAACCCTCCTCGAACCAAAACATAACGCTGATCCTGTGATAGAAACGACCGACCTCCCACTTTGTACCAACAGTTGCACTCCCCCCTTCCTGCTCGACCGGCAAGACGCCTCTGTTGCTGGCAAGCCACCGTGAACGAGGCACTCTCTGTCTGGCCTGTCTTATCTCTTGGCTTCAGAGCTTCTCCAACAGCTGAAAAAAAAGAAAAAGAAAAAAAGAAACAGACAAACACCAGCAAATAAGCTCACTGACAGCTTCGAGACGAGATTTTGGCGGCCCTGGACGCGCCACATCTCCACCCAGGCCAACCTTGGCATTCTCGTATGCTGCCCACCGACGATACGGACGCAAAAGCATGAGGGGCGGTGCCAGAACGGACGGTTGGGCGAGCACCAGAAGCGCCAGAAGCGCCAGAAGCGCCCGTTGCAACCAACAAAGCGAGGCGTGAGACACACGAGATCAGGCGGACACGTTGAACGAAACGATAGACTACATACCCGAAAAGACGACACGAACGACAGCGCTTTAGACAGCGCCATAGACTGGGAGGAACCTCGCTCTGTCAACTATGGCGACACGGCCGAGCCGGTATCGGTCGTCGACCTCAGCGTCGAACCAGCTGGCGACGAGCAAAGCGGCCGAGGTTCTCCAGAGCCTTCTTCACGGCGTTCAGGCTGTGATCTCGCCGCCATCCTCCTCTCCAGCACGGCCGCTGTTGCTACCGACTGAACAGCCATCGACAGCGCCGGCAAGGAGACAAACTGTTGGCGGCTACCCAGACATCCAGGCCCTACTCAAGTACGCCCGCCAGATCCACCAGTACCTTACCGCTCTCCAACCACCAAACACGGCGCAGGATGACTTCCGACATATGCACGGCTTCCAACTGCTCTTGAGCGTCCTACGGTCCTTCTCCGGCTACTACAACCCGCAAGTGCGCAGGGATGCGGAGAAGCGCGCCCTCTTTGAGCTGCTCCACGTGGTGCTGGCTGTCCTGTCTGCTGCCTTCCGGGGCCACCACGGCAACCGGCGCTACTTCCGTCATCGTGTAGAGGGCGGCGGCTGGGAGGCCCTGGAGCAGATCATTGCTAGCATCGGCCTCGGCGTGAGTGACTCGGATATGTGGGGCAATTGCCAGCTATTTGGCAAGCTCCTGTCCTTTGCACTCGACGACCAGCGGATGGACGAGCTCTGCCAGTGGATAGCCGCTGTTTCCATTGCCGATTCGTCCCAATCCAAGGCCATAGCTGCGGCCGGTGGTGCACCAGAGGCAAAACAACACGAGAGCACACAACAAGACACAAAGAAGAATGGAGATTTACGGACAGAGGACAGCGACTACGCCGCGGGTAGGGATGAGGTGGCGGCTGAATCAAAGGAAATAGATGGGTCGACTGTGACGGACGAAAATGAAAGCTTCGAGCATGTCAGCAAGGAAGACGCAATGGAAGACGCGGCAGAAGATACGACGAAGACAAAGGACGCTGCGCTGTCGGGTGCATTTGACGCTGCGCACATGAAAACGAGGCTCAGCGACATCATTGCGCCCAAGACGGAGCTACAGAATGCCGAAGTGATGCGCACGGTCATTGGCTTCTGGGAGTGCATTCCGCGGAGTCAGGCTGCCGAGACGGATCCCATCTCTCTGCTGGTTCTCGATTCCGTCGCGGCGTTGCTGCACATATCTCTTTCCAACCTGTCAGCTCTCCACAGCACCGGCATTCTGTCCCGCTTCCTTCGGCTGTATTTTGCTGTACCGTCGCCGCTCAGCACCGAGGAACGCGAGCGAATTCTCCCCATCTGCCGGTCGCTGATGTACCTCGGTGTCAACCAGCTGTCCGATGCCCAGTTCTTGCTCTCGAGCACAGATCCAGCTGCATCCGTCTTTTGTCTCGATGTGGCCTCGAAATATACCGGCCCACCGTTTGTGCAGTTCGATCTTTCCCACTGTGGCCACTCATCCATCGAGCTGCCCAACCTGGGCCGCTCGTTCCCGCCCATGGCCGGCAACGGCTACACATTCACATGCTGGATGCGTGTCGACACATTCGACCGCAAATCACACACCACCATTTTTGGCGTGTTCGACGCTTCGCAAACCTGCTTCCTTCTTCTGTATCTTGAGCGTGACACCCACAACTTCATTCTCCAAACCTCCGTCACGTCGTCCCGGCCCAGTGTCCGCTTTCGGTCTGTCAGATTCAGCGAGAAGCAATGGTATCACGTTGCTCTTGTGCACCGCCGTGGCAAAACGCGCGCCTCACTCTACGTCAACGGCGAGTTCGTGGAGCAGGTCAAGGCGGCCTATCCCGTGCCGCCGCCGACAGTACCTGGCGGGAATTCCGAGAGCTTCGTCTCCTTTGCGAGCAACAACCGCGGAAAAACCATCCCCGTCCAAGCCTTCCTGGGAACGCCTAAGGATCTATCTGTGCAGGTGGGCTCGGACTCCAAGTGGTCCTTGGCCTCCGCCCACCTCTTTGAAGAAACGCTCAGCGATGACTTTATTGCTGTGCACTTCCGGCTAGGTCCCCGCTACCAAGCAAACTACCAGGACAGCCTCGGCGGATTTCAGACCTACTCGGCATCGGCCCGTCTGGCTCTCCGCAATGACTTTCACGGGGGCAAAGACGAGAACTCGGACATCCTGCGTGCCATCCGCGATAAGGCCTCGTCCATAGCACCGGAACAGAAAATCTTGATGAGCACCCTGCCCCGCTCCACCTTCCGTATTGACGGCACGTTTTTCGAATCGCTCCTCTTCCGATCCCTTTCGCGAGCTTCGGCAGCGAACTTGCTCTCCCTCACTACCAAGAGCGGTACGGCCATTGCTATTAATGGCGCCCTCCCCTGCATCAACGACGCTCTTGTGCGTTCCCACGGCGTGTCCATTCTCACCGGAGACCCCGTGCTGGCGACGCCATATAACTTTGACGACAACCTCTGGCGCCTTGCTGGCTTCTCATCACTCGCCTTGAAGCTGGTGGAGCGGACGACCACTGCCGAAGAACTTGTTCGCGCCACCGAGATGGTATTCCATTGCATCAACAGCAGTTGGCGGAATAGCGACGCCATGGAACGGGATAATGGATATGCTATCCTGGGCATGCTGCTGCGAGCAAAGCTGGGCAGCGCCCCTTCGTCGGCGCCGTTGCTTTTGGTAACCACGACTCCTCTTGCATCTGAAAGCTCCGGCTGGAAGGCGGCACCAGTGACAGGTGACCGGAAGGATACGAGCTTGCGTTTGCTCAAGCTTGTTCTTGCCTTTGTTGGCTACGACCATGCAAACCCTCTCGAGTCTCTCATAATCAATCCGCTGGCATATCGCATTCTCCTGATCGACTTCGATACATGGCGGAAAGCACCGCCCGACACACAGCAGCTATACTACGAACAGTTTGACACGTTTGCCGTTATGAGCAAGTTCCACCAGTTCAACAGCCGGCGCCTTCTTCGGATGCGTACGTTGAACAGTCCTTGCTGGATTTGTTTTACTGCGGGGCCTTGATAAGGACATCACTAACCTTTGCCATAGGAATCATTAAAAGACTACTCGACGCTATGAAGGTCGAGCTGGTGTCCGAGGAGATTCTGCCACATTTCTTGAAATCGTTTGAGAGTCTTGTCCGGTGCAACTATAACGCCGAAGTCCACCGGTCACTTGCTCTCTACATCACATATGCGCTTCACTCCCCAGCGCCAACCCACGTTTCCCGGACCCCAAGACCACTTGGGGCGGCGGGCCAGTCCAGTGCAAGTCTAGGAAGCGGCCTGCAGCGACGCCATACAGGCGGGTCGTCGTCAGGACGTGGCAGCTCCGAAACTAGCTCCGTGGCTCCGGCGGAAACGTCCAAGAGCCTGACCAAAAAGAAACTCGGCGTTCGCATCCTCAAACTTTACGAGCAACTCCTCTGCGAGGAGGGCATCGTCGCTAACATCCGCAAGTTTGCCCGGACCGTTACTAACAAGTGGCTGCTGTGCCTTCTTTCGTTCGACGACCTTGACGTGCTGTTGAGCGGGTGCCGGATTTTAACTCGTCTCCTCGTCTCGCAAGGACCGAGTTATGTACAGAAGTTTGCTAGTAAGTCTGGCGGCTTCTGGATCCTGGCGCACCGGCTCAAGCACTGGTGGGATGTTCCGAGCGTCTGGTTTTGCGTTATGGCGATCCTGTTTGGCAAAGACGTGGCCGGAATCGACTCCCTTTCGGGTCAGACGCTTACGTTTGAAGCGCTTGTTTCTGAATTTGGTGCTGGCTCCAAGATTGTCTGCCCGGATGCCCTCTATGTTGTCGTAGCTATGCTGCAGCAGGGGCTTGGCGACGTTCTCAAGTCGAGCGATGCCCCCCCGACCCCATTTGCGGATGAGAACAACAGCCCGGCTGTTGCAATTGCCCCGGCGCCTGCTCCGGCTCCGGCCCCGACCCCAGCTACTGTTTCTGCTACCGCCGAGAAGGCTACCGTCCTGGATGCTGTTGTGAAATTTTTGTCAAACCTGCACGCGTCTTCGGTCGAGTTCCGCGACTCTACGCTGGCTTCCGATTACGTGCGACTTTTGTCGTCCGCTCTCTTCCCTGCTGTTGTGAACATGGAGGCCCTCGCGCCCGAAACAGAGCTCAACTCCAAGGACGCGCCTCTGCGGTTCGATGGCGCCGACATCGTCGTTAAGCAGCGACCAACCTCCGCCGCCATGGTTCGCACGTCGAGTATCAACTCGAACCTGAGCTCCAGCCTGCATTCGACGATTGGCGGGTCAACTTTCGACGTGGCCGCTGACTCTGCCGTCCTCGCCTCCACCGAATCGATCCCCTCGACCGCTGGCCGGCCGGGACCTTCCACTGCAACCCGAGAACGACGCTCGTCGTCATTTATCCTGCTGACCACGCAAGCCGCACCTCCATCGTGGCACACGGCCAAGCTAGCGGTGCACGCCTCACCAAAGAGACAGCTAGTCGTCATTCCGCAGCAAGGAAGCAATGGCCTGCAGGAGAGCATGATGGGCCTGATTGTCGACGGCTTCGTGGACCAAGTGCTCGTCCGCAAAGAGTTTCCGGGATTCAACCTCGGCCTTCGGACCCCTCCATCTTTCCAAGAGCACCAAGCATACTTTGAGTCGGCCATTCTGCGAAGCACGATCCTGCGCGTCAAGGATGTTTTGCAGCGTGACCTGCGCATTCTCTGCGAGCCAAAGGTGCTGACAAACATGGCACGCTTCACTGCTCACATGGTGGAGGCGACGTTCGACGGCACATTCGTGAATAGTGTCGACGTTCTCATGGATTTCACCGGCTTGATCCTCGAATACCTGCACCGGCCCGATGTCGCGTCCCTGAAAAGTGTTCGGCTCTGTAACCAAGCCGTCATGTCCATCCGGACGTCTTTCCTGAAGCTCGTGCTTTTCCGCCTGTCCGACGTCGAAGCCGAGATCGAACATAGCAGCGGGCAACAACCCGACATGGTGGCTGCGCTGCCTGTGCTGGAGAGAATATTTTACTGGCAATCTGTTCTCATAGACTGCTTGTCCACTGAAATCACATCTGACGAATACCACATGAAGTTGCTGTTCTACCAGCTTTACGCGCGCCTCCTTGACCCCGACGAATCCGTCCGGCTGGCCGCAGCCAGCATCTGGCGGGTCATCCTGGTCCAGAAGCCAAACGAGTCAGCCACAGTTCTTCGTTCCTGCGCCACCACCGACCAGCTGCACCTGGCTCGCTCGTTCCGGGCCTTGACTGAAGTTGACGACGGCACGTTCCTTGAGTGGGTCGACAAGCACCGTCCCTCCCTCGACGCCTTCTTCCTTGGCGGCATGTCCAAGTTCTGGGAAGATTTTGTGACCAGCGAGAACCAGCGGGCAGCCGACGCGATTAAAACGCGCACCGCCCGTCGCCGCGACAAGCTCAAGCAATGGCAGCTGGAGGCCCAAGAGCGCAGCAACATTCTGCTGCGCCATGAAATGGCCAACAGCTCGTGGATGAAAAGTATCTATGGCACGGAGCACTTCAAGCTGCAGCGCGTCCTGCAAGATCAACAAGATGACCTCACGTACCTGGCCACCACCTTTGGCAAGATGGAGCGGGACCTGAAGCGCCCGGGTGCCGTGTTTTCTGCATCCGGCGCCCCGACAAAATGGAAGCTCGACCGCACAGAAGGCCGCAACCGCATGCGCCTTCGACTGCTCCCCGACTCTTCTGACCGTGTCAAGAACATCTCCCAGTCCAAGAAGAAGGTCACGGACTCAGCGGCAGGAGCAGCAGCAGCAGCAGCAGCCACGCCCACATCGGCAGGAGGCAACACAAATGGTAGTGTTGGAACACCTGTGTCCGAGTCAGCCCAACCGGCATTATCTACTGTACCTTCCAATGCCTCCGCGACGTCAACAGCCCCTTCGACAGCCACCCTGCGGCCTCTGGACACCACGAGTAGTGCAACTGGCGGAATTGCGGTTACGCCAATGTCGTCCAAAGAAACACCTGTTGACCCATTCTCTGCGGTCCAGGTCCCTGAAGGGGCAGCTGCTAACGGCATGCCCAGCGGTGCTCTGCAGGCCCCAGGGCCGGCGCCAGGAACGGATACCGGCGTGGCCCCGGAAGAAGACTTTGAGCTGATTGACGATCCGAACGAGCCGGATGGTGAGGATGGCTTCGAGGACAAAAACCGGAAGGTCATGCGTCGCCTGGAGCAGGGCGACGTGGTGCAGAATGTGTACAACGTGTCTCGCATCATTGGCCTTGATGCTTGCGAAGGCATTCTCATCGTTGGCAAGGACGCCTTGTACATTATGGACAATGTGTTCCAGTGCCGCGACGGTGAGATTGTGAATGCCTGGCAAGCACCCGCCGACGAGCGCGATCCATTCTCGCAGATTATCACCGCGAAGCCAACCAACAGCCACGACAAAGACGGCGCAGCCAACAACAACGTCAACGGACAGCCGCCCTTCCAAGGCGTCGAGCAAGAATCACGAAGCTGGCGATGGTACGATGTGATCAGTGTGTCCAAGCGGCGCTTCCTCTTCCGCGACGTCGCCATTGAGCTCTTCTTCCGCGATGGTCGGAGCTATCTCTTGACGCTGATTGACAATGCGAAGCGCGACGACGTCTACGGCCGACTGATGGGCAAGATCCCTCACGCGAGCGGACCAGCCAACGCACTGCCCAACCCAGAAGACGCGTGGCGCCTCGAAGGGCTCCGGGTAGCGGAAGAAGGGCCGCAGACGCTGGGCTCCAAATTCGGCAGCATCTTCAACTCGTCGCCGTGGAGCCCGTCCATGCGGCGGTGGCAGAAGGGCGAGATGTCCAACTTCCACTACCTGATGCTGGTCAACACGATGGCCGGACGCACGTTCAACGATCTGACGCAGTACCCCGTGTTTCCCTGGGTGCTGGCGGACTACACCAGCAGCGAACTGGACCTCACCAACCCGGCGACATTCCGCGACCTGTCCAAGCCGATGGGTGCCCAGACGCTGCAGCGCCAGTCCGATTTTGCGATGCGCTACAGCACGCTGGCGGAGATGGGGCAGCCGCCGTTCCACTACGGAACACACTACTCGTCGGCCATGGTCGTGTCGTCGTATCTGATCCGACTGCCGCCGTTTGTGCAGTCATTCTTGCTGCTGCAGGGCGGGCATTTTGACCATCCCGACCGACTTTTCTACTCCATCGAGGGCGCGTGGCGATCTGCCTCGCATGACAACGGCGCCGACGTGCGGGAGTTGATTCCGGAGTTCTTCTGCCTGCCCGAGTTCTTGGTCAACATCAACGGGTACGATTTTGGGCGGCGACAGGACGGCAGCAAGATTGACAACGTGCTGCTGCCGCCGTGGGCCAAGGGCGACCCGAACATATTTATTGCGAAGCACCGCGAGGCGCTGGAGAGCCCGTACGTGTCGCAGAACCTGCACAAGTGGATCGACCTGGTGTTTGGCCACAAGCAGCGCGGCGACGCGGCCGTCGAGAACCTCAACGTGTTTCACCACCTGTCGTACCACGGCGCCATCGACCTGGACAACATCAAGGACCCGCAGGAGCGTGCGATTGTTACGGGCATCATCCACAACTTTGGGCAGACGCCGCGACAGGTGTTTTCCCGGCCGCACCAGGCACGGGAGCACGACGCGTGCCCCATCCGGCGCATCGACTCGGTCGCCGACTCGCTTGCGCGCATCCCGCACCCGATCCTAGAGAGCCGGGAGCGCGTCGCGTCGCTCATCTATGTGGCGAAGCTCGACCGCCTGCTGTGCGCGTCGCCGTTCCGGCTCAACCTGCCGCCGTTCTACGACAAGTATCTCGAATGGGGCTACACGGACAACAGCGTGCGGTTCTACCACAGCGACAATCGCAAGCTGGCGGGCCTGTTTGAGAACCTGCACATCGGCCAGATCTCGTGCGTGGCCTTTGCCGACTCCAAGACGCTGATCACGGCGGGCGAGGACTGTGCCGTCTCGGTGTACGCGGTGGTGCAGTCGGGCTCGGGCAAGCCCGTCGAGCTGCTGACGCGCAGCTCGCTCTTTGGGCACAAGACGCCGGTGACGACCGTGGCCGTGTCGAATGCGTTTAGCACGCTGCTCACCGTCAGCCAAGACGGCGTGGCGATGCTGTGGGACCTGAACCGGCTCGAGTTCATCCGCAAGCTGCCGGGCGCGCGGCCGGTGGAGTGCGCGCGGATCAACGACGTGACGGGCGAGATCATGCTGTGCTCGGGCCCGAACGTGGTGCTCTACACGCTCAACGGCGAGCCACTGCTGGACCAGAACGTGTGCGACGGCGGGCCCGAAGACTACGTGCATTCGTGTGCGTTCTACGAGGGCGCGGGCAACGAGTGGCTTGAGAACTACCTGGTGCTGACGGGCCACCGGTGTGGGCGTGTCAACATCTGGCGCAAGACCGTCGGCCCGCGCGGACGGTGGGTGCTGGAGCTGGAGCGGCGGCTGGACCACGTCGATCCCCGGTCGGAGAACGGCGCGAATGTGGACGCCGCCATTACGTGCATCACGCCGATGCCGCAGGTCGTGTACACGGGCGACGACGACGGGCGTGTAGTAAGTTTCGTCTTTGACCCCCGCTTTGCGACATCCTTGGATGAGTGACTAACCTGGCACAGTATGAATGGGGTCTGATTCACAGAGACCGATAGAGAGAAACGGTACAACGGCGACAACAGCATTGCAGAGTCGAGACTACCCCAGCGAGGGGCAGCATATATACACTCTGAGAGCATTATATAGAACCGGCGTTTTGTGTCCCTCCGTGGTTGTTGGAGCACGTTTCTTGCTCATTCGATTTCTGGCAAGCAAAGCTTATCTTGCTTAGGAGAATATCACTCTAGCATTTTTGTAAATTACCAAACTTGTCACAGGGCACACCGGTGCGGGGCTCTGGTCGGCCACGAGCGTTGCAGATGTTCATGGTGTTTGTATTGGTTTTGCGGCATATACTCGGTCTTTCTCTGTCACAGAGAGGACCCGCCGTCGTCTTATGTACAGTACAAAATGCTCTCGGCATGTTTGCAATTTTTTGGCCATCCACGGCAGGGCTGCGCCCGTCGTCCTCTTTGGCTGCCGTGTCGTATGCTTGCGCTAAAAATGGAATGTCCGTGGGTTTTCTTGCTTCCGTGGTATTGGTTCGCTCTAATCGCCGCCTTCGTCCGCCTTTTCATATCGGAGTCTCGCTCACTTGTCGTTGGCATCGTCGTCGAAGCCAGAGAGCTGTTTCCGAGGACCCGAGGGGACTACAACGTTAGCAAGGACAGTCCAGCTACGGGACCCAGCATAGACAGAGAGTGCAATCCCTGGCGTGGCACATACTCGGATATGTCATGGGGATGGCCGGCGGGTTCTCGTCGCCAATCAGGCGGCGGATCGGCGGTGCAATGACAAACGACAACGGCGCGCCGGCCGCGATCACGCACGACCAGAAGTAGGCCGGACGCTCGCGGGCGGCCCAGCGGCAGTAGCGGATGGGGCCGGCGTAGAAGCGGGGAATGGTGGACGACATGGTGAGCGGGAGATGTGTCGCGGTGGTGGTGGTGGTGGAGGAGCAATGACGAAGACGAAGAAAGCCGACGTGGAGGGCTGGTTCGCGATGCCACTCCATTCGATGCGGGCCCAATTGGCTCATCGCTGATTCGAGGGAACCCACTCAAAGGCTCGGATTAACTGCGGCCGGATTAATATGACTAAGCCGGGTCGCCGCAAGCGAAAGAAGCTCCAAGCCAGCAAGCTCTTGCCGTTTTGCAGTTGGGCCCACTTTCCCACTTTTCGTGCCTTCCTCGTCTCCAATGCAATGCGTCCCCTGGCACCTTCCCGCGCTAACGGTGCGGTGCTGGCTGCTGGATACGTATCCTGAAGGGAAGCTTTAGTTAACACGCGGCGTGCCTGCTTTGGGGGGCAGCCATTGGGACACCGTTTTCCCTATTTCACGATCCACGACATCTTCATATTTACTGACATCTGCCAAGCGGACACCCAGCTCCTGTGTCTTTTCTCTTCCTTTCTTCTTTTCGTTTCCTTTTTTTCGGCCATCTGCTCGTGGCAATTGCTTTGTTTGCGGTTGCAAGCCAGGGGGCATTTGCTTGTAATTGCTCTACTTGTATCCTCCACATTTCTTTTCGGCCAAAACGAAGCATCACAACATTCGACACATTGGCCGTCACATCGACGCTCGACGCCGCAAGCCTGTCGTTGGCGCCTCGGCTCTCTCTCCGAACCCTCCTAGTCGTCTACATCCACTCACAACGCCATGAAGCTCCTTGCGTCCGCCATCTCCCTCCTCGCCGCCGCCGTGTCGGTTGTGCAGGCCGTCAGTGTGTCTGGGCCAAGGCTTTTGGCCGTTGTCGACGACCTCGCCGACAAGGACACCTACTCAACCTTCCTTGGCGATCTTGAAGGTGCGTCGCTACTTCGTCACGCTGTCGTGTATCTTGACTACAGTGTCTGAAGGTTGTCTTGCTAATACCAACTCCGCCCTTTAGGTCGTGGTTTCAGCATCTCCTACGAGACGGCGAAGAGCAGCACTGTCTCGCTCTTTCGCCTCGGCGAGCGTGCCTATGACCATGTCATCTTCTTCCCGACAAAGGCAAAGGGTGTGTACTCGTCTCGGTTTTTTTTGTCTTTTTTTTACTGCCCACCCTCTAACTCTCCATCCAGGCCTTGGCCCCAACTTGACCCCTCAGCTGCTTGTCCAGTTCCTCAACGCCGAGGGCAACGTCCTCGTGGCCCTCTCCAGCGCCAACGCCGCCTCCTCGTCTATCGTGTCCCTCCTGAGCGAGCTCGACATATCCCTCCCCTCTGACCGCACCGGCCTCGTCGTCGACCACGTCAACTACGACTCCCTCGCGGCCGCTGACCACCACGACGTCCTCCTTCTACCTGTCCCAGCCGCGCGCTCAGGCGTCAAGTCGCTCTTCGACACCCCCGCGTCCGCCAGTGGCGAGCAGCTGCTCGCCTTCCCTCGCGGCGTCGGCCACGTCCTGGGCGACAGCCCCTACCTCGCGCCGATCGTGTCCGCCCCGCGCACTGCCTACAGCTACAACCCCCAGGAGCAGGCCGATGCCGTGTCTGGCGGCCCCGACAGCGAGCTCTTCGCGTCCGGTGCCCAGCTGAAGCTCGTGTCCGGCCTGCAGGCGCGCAACTCGGCGCGCTTTGCGCTGCTGGGCTCGGCCGAGCTGCTGTCAAACGCCTGGTTCGACGCCAAGGTCAAGCTGCCGGCCGCTGGCGCCAAGACCGTCCCCACCTACAACCGCGAGTTTGCCCGTCGCCTCGCCGGCTGGACCTTCCAGGAGACGGGTGTGCTGCGGGTCAACTGGATCGAGCACCGCCTCAACGAGCACGGCGCCAGCAACGCGTCCAATCCAGAGATCTACCGCGTCAAGAACGATGTCGCCTACGCCATCTCTGTCTCGGAGCACGCCTGGGACACGTGGACGCCCTTTACGGTGCCTGCCGGCGACGAGCTGCAGATTGAGTTCTCCATGCTGTCGCCCTTCCACCGCCTGCCCCTGCACGTCGTCCCCGCGCAGGCGACCGACGACGCCACTGTCTACGCCGCGCACTTCACGCTGCCCGACCAGCACGGCATCTTCAACTTTTTGGTCGACTACAAGCGCCCCTTTTTGACCTACCTCGACGAGAAGATCACCGTGTCTGTCCGGCACATGGCCCACGACGAGTGGCCACGCTCGTACGTCATCTCCGGCGCCTGGCCCTGGATCACCGGCATAGGCGCCACCGTGACCGGCTGGCTGGCCTTTTGCGCTCTGTGGATGTACTCCAAGCCCACCGGCCAGGTGGCTGTGGGCAAGAAGACGCAGTAAAGGTTCCGGCAATGAAGAATCTGCGAACAAAATTTTAGATTTTCTCTTTTGTGGACAAAAAAAATGGACGAGTGTGAAGGACTCCCAAAAGAGAGGACGGTGTGTAGACTTACAATATGACGACCCAAACCTTCAGGAAGAAGGGGTCTAGCAAATGTTTTTTTATGGTGCCTTTTTGTTATGTCAATCGTTATATGTTTTGCCACTATTAATGTCTATGTACCATTTGTGACATGTGTGATGATCTCCGTTGAATCAAAACAAGATATTCAAAACATTAATAACCAGACTTAAATAATAGAAAGATAAAACAAAATTCAAAAAAAAAAAAAAAAATCAGAAACGCTGGCAATGCTGACACTAACGGACAAAGACCCCCTCAAGTGCATTCGTCACCCCAGTTGCGCTTCACCCAGTCGGCAAAGTAGTCGGTGAACTTGTTCTCGAGATAGGCCTCGACGTCTGCGTCCGTGTAGTGCTTGTACGGTGTGCCGTCCGGCGCCACACCACCTGCACTTTGTTTTGCATAGGCAAGGGCCTGTAGCACAAAGCGCTGGATAAAGTCGAAAAAGACAAAGTCGACCGTCGCGGGTTCGGCCACCTCTTCGGTCCCTGTCGCCGCCTTGGGGAAGCTGGCCTCGGCTTGGATGCAGTTGGGCAGCCGGAAATGCGGCAGCGGCTCGTGGACTGCATCGTCGCCGTCGAAGCCGAAATCGTCCCAGGTCGTGTAGCCGGCGACCAGGGGCGGACGGGACGCATCATCGTCCGAGCGGCTCCCGCTCGCAGCGGTGGTCTCTGCCCAGCGGCCAAACAATGGCTTCTGCTGGGCGGCGTCGTGGCCGCTGTCCTTGATGCCACCACCAGCGCCGACGACGCGGGCGTTGTCTTCTTCTCTCAAGGAGTACGCCTCCGGAACACCCATTTCCCGCCAGTCCGTGACACCGGCCCAAGCCTCAGACTCGTTCGTCACACCCGCCGCGCGAGTCTCGGCAGCCATGGCGCTCAGGATCGGGCCAAACCGGTTCAGAATCGGCAGGACCTGCCGTGCCAGTGCATACGGGACGTCGGGGATGTAGCGCACCAGGCTGATAAAGGGCGACACAATAAACGTTGTGTCGCGCGTGAACGCGCCACGGAAAATGTCAAAGCGCATGGCCCCCGTATTGATGAGAACCAGGCGCGGCACGTCGGCGCGGTCGGGACGCACAATCGCCTCAGGCAGGACGTGCTTCCGCAGCAGGGAAAACACACTTGCCGGGTCGTCGTGCGGGCGGCGCTGCAGCCAGTAGTTCTGGGGGGCGCAGCCGTAGGGGGTCTCGAGATCCAGGTCCGAGCGGGCGGCGGCAATGGTGGCCGTCACGTTCAGGCCGTGGTCGGTCGGGAAGGTGGTGGCGTTGGTGCCGCTGTGGTAGTAGAGGCCGAGAAGGTTGTTGTCAATGTATCGACGAGCAAACGTGACGGGGGCCGGTGCTTCCGCTTTGACGCCGGTAACCGACATCCAGCCAATGGTCTCCAAGTAGCGCCCGCTGGCAATGGCTACGGCGCGGTCGTCAAAGCGGACGGCGTCGCGGACGTGCGCATGTCCCGCAAAGATGGCAATGGGCGTGTGTGCGTTCGCGGCACGGATGGCGTCGTAGATGACGCGCAGCTCGGCCATGCGCGCACCAACGTGGCCAATGACGACAAACAAGTCTGCCGGCTCTTTGGTGATGGCGTGCTTGAACCACGGCTCCTGCATCGTCTTTTGCACGGGCTGCACCACCGAGTTGGCGGCGTTGGCCGTAAAGTTGAAGAGGAAGCCAAAAGCCACAATGTTCAGCTTCTGGTGCTTGGTCTGGAAGGTGCGGTACCGCTGCTCGGACATGGGCACCTGCTTGCCCGTCTTGGGATCAATGTAGTCGAGATTGGAAGCGAGGTAGTGGCCGGCAAAGTTGGGCACGGTCTGGTGGTGTTCGCGATCGGCGGTGTCAGCCTGGTAGAGCTCATGGTTGCCGGAGCAGATGATATCAATGTCCTGCTGCCGGAAGATGTCGTATGTATACTGGCCCTTTGGTGTCGACGCGTCGTAGAGTCCGTTGCCCTCCACACGGTCGCCCGTGTCGACTAGCAGTAAGTCCACACCCTCCTTGTCAGCGCGCTGCCGCATGTGGTCAGCAAAAGAAATGTAGTCGCCCCAATCAGCCGAATATTGGGATCTGGAGAGAGGAGGACATTTGACGTTAGATCGTGTGTAAGTAGTAGGACAGAGGGAGTGGATTGAACTCACTCTTGAAGATGGCCTGCATGCCAGCCATGTGTATCCTAAGTCATAGAAAAATCAGTCATGTTAGCGTCTATGAAGCAAAAGATAAAAGACAACAAGGAAGGGGATAAAAACGATCAACGATCGCCTCACGTCCGCAACGCACCGTCGTGTGGAGGAAGTTTATTTGGCCCCATTGCAGCGGCCGCATTGGTGCCGGCAGAGGAGGCACGGCATTTGGCTGCATAGCCTGCACTAGAGGTGCAAAAGCAGCTACCGCTGCCACGACGGCGGCCGTCGCCATGTCTCTTGTTGTCGTCGACGGAAAGATGGAGAGACGGAGAGACGGAGAAATGGTAGAGAAGAGGGGAGAGGCGTGGATGCAGCTGTCGTCGGTACCGTCATTCAAGAATCGATACTATAGGACAACCAAACGAGCGACAAGACGGGGGGTCGAGAAGCGAATGAAGGAAAAGAGCCTTCAACGCTCGATGGCGAGATGTGGTTGGAGGCGGAAACTGAAGCTTGTGACTGGCAGTTCTGGATGGCATGCGGGCAGCTTGAGACAGTGGCCTCGTGATAAGAGCTAAGAGCTCAGGCGCTATGACTGTCTGGTACCTGGATGGCCGGTAGAGCTTCAGATCGCTCTTGCCGAGTTCAGACTAGTGCACCTTCCGAAGAAGAACATGAATTGTGACGCAGGAGCGAACGGAGAAGTGAGAACCAAAAGGAAGGAACGAGGAGTTCAAAACCAAAGACGAAATGGACTAAATATTGACGTAAAAAAATATTATCACTGGATAAACAGCCTGTGGATTGTTGTTCACGATGCAAAAAAAGAGCAAAAAACTGCCCAGACGCGGGATCGAACCGCGGACCTCCTGCTTACTAGGCAGGCGCAGCTACCACTGTGCTACCCGGGCATGTTTTATGGTAAATCGTCACATTAGTTGGCTTATAAAGAAATGGGAAAGGGCTCAGGCTGGCTGGGAGCCAAGTTTGGCTCTGATTGGCCGGACGAACATTGGTGTGCCCCGCAAGGCTGGACGCCCTGAATTTGCATTGTGGACGACTTCTCGTCGCGACGACTCCAAAGCGTGTTTTCGCGGCTCATAAGCGACAACGGCGACGACAGGGACCACTACCCGACGACTTACACCGACTATCCGATGTACTGTCCCTAGCATATAGATAACAGTACTACCACTTTTGTCGCGCCTCTGTTCTTCTCCCATCCTCCTCTTCGTCCTCCTCCTCGTCCCTTTCTCACTCGGGCGTCACATCCCCCGAACCGACAATATGGTGCGTTCAACACTGCCTCGTCTCTACAAAGGTGTTCTTATGCGACCACGGTCTAATTGTATTGACTCTCTTCTAGGCGCGCAATGCTGAAAAGGCGCAGTCCATGCTATTTCGCTTCCGCGAGACGCAGGCTGCTGACCTTGGCATCACAGACATTGGCCGCCAGCGACGGCCAAAGGTCATCACCGAGCAGACGTCGGTGGCCAATTGCGAGCGATGGCGCGGACAGGTCCTCAAGGAAATCTCGCGCAAGGTGTCCAAGATCCAGGACCCGGCGCTCAGTGACTTCCAGGTCCGCGACCTCAACGACGAGATCAACAAACTGATGCGTGAGAAGCACATGTGGGAGGTGCAGATCCGCAATCTGGGCGGGCCCAACTACACGCTGCGGACAGGGCCTGGCGGCAAACCCAACAAGGAGTACGACGCGAACGGGCGCGAGATTCCGGGGGCAGGCAAGGGCTACCGGTACTACGGCCGGGCGCGCGAGCTGCCCGGTGTCAAGGAGCTGTTTGAAGCGGCGCGAGCCAAGGCCAGCGGTGGACGGCGGGACGGGAAAGAAGGCGGAGGAGGGCCGGACGCACCGCTCGAGGAGCGCGACGACCTGCGCAAGGACGTGGATGCGGCATACTACGGCTATGGCCCCGACGAAGAAGACAGCACATTGCTTTCATACGAGGTGGCACGGGAGGCCGAGGCGCAAGCACGACTGGCCGCGGCAGCCGACGCTGGAGGCAAGCCGCCACCAGGCTGGGAACCGCTGCCGGGTGATATAGGCGACGGTAAGGGCTGGATCCTGCCGACGGTCGAGGAAGTACAACAGGAACTGTTGGAGCGGAGGAAGCGGCGCATATTGGAGCAGCTGTCGTGAGGGCAAAAAGGCTCAAAAGTTGTGTTTTCGATCCAGGTCCGGGTTCAGGTACAGGCAGGTATTGGTGTCGGTTTGAGTCCATTTTGCGTTTTTGCGTTCATTTTGTGTCTGGGCTGTTATCATTTCCGGTTTGCGGTGTTGGGCGTCTTGTTTTACTCTGTCATCAAGAGGCCTATTTTGATTTAGTTTTGGCAACCATCAGCGAGCAAGGTCAATCTCGTTTTATGCCACTACGTGGGTTCTCAACTGGTAATTCCCCTTAAGGGAGTCTTTTCTTCAACAACCACCGTCAACATTTATCTAGATAGCGTATGTCAATGGCGAGTTTTCTCAAAATTGTAAACAATCTTTGCTATATCGACACTTTCGTCTTTGTTCTTCACCCTTACTTACTCTGACGGTCAGATGGTAATGGCATACCGTGCCGGTCGGATTTCTGGACTAGTCGAACCGTTTTGCCAAAACTCCAGCTTTTGATTCCCGTTCCCTTTTGAGCCGGCTGCGTCGGATGCCAGGATGGGCGCTTTCTCATTACATTCTGCGACATGGTCAGCATGTCTAAGGGCTCCTTGTGTTGCTGCTCTGTTCAAGTTAGTGTAAACTTTATCTCTGTTGTCTTTTCTTTTCTTTTCTTTTTTTCCCTTGCTGTATGCAGAGCAATCGGCCCTGTTGAGCAAACTGTTTTGTTGTCTTTTTCGATCTGTCGTTTTTGAGAGGGAAAAAAAAGAGGATGCGGCACCGACTGTTCCTGGTAAATGCTTCTTGGCTGCGGGAATTTTGACATCACGCGCCATTCATTTCGTGAGAAGGCAGCGGATGCGACCAAGAGAGATACCGCAAACGGGGACCGCGTCGTGGATCGACAAATTACGTGCAAGTCCGACCACAGGACACGGCAATGGTCTCATGGAAAATTTGGAGATAAGATGACGCCTTGTGGCTGGGGCAACGTATCACGAGGTAGAACATCAGCCAGGCAAGGCACTGCACTTGAAAACAGAACGACACAAAACCAAGACGCAAGACCAAGACGCAAGGGAGGGGGCAGCGACTGGGCCAGCAAGTCTTCCCCTCCTTTGTGTGTCTGCACTCAAATGCCCTTTGAATGTATCTTGACAGATTGGGTATTTTTCGTTTGGCGACCATGGAATGCCATTGGACGAGGCCGGTCCTGCATGTCTTACCCTTTACCTCTCTTTGGATCCGGTTTCGTTGGTTGCTACGACGTAGGTCCATCGTCACAACCAGGCGTTTTGATGACTGCGCATATAACAACATCTCCTGATACGGATATATTGACCATACCCTCGGACAAACCATTCCGAGGAGATGACGGGCAATAAATCAGGAGAGGCATTGCACATCGAATGCCAAAAGGAAACACCAGTCGGAAACCCGGCCAAGGGAGAAGCGAACAACATGCGAGACGCGAGAATGAGAATGGACGGAATCTGGCATTCCCATCCCGTCTGCTATACCAGTTTTGAGCCAATGTCCCCAGTTTAGCCCCTGTCTAAATTTCTCTTCAATTTTGCCCTCAGATGCAAAGATCCGTTGGGAATAGCATGCCCACGCACTGAGAATTCGGGCTCAGGGGCCCGGGTTGGTAAAGTTGCCCTTTTGGGTTAACGTCGTTGCAAACAGGTAAAGAACATTTGTTCATTAAAAAGACTTCGGAAGGCAGAGGAAGAAGCCCAAGACAACGGTCGATTCTTGGTGTTCGCTGCTTGACATCGCTGACAGGTGAGGAGGGGGCGGGGTTTGGTGAGCCCTAGGGACACGGCTTAAGACACTTTTTCCATATGCAGTCGCAGCTTGGTTGCATAGTAGCGGTTTTCGGCCTTACTTGGAGAGCGGTTGCTCGGATGGGACAGTGAGCCCAAAGATAGGTCTCTTTCACACACGCCCCCAGCTTACCGAAAAAAAGACGTTGAACCGACATGGAGGAGGCGTGGGCGAGATGCACTGAGATGTGATGAGAATCAGGAGTGCATGCACCGTATACGATAGAAGGAAGGTGACATGGCCGGCAGCGTTGAATTGACGAGGCAAAACAAAAGAGAATCGTAGCCAATCGTGGATATGGTGGCCCACCAGGGATTTCACTTCGGGATTTGGTCTTGTCTAGACCCGGTGATCAGTGCCCTACCGGCATGCAGCCATTAATTTCCAGCAAGAATCGTATAAGCCCAAGGTTCGCTTGCTGGGGATAGAAATCGTTGTTGGGTTGCACAAGTGTATCTGCTGCACGGAGTCAGGAAACGTTTGGCAGCGTCAAAGCGGACGGAGAACAGTGCACGTTTGACAAGAATGAGCAGGAGCCAGACCCACAAGTAGAAGAGATCCGGAAGAGGAAAACGAGAAAGTGAGAACCCTGCAAGCGCCAGCCAACATGCGCAGGGCTTGTACGAATTATCATCATGTCCATCTATGTGCCGGATGCCTTGTTGGGCCAATCGCTTCATATCCAGTTAGTTGCCGACAACGAACCATGTGACGGAGGCAGCACCGTCGCTCTTACCTTGCACGATTTGAAAACTGCCGCTGCAAACATGCCAGTCAGGTGATCGTGCTTCGTCCGTCATACGGAGTCCAGGAAGGAGCTACTGGGATGTCCAGACTTCCTGCCTGTGTCAACAAGGGGCCATACAAGAAAGGAAAGAACGGTGGAGGGGGGCAGAGAAACAGGGAAAGGAGTGTTAAGTACGAAGAAGATGCAATGGTGAAGAAAACAAAGAGTCAACGACACTTGCGATGACGCGAGACAGCGACGTGGGAGAAGCGCGAGCGATGCGCGCGATATGCACAGGGCCCAAAGTGCGTATTGTTATTTAGCGACCGGCGGATCGACAACTAGCAATGCCGCGAAGACGGAAAGCAGCGGTCCTAGAATATCAGCGGATATCAGCGCCGAAAAGTATTGGTCTGCGATCTTGTCCGCGTGTTTGGATTGGAGATTTTGCCATCTTCTGCCTCGCTTTCTTCGGATCAACCGTTCTCGCCCAGTATCAAGAGTAGCCGTGCCCGCTCGCCCAACACCAGTCCGTGTCCGAGACTCGCAAAACGTCTCACACGCTACACCGGCATCCTGGTCCTCCCACAGCGCACGCGGGTTCTCTTGCGGGCGATGAGGATGCCGTGGACAAGAGGAGAAAAAAAGAAAAGAGAAAAGACGCGAGCAGGGATGGGTGTGGGCAGAGAGAGACGACGGGCGCCCGGGGCAGATGGTGCTCCCAGCACAGGGCGAGACGGCGCACCAAAATATGGGAGGACAAAGTCGAGACAAGACCAAAAGAAACAAAATCAGCGCGAGCGAGAGTCAAGATCAGCAACTAGTCACTGTCTCCGAAGTAAACGCGTGCGAAGAGTCCGCGTTTTTCTGCAAGGATCCTCCGGGCAGTATTATCACGAAAATCTTGTCCCTCTTGAGCATGGCCTTTTTTGTTTCTCGCACAGCCCCCTCTACCCCACCCCAGTTTTCCTTCCTCTGTCTTCGTCTCTTTTCTGTCAAGGATGGCAAGGCCAGCTGAAGACAAGAGGAAAACGACAGCCAGAGAGCCAGTGAGCGGCCCTGGAGACAAGTCCGCGTGGGGAACTGTCTCACATCGACTTCTTCACTTGAAACCCTTTATTTCTTTTTTTCTTTCTTTTTTTTCCGGGTGTCTTTTGTTTTCAACTCAGAACACTTTGAATCTCTCCCCAAGACCGGAAAGTGCCGATCCGATGGTCAGGGAGGTGCGGATGTCGGAGTAGTGTTCTTTCTCTAGTGCCTCTCTGTCTCTCTTCCTCCGCGCTCTATCCGGGATTTCGCACGATGACCAGCAACGCGAGTTACGTCGTTCTCTGCCCTTCGGTGTTCGCAGCAATTCACCTCGTCGCCTGCCCGCCAAGACCCATCTGCCAGTGCCACCATGTTTATGGATTGTGCCGCTCTTCCCATGCTTCTTCTTTCCCAGAAGTCAACATGGCCGTCTAATTCGCCCAATTCGGAAACACAATGTCACTGTTTGGCGAAGGCTGCCTTCAGACAAGCTCTAGTCAATGCCGTGCGTCGATGCAAAGCGCCCACGCTAAGAACATTGAACGTTGACGTGTTGAACGCTGACGAACTCTTCTGGGCAAAGCAACGAACAGAAGTGGGCTAGGGGCACGTCAAAACTCGAACTCGTCGAATTATCCTACTCCAGTACGACGCCTTTTATGTCGTATTCCCCAAAGAATCGTTTAATACAGCACTACAAAGTACTTTGCAGCTTGCCAACTGCTTGTCTGAAAAGGGATGGATGGCGCAAGACACTACGAATTAGCTGGACGGACCGGTGGTCGGGAACGGCACGGTCGGTCTTCAAAGTGAGATGCAGTCTACAATAGACTGTCAACAGGTTCTTTTGTACCTTGTGAGGTGTGTAACAGTGAAACAATGAGCGGTGGAATTGCGCTCGACCGATGTCGTACGGAGTATACGACTGTATTTTGTTTCTATTTATTTTCATGACGAGCTTCAGATTTATGATTGAGAATTCCATCTTGCCTTTTTTGAAAAACACATATATTGACACTCGGGGTATATTTCCAAAGCAGTAGGATCTGCCCCTCTTCTCACATCGCTCCTCTTATCTCACCTAAGAAATATAGGATGCATAAGTGCTTGAATGCGTACATGTACATATCTCCAAATTAGGAGATATTGCACTCATTTTCCCGACTTTGCTATTTTCGTCACTTTTGTTGCTTTTGCATATCTTATCTATCATTTTTTTCAGCTAGCTAAGCCCGTCTCTTCCTTTCCTTTTGTGCCTTTTTTTTTGTTTTTATTAGTTACATGATGGTGAGCTGCTTTCTTACGGCCATGATCCGTAGGAAGTACTCATCAGAAAAGAATGCTGTCGAAAGCACGACGTAACATGAATAAAAGCCATAAAGGGAAGTCTACCAAGAGAAAAGTACACCGGTCGATTTTTAAAAGTCCCTGGAACCCGGCAATTCGGGACAGGAACAGACACGAACTTGGGCTTCTTGCTTCGATTAGCAAGAACCCAAGAAAGCACAGACATGTGGCAAACAATTGAATACCCTCTGCTCGGAGAACTGATGTGGAGTCCGTCGAAATCTCTTCTGCCTTGGAAGTGCATATACAGGCCTCGAGGCGCCCTTCGCAGCCAGACCTTTCCATGGCGAGCGAGGTGCAGATAAGCGAATCCATGCAATGTAACCCTGGGCCGCCCCGCCCAAAATCCGCAATTGGTACTATCCTGAGTCCGACCAGCAGGCGGCGGTGTAAGCAAGGAAGAAGGAGTAGAACACGGCTGATCAAAAGGTGCGAAATCACCAGACAGTCACGAGACGTACCGTCTTTACTTCTGTCTTCCCTGCACACGTTCTCCTTTACATCACTCTGCAGAGACGAGAGGAGGAGAAGTGGCTCCTAAACGCAAGTGTGGTACGTTGTCAGAAACAGTGCTGCGACTGTCATTAACGACACCGTATCAACCAGAGGAGGCTGTGTCGACCGTCTGCGGATGTGCTGCTGCGGGAAACGAAGGCAAACGGTGTAGAATGAGAATTCATCCTGACCAAACGTGAACTACACAAAAGAACGCAGAAAAGGGTTCGGGTGCTACTGCGTATTGTGTTCTCCGTGGCATTTCCGCGACATCTCCCACGCTTCTCGTTCTGTTCTTTGGACTCCGTGTCCCTTGGTCCGCTGGACTGCATGATGTGTGCATTTCGGGGCTTCAAATGCTGCAGGGCACCGGTAGACAGTTGTCGACGATAAGCGAATGAAAATCAGCGCTAGAAAGGGAAGAAGGCGTCTCGATGGAAAATCGTACGACTTATGCTGTTGTTTGGGGGTGGGAAGCATAGGAGACCATCGTTCCTTGCAATTCTTTCCCTTCGTCGGGATAGAATTCATCGATATGAATGTCATCGTTGCCGTGGAGGCTCCAGATACCCCTTACTTCGTGTCCACGACCTGGAGATATGTTTCTTTCGAGATGTGTACTCCGTGATACCTCCCTGCAAGACATCGTGTCCGGAGAAACTCCGAGAACTCCATCCGCCAGATTGACGGAGCGGCCTCGACCAGTTGAGCTGTCTGTGGCAGCTGGCCGATGGTGATCATCGCCTACTTTGGCTATGCCCCGAGACGCCAAAAGGAGACTCTGAAGGAGATGGCGATGGATGGCGACGGATGGCGACGGATACCAGCGGATGGAGACGATGGAGCGATGGAGATGATGAAGACGATAGAGCGATGGCGCCACGTCGGACATTCTCCCGCAGCCCACACCGGAGCGTACCTCCGGAGATCTTTCCAGGTGCGAGCGGCTACAGCGTATCCGTATGCAGTACTCTGCAGGAGCAAAATATCAAGGTATCTGCTATTCCGCAAGAACACGAATATTTGTGTGATTTTGTAAGTCGTACCTATTTTTCACCCGACCTGGGTTCTTAGTTATACCAAATAATATCAAGGGAATGTGCCAATCATCCTACTATTATATATTATATTTTCTCCCCATATATCAGGTCATTTTTATTGACGTCATTTGTATATTATTTTTGTTTATATTCCTTATGTTTTGCTTTTTCTTTCCTCCTTTCTTTCTTTCTTTTTTTCTTTTCTTTTTGAGCGGGCGCGCCACTCGCAAGAATTTCCAATTCGGGAATAGTATGGTCGTGGGGTTCCTATGAGCACACACCGGTCGACGCTTCCCCCATGTTTCGGACAGGGGCGGGGCCCTCCTGCCTCTGCAACTAAGTGGCAAGCTCGTCCCTGTGTTCTTTGTTTGGCTCCCTCGCCTTCACGTTGTATTTTTGTTTTCAGCTTTATGCAAATTCGTAATCTACAATCTGAACACCACATAACCCCCATGCAAGCGACCCAGCCTCCAGTCACCCTCTCCTGCTGTCTCGGTTGCTCCCTCGCCTGTCCTTGTCAGCACAGCTCGATCCTGGGCATCTGCCTCTCCTTGACAGGGCTTTTCTGAAAACGGCAATGATGTTCTCCGTTCACCCGTACGATCAACAACAACCGCGCTCCGACGGCCTTAGCGTGAGAAGAAGGGGGGATGAAGGATGGGCCGTCCCGGCCAATCAGAGGGCACAGGCCGCAAGCTCAGCTTCTCACCTCTAACGGCGACCAACACGGAGAAAACTCTCATGCCAGAGCACATGTGGGATTTCGCCGCAGACCAGAAAACGGGACCTATGAAAAGGAAAACAAAACTGCTGATTTTAGGTGAATGCACGTCGTATGTCGTATCGTATACCGCACGATATGGGTACTGTAAGTTGAAACTGCATGCTCATTAATGGGATTTAGACATGAATATTGTAGCATTTGCATACGGAGTACTCCGTACTGCGAACTTCCACAATGTTGTCGTTTCATCGTTTTCATCCTCCGCTTGCTGTGCTGTTCTATATGGCGGCTGTACGAGTGCCACCCGTTGCCAAGCAAAAAATTAAAAATAAAAATAAAAATAAATAAAAAAATTGAGAAGAGTAGGCGTGGCTTTTGCCAAAAGAAAAGCCACACCAACACCATGTAATGTAACAAAGTAGGTATCAAAGGAACCCGTATTTCTTTCGTATTTCTTGTCTCGTGTATCAACATAAATGGCAAAGCTAATAAGAAATGAAGCCCGACGAATTCATAAAAAAAGGAAAAGAAGAAGAAAAAGAAATAAAAACGGGCTGGCCTTTTCCGTTCAAGGCACAATGTGCGTCTCCACGTGGGTCTGTACTCGCTGCGGCTCGTAGTCGTCAGTGCCGTCGGCTGTCCGTCGTGATGTCACCTTGCGCGGCTCCAGCGTGCGGATAATCCACACCGTCTTGTTCTTCTTCAGTGGAGCAGCCTCCGCAGCAGCAAGTGGTGAAGGAGGCAAGGGAGGTGCCGCATGGGGAACAGGAGGAGCATATGTGGCCGCAGAGGGAGCATAGGGCCCGGGTACACGTGTTGGGGCCTGGCCAGGCGATGGTGATGTGCCAGTCCTGTGTCCACGGCCCGCCCGAGGCGTGCTTGACTGGCTTGAACGGCGCACAGGTGCAGGTACCTGCGGTGAAGCGCTTTCGTCGACCACCATGCCGCAACCGCTATTTCCGCCAAACGATGCTGCAGGTGACACGGCGGCATATGTCGTCGCTGGAGAGTAGCCGTTGTTGCTATTGCAGTAATAGTAGTCCGGGCCGGGCGAAACGGGCCCAGAAGGCGTGCTCACTTCGCTCACACTATACACGCTGCTCGCGCTACCTTCACTTCCGTGGCTGATCATGTTGCTGATGCTAAATGCGTTGTTGTTGCTGCTGCTGCTGCTGCTGTGGTGGCCATTCCCGTAACCGTGCCCGTGGCTCGTGCTGTTGCTGCGACTGCAGTTCCGGCTGCTGCTGTGGAGTAGGCTCGCCATGCGTGGTGAGGCCGTTGACTTACTCCGGCTGCCACGGCCCCCTCCTCTACTGGAAACCAGCTCTTCGTGGCGAAGCTCTTCCTCGTGGGTTAGAGCCCTGGCCGAGTCGATCTCGCGGAACGGAGGAAGATTCACCGTAGCTTCTTGGTGTCTGACGGTCACAGTCAGCTTTTTGTTTATTCCGTACCAAAATGCACAAACAACCCGTAAATAATGTTGCTGTACATGACGGATCCTTTCCATTGAGGGATACCATCACCCAACGACAACCTACAGGGCGTTAGGCCAGGGACGGACCGGTAACATGTGCGGAGCCATAGCCATCGATGACTGCTGCTGGTGGGTGTCCTCACTGAGGACGTAGTTCGTATTGCTGCTCCGATGGCTACTGCTTCTTCTCTGCCGCGCTGCAGAGTGCGGGTATGAAACTGGCGATGTCGGCGCGCCACTTGCTGACCCCGACGTGGATGAGCCATAGGCCATCTCCACGTCCCCGTCGTAATTTGGTGCCAAAGGTGAGCTGTGTGTGTTGCTGCTTCTGTTGCCGCCGCTGTCGCCGCCGCTGCCGCCGTTTTGTGCCAAAACTGCCTTGCCTGTTGCCAAAAGGCTTTCGCCGCCAGCTGTTGCCAGCTCTTGCTGCAACCGCCCTTGTGAATCTTCTGCCCGTGCTGTGTCCGCTGCTAGTGATGCCCGGCGGCTCTCGATAAAATTTTCAGTGATTCCGAGGGAATCGACGGACGGAAGATGACTCGGCATATCTGGCCGTTTCACTGGCAAGACTTGCATGACTTCACCTGTCCGGAGGCTTCGCTGCACATAGAATGTGCCATACGGCGTAACGTGAAGACCCATGGTTTCTGATGTTGAAAATCCAGTAATGCTGGATTCGTTTTCTTTGGTGCCTTTGATCAAGAATCAAGGCTTTTGAGTTTTCGTGAGGTCGCTTGTGTAGGTCCCTTGATACCGTTCTCGTGACTGGTCGGGAAGCTTAATAGTGGAAGGCAATGGGGCGACAAAGAACAACAAACCACAAAATCATATAAATCGCCTAAAGGGGTATCTGGTGCAAAAATAACAAATGGCAAATGTACAGGAACAAAGAGCGTGTGACCTGAAGTAATCACGCTCGGCAGAAGATAAATGGACACAGATGTATCAAAGAAACGAATGAAAGGTGTCAGAGAGATGGGTTGGAATGGGTGGACGGATGTTTCTTATAACGACATAATGAAAAGGAAACAAACGACCGAAAGAAAGAAGAAGTGGAGAACGGTCGTCAAGGGAGCAGGAAGCAAGAAGATATAAGAATATCTGGCGTGGTCGGCCTACTATGGGGAACCGTGGTCTATGTTTTGTCGAAGGAGATAGAACGGCCGGCTACTTACTTATTTTGTCCTCGTAGACAGTCGCTTGGTCTTGATGTTGCCACACCTCTCTCGCTGGTGGAGAGGGACTGAAGAGGGCCCCGGCTTGGCTGCTGGATAGAAGAGGGAGGGGTGTAAGTTTTGTTGTTGTAATAGTCGCACACCTGTAAGCGTTTGTCGACTTTCGACTTCGTTCTTAGCCCACAAAAGAAGCTAGGCCACATGCTGTGCCCCATTGGCTACTCCATACCAAAAAAAAAAAAAGAAAAAAAAAAAAAGAAAAAGAAAGTAGAACTAGAAGACATGGCACTCTGTACGTCGCAATAAGAAGAAAAGAAGAGGGAATCGGAACCCACAGTGATACGACGAAACAGACATGTTACGAGCCCGGCGGCAAATAGAAGAAAATAATAAAAGAAAACAATACAAGAAACAAGGAAAAGAAAAACACGCGTCGTACACTGCATCGGCTTGATGTACCTGGCTCCAAGCAACCTTTCGGGTGGCACTAGATCGAAATACACAAGCATGGAACGAGTGTGAGAGTGTCATGCCTGGCGTCTCGATGCAACGGTCTGTATCGACAGCCTACACGCATATTGTGCTTCGGCAGACTCGTCGAGAATGGCGAAGTTGTGTGAATGGAGACGATGCACATGTGTCTGTACATGGTACAGGTTAGTGAAACCAGTGGCAAGAGTGAGGATGCTGCGTCGTATTGTTGTTCGGATTATCCAGGTCTTTTTCAGGCCTAGAACTTGTATGCCAACAGTGCTCAGCCGCAATAGATACAAATACACGCAATCGCCATGGTTGCATGTCGTACCTGTGTAGATCGTAGATGCAAATAAGGATTGGCTTGGACCCAGCCTTTAAGACCGTAGACAACATTGTGTGGAGTACCACTACACAGGGTACGAGGAAATGACCCAGGAAGTTTAAAAGTGACAGCCAGGGCACAGCTGGCCTTGAAAGTAGTTTTGCCACTTTGTCCGCGCACTAAATTTATTAACCTGCACCGATCGTACGGAGCGTGTCTCTTCGTGTTGGGTGGTCGAAGAGACACAGGGACAGATGAGCTTGCTGGTCCTATTGAAGAATCTCCCTTCGCAGAGGCAGAGGCTCCTCGCCCGATGGGAAGTTCGGAGTTGACTGTGGGGTCGTGCTTTGGTGAGCTCCATTTTCTGTCGATGTGTACATTTTGATGTCTGGGAGTTTGTTTTCGATACATGCTTCAGAAACTCTTGCCTCAGCACCCATGACCAGTGTGTCCCCATATTCGAGCAGACAAATGCACGTACGCGGTCACACCAAAGCTGGGATGCGAAACAGGCGAATGCCAGTGGAAATTCTCTAGAGAGACGTTTAGTAGTGTTGGCAGGTGTCACAAAGTACCGTGTTTGGCCCTTTAAGACATGGAGATTTCGGAGCATTTGTGAGACGTGAGCTCACCAAGACAATTTGGTGGGGTTTTTCAGAGGAGACGAGTCTCGACCTTTGAGATTAGGAGTGTCTGGGAGTGTGTCTGGGGGCATGTCGTTTACTTCCTTTTCAAGCTGCTCCAGGAGTGACAGGTTACGTGGCTTGTGGTGAGGGTGAGAGTGTTTCGAGGTCCGAGAATACTTCATGAATGCGGAACATTTCCTACACGCACTCGTTCTGGCTTTGCGAAGTGCAGGGTTGCATCTGAGAATACTGGTAGGCGCCGGAGGCAGATAAACGACCTTCGGTGGAGAAGGATGAGTATTACGGAGTAATACTCCGCAGGTAAAGACGCAAGGGCAGGGGAAGCAAAGAAGAGTTACCAGCATATTCGGTGGGTTTGTCGGCGGTACTGGCGAAATATCGACGCTCGTTTGGGAGCCAACAATTGGCTGAATCTCTTGGCTTTGTGCTTTTGAGCAATGTTTCTTTTGTCGGCTGTCTTCACCAGCGAGACAGCATTGGCAAACGACCGGCTGGAAGGTTGGACGACCGTTGGTCGAGACATTTCTTTGCTTTGTTCCAAGCTTTGGGGGTTCACCTCTCCGCTTGAATCTTAGTTGCCCTTTCGAATTTCCATGGGCTTGCATACGGCGTGGAATGTAATGGAGGGTGGCTGTTGAAAAAAGGAGGTGAGGGGAGGTCAGAGAGGATGCAAGAAAATATGACAGAACGATCGAAAAATGTGACAGAATAGAACGCTGGCGAAAGGAAACCGATAGAAGCCCATTGCCAAAAGTCACAAATCAGAAACAGACCTGTCGTTCCTTCCTCGAATTCGTAACCTTGATAAACATATCCACAAGGAAAGAGCGTTGCCTAAGAAGCAGAAGGAGCTTTCCATCTGCTCGAAAAGAGCAATTCAAGATGAATCCAGAAGGAGCTAACGATTGACCTGCCTTGCCCCAATCACCCGATCCACAAAGCTCCTTCCTTATGCATAGTGGGCAGGCATGCATAACAAATGCAGCAGAACGAAAGCGACGGAAGGCAGCATGCACGCGACAAACCACGAGCCGCAGGCGGCATGCTCAGGGAGGGCAGGAGCAGCTGAGGCGCCAACAAGTAAGATGCCCAAGTCAGGAAAAGGCCGGCTTCCGCCGCTGTCAACAAATCCCGAAATGACGACGTGCGCATCACAACGAATGGCACCAACGCCCTCGGCCGGCTTTGTACCAGTATTTTATTGATTATTTTCTTGCCTGAGACATGCACAAGCGCGGGCGAAGAAAAAAAAAAAAGCGGCATCGCATCAAGGAACGGGCGACGCTGGGAGGCCGGAAGGCGGAAGGGGCAACGAAGAGCTGGGGCGGAAACGATTCTTTCGACTCTCGACACGCGTTCGCGACAGAGCAGCACCAGCAGCGCATCCGGGTAAGCCCTGTCACATGGCCTCGTCGCTTTGTAACGTCTCATCTTTTCTAATTTCGACAGCGAAGGAAGGGGGGACTAATCAACGGCTGTGGTTCAAGACAGCAATGGCATGCGAGCCAGCAATCAGTGATAAGCAAGGTACCTCTGTCTTTTTCAGCTTCGCCGGTAAGTCGTGTCCACGTTTGGCACGAATGTGGTTCGAGACACCAAAAGTCAAAACGAAGGCGACTGATGGGACTGCAAGAGACGCGTAGGCGTTTAAGAAAAGGAGGTTGACGATTCAACACATGAGTGCACATGAGGTAACTCAACGACGAACAACAAGAAAAATCCGGGTCCAAGGACAAAACGAAAGGAAACAAAAGCTGCCAGCAAACGGCAGAGTGCAGGCGGGAATCATGCGGGAAAGCATGCGGAATGCAGAGCGCACAGGGCGCACGCCGCACCACTCGGGACCGGACGCAGTAGTCACCTACATGGGACAGGATCCTCTCCACCCCGGCAGGGACTCGAGCATAAATGTAAATTACCGGGTGTGTCGGCTTGGCGTTTGCATTCAAGATACGGAGTACAGAGAGACACTGACGACAATCAAGAAATAAAGAAGCTACGTCGAAATGCACTAAACGTCAAAAGCCAAGCAAGGCCAACCGACCCATACCGAAAGCGAGAAACACCCGCCAGCGCGCAAATTGGAAGTGGGTGGTGGACTGGAGGAGAGACGATGTTCGGCCTCCAACGTCTAGAAGGCGAAGAATGAAGAAGCAGCAAGAAAGGTTCAATCTTGAGCATGCGCTATTTTGCTTCAAGGCCAGCAATGTGACGTACTGGACCTGAAGAGTGTACAAGATACGGGTTATGAGCAAGTGGAAAAAGAAACAAGTTCAAAAACAAGACATGGCAACGAGAGAAAACACTACGAAATGTCCTGGGAACAGCGCGTCACTGCTGTTTACAGGGTCAATTGTCGACAAAAGCTGGTTAGCCGAGGGCGTGCGACCAAAGGCCAGTTTCCTCGCCTATTCTCGGCAATCTCAACTCTCTCTCGTGTCAATATTCAGGCGGACGCCTCGGGCCATCCGAGGCCTCGGTGGCCTTGGGTCACAGTCTTGGGTCACAGTCTCGGGTCGCCATTCTGGGGCTTATTGTGGGAATAGTGATCTGGAATCTTAATCTTGGGAATCTTTCAGTTCTTTATTTACCCACAGAGCGGTCGCTCCATTTGTCGCTGTCACATCCGGCATGTTCCGCCTCGAACCAAGCTTTTTTCCATTTATCTCAGATGGAGTCAGGACGGCCCAAGGCCGTCTTCCTTTGATGGCATTTCGACTTCCCTCCCAGACTCATTCGACGGCCTTATTGGGGCTTTCCTGTCTGCCGTGCAGCATTAAAGTCTATCATTTTCCTTAACGGGTGGCCATGTGCGTCGAGGGCAAGCCTCAGAACGTGAGAATCGTTCGATGTTTCGCAATGGCGTGTTCTTTCCTGCGCCCAAAAGGGCATGGACGCACAGCAAAATCACCAAAAACTGGGCTGGGGCCTATGAGCGCCGGGTTTTTCTTGGAAAGCCACAGCATATTGATCGACACTAGCAAGACTCGTCGAGACATGTGCTGACTTTCCAGGAACGCG